CAGCTTTGTACTTACCTACTTACTTACTTAAATGCATTGTACAGTTGAGCACATTTGTGACGACTAAGTAACCAATTAGGATTTCTTATGAATATGTTCATAAAGAAAAAATGAACTCATTCGAATCGTCAGGGACTAGTCCTAATACCATGTTGCTAGCTTATTTACACCTTGTACAATAGTGACTCAACTTGTAGAGCAGGTACCGAATACACATTTGAACAGTCTATAAATTGCTCGTATATGGGAATGTCGAATACATACAAACACACGTATAGGACTCTGTGGAGATCTGACTCAATCTACTTGACACCATTATTCAAGCTTAGGGCAAGATCGACAATTCTTTTCTTTAAAATTCGCAAACTGCTTCATCTGTTTTTCCAGTTTCTGGCTAATCTAGGACGTAGTACTAGGGACAAAATCGTTTTGGAAGGAATGCCACAATATATCAAATACTTTGAAACTCATATTTAGTTATGATACAGCAGATATTGTTCAGGGTTCTTCAATTTGTTTGTTGTTTGTTTTCTTTATAGCGAAACTCATGTGGCCCTAGCTTTGTTCCAACAAACCAAACTAGTTCTGAACTGAACAGAGCATGCGCATATCGAAATTCCCGTTGCAACAGAAAATGGAACTGATTCCGTAACTGGTAGTTCTTTGAATCAACAAAATCCGAACTGATTCTGAACCGGTCCTGTACGGTTCAGATGCCCTTCTGAGAGAGAACTAAAATTTCAAATTTGATTGCGCATGCGCGCTTAAAGAATAAATATAGCGCCGTAGCTGGAAAACTGGATTTTTTCTGCCATTTAGTGCATTTTTTAACCTTTCAATCTTCTCGTATACCAAACCTAAATCTTGACCGCTTATTTTGCCGTTTATTACATATAAAATGTTTCCTCGAGCTACTCATCCCTGTCAAAGACCGATAAATTATCTCAAACCTCACATCCTGTATATGTATATGGAGACTTGATATTTTCGAAGTTTAGTTCAGTTAAGGTTACGTATATTTACGACAGCAAGCTATGTAATTCCCTAGACCGTACTTACCTCGGGCATACGCGGAAAAATAATTCTGAATTAGTTCAGAACTGCTTGTCGAAACAAACCTACGGGTGTGTCCGCTTTTAGCATGTCAGCGAATCTCATCAACTCGTGTTCGACTTCGACATGTGAAAGGGGACGACATATAGGGATCATCGTGCCGTGTCGTTCCAGACTATCGAGCATACTCAAAGTGGTTTCAATGCTATGTTCGGAATTTGCACAGACATTCGAATGATCGCACCACTGACGCGCATTTCTATATTTTCTACTGACACGGATGCTGAAGCAGAAATCACATGGTCGTCTCGCACTTATAAGAGCTAAAGTGCCCAAAAGCGGACCCCTACTTTTTTATTGAATTAAACAATTAAGAAAAATAGCTAAAAGTATGTTTTAGAAGCTTATACAAAGTGTACCTTCTGATATTAAGGATTCCTTTAAAGAACCTTGGATGCTTCTAAAAATTCGGACTGAGATAAACAAATACTCTGGAAACCAAATACCACTGATGTCGTAATGTGTACGAGAGAGAAGCGCAAGAAGCGTGCAATACGTGAGTTAAAAGAGATAGACGCTCCTGGTTGCCTAGCAACCCGAGTACAAAGTCACGGATGCCATCGGCGCACTCTTTCTAACACATATTGCACCCTTCTCGAGTTTCTCTCTCGTACACCGTACGACGTAAGCTAAATTTGAACCTCACCGTATATGCGACACAGGGATCTTCCAGGGAAACGACCTAAGTCACTCGCAAAGCCTCGCCCAGCGATTTGAAAGTACAAACTGTAAACTATAACATCATATCACAAGTTCGTTATTGTTATAAAATAGGAGTGATCAATTTTCGGTTATGCTTGTAAACAAACAGCGTGATGGCTGGGTTGAATACTTGCACGCATTATGCTTTTACACCTAATCATCATCTGGTGCTCGTCCAGGCGGCGCTCGGGATTCACCGCAAGTATACGCACATGCACTGCAAAATGGCGAAAATACATTTAACTTTAGTACTGGAAAAGCATCCTGTATTGTTTAATTATTGGATTCAAAAGCTGTTGATATGTTTCTTTTGGCATTCTGTACATAGATACAAATTTTGTATCATCATGTGAAAGTTCTTTTACTGCAACAAATAGTCGACAGTTAATATTATTTGCGATGTGAGGATGACGCCAATAAAGTTCTCTTTTTTTACGTACATGGAAATACAAATCACACGTTAAAATATCATCATCACTCGAACTCGAAGACGACCTCTCTCTCAAAACTAGCCGTACTGCAGAATTTCATACCGGAAATATACCGAGTAATGCGTAGTTGGGAGCAATGCGGTATTGATTCGGTAACCGAGCATACCGCCGCCGCGGCGATACCGTACCGACAAATCAGAAAACGGCCTTAATTTAGATGTTCTGACAAAACATAGGGTAGATTACTATTCGTCATTTGTTTGTCTGGGCGGTCCGTAGGACTTTTGCCCATTAGTCACTGTCTAATTACGTTAGTCGAATCTGTCAGTCCTGGTTGCCCAGAAACCAGACAATGTCTAGGAAAAAGAGAAAGGGAAAGAGAAGAAAGAATGAGAAGAGCAAAGAGAAAACAGAAGTGTTTAGTTTAAGAGGAAACACCTAGGCTTTTTGACTTGGTACACGGATTAATTTTGAGGTGAACATAGTAGATTTCAAATATGATTCTAAACGCTTCTGCCACGAGGTCCCCTTGTCAAGAGTGACTTAAATGTATAACAGATAGTCAGCGTTTTCGAATGATTAAATTTGATCAGCGATACTTTCGCCCCCAGAACTTTACCGGCAGGTTTATTACGAAAATGTCAATATCTCAAAAAATCGGTAAAATGTTAACTTGTGCACTAGGTAGTCAGCATGAAATGAATTAGCTAGTGGAATTTTACAGAAAAACCAACATTAAATGCCTCATAATGTCATAAAAATCGATATACTCGTAATGTCACTTTATATGTTACGAAATACGGGTGCCAGGCACCAATCTACTCGTCTGTAATAAGTAGGTACTACTAACTAATAGTATCAGCATTGCCGGTTGCAATGAGCCGTATTGTTGACGAAACATTATTTTGGTTCAAGATATCATATCTTCACCGAAATATTTCGAAAATTTCTGGAGCCAGAAGTTCATGAAAGGGGTCACTGTACACATCAAATGTTTGCGAGATATCCAGACGAAAGATGTTAATATACTCTCGTTAAGGGTAAAAATTTCCAGTTTCTCTAACGTATAGTTGCAGTCACCGTTCTTGGCGGTTACGTCATCAACGCTATATGGAATAAGTAAACAGATCGAGCCTCCGTACCATGGGCGAATTTACCACGGTTTGTCCAACGATTTAATTAAATTAAATTCTCATATCGTAGAAATGGGCAAACCTTTCGGATTTTCTGATTTTATTCGCTGAACACTGCGCAGATTAATCTTCAGGGCATTTGCTATTCTCTCCAGTAAGCATGAAGTAGGTGACATGGGACCGCTGTATTCATTCTCTTCCTGGGAATACTCTTCTCACAGACCTCACGGAAAGGTATGAAATACATAGTTGTTACATTCAAAATAAATTACTCTGCCCTTCCAACATCCAAATACGTCTAATTTAGAAGACTTCAGGTAACGAGCGATATATACATAGTTGTAGTCACCGTTCTTGGCGGTTACGTCACCAATGCCATATGAAATAAGTAAACGTCGAGTCTCCATACCATGAGTGCAGACTAATCTTCAGCGCCTATCTCCAGTACGCATGAAGTCGGTAACAATAGACCGCCGTTTTCATTATTTGCCTAGAAATACTCTAATAAATTTAGCACAAGCTGTCGGCCTTCTCCTGTGATCGTATTTCCGGGCATTGTACAATTTTATATTGAATATTCATAACGGAAAAACTCAAATTGCACGGCGATGTTAAGTAAAATACGATTAAAGGGCACTTATACGTAACGACAAAGTTTTCGAGACGAAGACATATAACTAAAAAGGGAGGACACGTTGTAGCACACCGCAGGTCACGCACAACATATGGCATACCGAGACGCTGATCAGTCGGGCCACGCGGAGGTTAGGGTTTAGTGGGTATTAGGTGGTCTCCTCAAGACAACCTGGAGTCCCACACACGCCGTAGCTCGGGCTATGGTATGGTGCATAAACGCATTCCCCCTCACAAAAAAAACTTTGTCTTTGAGCTTACCGGACAAACGTTCACACACAGGGGTAGGTTGAATGTGTATGTATGAGGGAGATATATAAAAGGATACTGGTAGTCTTACTTTGACCCGCCCAGAACGGTAACTACAACTATAGAATCGTGCTCGTTTTCTATTTACCTCTAGAAACTACATCCTGACGAAATTCTATAGGTAATCACCTTTTGGAGAGCCTAGAAGGAGCTGGCACCCAACAAATGAGATGGTAGTCCTGAAAGAATATCGGACTCACCTTTGAATACAGTGTTGCCCTTGACAGAAAAGAACGCATTTTGAATGAAACACTGATAGGCCACTACCATGCTAAGAACAAAGAAATGCATTGTAGATTTTCAAAGTCGGCCCAGCGGCAACAGTTACTAGCGAAAGACCGAAGACTTCAGATCCCTCCTTAAAATTCGAATTCCGTCATATCAGCTCCTTGCATTGTCTAAATACGTATCAGGAGGCTTGACAATGTTGAAATCAGGCAATCTCATTTTAAAATTACAGCTATTAAGATATCAGTGATGACTCTTAAAATTTTGATGTACCTAAAAGTACTGAGCAATCTACTGGACTCAATTCTTTACAGCTAAGGAGAAAGTGCTATAATCCTCAACGCCCCTTCGACCCGCCGATGCAAGCAGCACCTCTTAGCAGGGGAAAAGGAAACTTCTTTCTTGAATGTTAGCTGTAAAAGGCGTAAACACTACAAAAATAAAACAACTGTTTTACAAATAAAATCAAAAGACTTTATTTGTGAAAAAAAAAACAATGAGATAACATTTTCAACTATAATTTTGACATTTTGTTTCCGAAATCAGTCCTAAATAAAAATATTTCTAAATGAAAATATTAACAAAAAAAATATCTTTCTCGTGCCTCATTTCCATTAAAGACGTCCCAAATCAATAGAGATGAAGAGACTTTAGAAAATGTCAAGCTTGCTACGAGAAAAGAAATTTCTCCAGGTGCCAAATGTTTCTACACTTCTTTATTTCACAGAAAAAAATCGATAAGAATGTAAACTGCAAAAGAAAATCCATTCATAAATCAAAAAGTTGGGAGAGTTATCTGAAATTCACAATTTTTACGGTTTTTAAATTCTTGCAACATACATAATCAATACCGATGAGCTTATACTAAAAAAAACTAACTCGGAACATGTCAATGAATTTGAATTGTAGTGTCAAATTACGCGGGAACCAATTTTTCTTATATTCACAAGATCAATCGAAATAGAAATAATCTTTGTTAAAATAACTACCTGTAGTCATTATGTATTTATGAAGAGCAATAAGAATATGCTTTTTATGATTTTATTTTGTTCTAAGAGAGATCTTCACTTAATAAATTCTCAGCACAGTTAGTGTTACTTGGTATCTTTTCATTTAATTTACTCTGCTATATGATTTCACCTCAAGCACAAGTTTAATCCAACACTAGGGAACTAAACATTAGATACACAGACTGATTTCACTAATTTTCTCTATTCCGTCAAACCACGGACATGTATACAGGTTGTCCTCAAAGCTGGGACTTTCCTTTACAGAACGTATAGGTTAGGTAATAATAAGCGTGTTTTAGTAACATACACTAAAACTTTAAGATAACCGAGATATTAGGGTCCGAAAAGCAATAAATAAACCAGTAACAGGCAGCGCGTGGTGTCTAGGTTAACCTAATTTACAAACAAACCACACTTTAAAAACCAAGACTGGCGCATTCCTAGAGCAATAACGTAGTTATCGATTTGATATGAGCATCTTCAAGATTCTATAGATATTCCGCGAGTTAATTCAGAACGTCGCCGTCGTCCTCGGTGTTTCATTTCATCAGAGCTGCATATGTTTGTTTATATCGTGGAAAGCCGACTGATTGAACACAGTTGAAAACCTAGACAGCGCCAAATATGCACATTTAGGAAGCGGTAAACAAACTTGTCTTCTTGAATCGAACAGCGGCAATTTTAAGCAGTGTTTATAAAGAAAACATGTGACAGGGTAGTACTTGAAATTCCTTACCAAACGAATAGTGAGTATTTCAATTTCTTTTTTCTCTTCGGTGTTGTTTTGCCGCACAGCAGCTTTTGTACTGCAAACATATTTGATTCTGAAAAAGAAGATCACCACTTTCAAGACACGGTGTAGATGTAACATATATTTTCAATTCTTGATCTGTACTACCTTGTAGCGAACCGGTGTTATGTGGGGTCCTGAGGTCATATTCTCCAATGGTGTATTTTAATTGGTGACGCCACCAATGGATAGTTTCGCCAATCGCGGTACTGCAAACCCTCACGTTAACAGCAGGAAACTACAATCTCCCGGTATTTCTGCACGACAGCGTTTGCTCCTATGAAGCCAAACAGGAAATGCCCACCACATAGGCGCCCCATTGTCACTCAGGGTGGTACTAAATACTCGCCATGCTATATGACATTAGACGCAAAATTTACATGAACTAAACTCCTATTTAGCCGTGTTCCTTTTTATGTTTAGAAAGTATGTTATTTTCTGACTTTATCAACTGAATATTACAAAATAGACGAATTGAATAAACCGAATATCGTCAGCTATTTTATTTTATTTAACAACCGTACGCGAACTTTATTATGACTCATCATGTAAATCGAATGGACCTGTTAGACTCTCCCATTGATTGAATGATGGATGAATTTTCATTTGCCGTCCACACAAACTCGTAAGGCACCTTAGTATCTATGAAAAGCACCCCTTCTGCCTAACTGTAAACATATACTAATAGGCATGTAACTCAAGTGGTGCCCCAATGTAAAAATTAAGAATTTTCAGGAAGGTGGATTTTCACGAAAGCGAAAGTTGATCAATGAAAATTTGCATTTAGAGGGTTCAAGAAGGTCAAGAAAGGATCTTTACGATGTAATACATTAGTGAGTTTTTAGGCTTCACACTTGTCAGTCGTTCCAACAATGAGGTAATTTATTATTTTCTCTTTATAGCTCTTCACTTCTTACATCAATAATGATATGGTTTTAGCGCATATTGAGAGGTTTGAGTTTTTGACTACTCGTATCGACTACAAGATACAGAACCTGATCACTTTTTCAATTATTCCTGGACCATCTAAAACAGCAAATTCACAACCAACAATAAACTATTCGCATCGATGAACATAGTTGTATACCGTTCCTGGGGTAAAAAACTGCAAAATTCGGGACCAAGACCTGCAAGTGTCCCATAATACTATAAATTTACTATGAGAAAAAACATAACGTTACCGTTATAAGTTTTTGCCAAAAGGTATCGAAAATAAAGGTTTCTTACTCAAGAATTGGACTTGAAACAATGGAATCATATTTAGATAATAATATTGTCTACTTTAACTATCCTACCAAAACAGTATAATGTAAAGATTTATGTATATTCTGAAACTAATTTGTCTCTCTCACTTATTATTCAATTGAAATTTATTCATAAAAAAAGTATGTGAAAATTAGTTCAATGCTTTCCTACTATATTTGTTTTTACATGTATTTTTCGATTTTTATAGTTGAGACCTTGAGCAACCCACAGAAATGACTGGGCCTAATAATGTTACAGCAGTAATGATGGGGCTAACAAGAAAATGAAAAAATATTTCCTTTATTCAGCTGCTCCATGTAGACAAAAGACGAGAAAGTCATATTACATGTAGCATTTTTCAAATCCAATTCTCAAGTGATACACTTCATATAATATTGTATGGAATGGAATGAGTTGAATTAATGGCAAAATATTTAGATTTCTTTCAAGCTAAGGTCACAAAATATGATCTCGGTCTTATAAAACAGTCAGGCATTTCTATAAAACTGATCGATGCTAATGCAAGAGATTGCATTTTTATTTTAGAAAAAGATGTGACTGTTTCAGTATTTCCATGCTTTTACTCTGTTTTTATCTGAATAATGAACTTTATAGAAATAACTAACCATACAGACACCTATTATCATAATAATAAATTAATATAATAATCAGTTTCACACTTATTTCATAAAAAGAATACTAGCTCAAGAGTACTTTGTGACCTGCGTTTCTGTGCATGTGTGAATAAATTGATCAATTACTGATTTTTTTAGTGTAACAAGTAACAAAACTAAGAAAATATAACAAAAAAACAACAAGTTTTTGAGGGAAAAAGTAATCATACAATAAGTTCCAGTGGTTGCGAGTGTTGGAGTTTTTAAAAAATTACTGTTTACATATACATACTTAAAAATATCTCTCCATGATGTTTTCTTCATTTTTCGTTTTACTATTTTTATAAATTTAACTCATACTTATTAAATAACTGGCTATAATCGAGCATCTGGGCAAACTAAATTATAGTTTAGTATTCAAAAGGTCTTGTCAAAACGAGTTTCAAGTAGAAGATATTTTGTGTAATGGTCAGTAATCAGTGCATTCAGATTTATAAACTGTATAAACAAAAATCAATGAAGATATTATTATAAAAATGAATTTCAATAATCCTACTTCTGCGAAAACGTTAGAGGCATACATGGTGTATTATTTAGCTGTGAATCTTTGGTATCCCAATCCATAGTATCTTATAGCTGAAGGCAGTTTAGTTTGCAATCATTTAAGTAGCGAAATGGTCGGTAAACAAATTGAGTAAGCGAATTATCCCGGCTCCTATGATATATAATATGTAGTCAATTTAGTTTGCCCAAATACCTACTAATGCGCGCTATTATTCATTAACAAAAGTATATAGATAGATCATGGCATACACTAACTGTCTCAATGCAATACTGTAAAAACACAATTCAGATTGAGTGAAATGAATCCAAAAGCAAAGAGAACCTATATGATTCCATTATAATTCAAGACAGTAGTTCAAACTGTGTAGTAACAAAAACAGTTCGACCTCTGTGATAGTGGTCATAGCAGACATTTTTGTGTAGTAATTTGGACTTTATATATATATACAAAATTATTAAGGCAACATATGTTCCAAACTTTCTGTTTCATTTCACATATATAATACAAAGAATTTTCATCAAAATCTGACTATATACTTTTTAATTTAACGGGGATGAACAATGCATTAACCAAAAAATATAAATTTAATAATAGCCAAATATATACAAAAAATGATACAACCAATTTCATACTACAATGCCCAGATTCCCAAAAGATAAACTAGTATAGCTTTAGTATGTTTTTTAGTTTTATGTACAAGTAAAATAACGACAAAATTTTTATAAAAACATTATTATCAGTGTGTTTGGTTAATCAATGTTATGATCAAATTATGAGGCTACATACTGATAAAATAATAACGAAGAAACAATGTTAGACAAAAAGAAGAGAAATATATTTTCGGTTGTAGTTGAGAAAGAACTTTGTCAATATTTTTATGAAACCTATACGTTCAGGAATCTGGGATAAAGCTCAAAATAAGCTTGAACCAACAATTAGAAAGTGCTGTAGTAGAACAATGCTACAAAAATATACGGCAATCACTTTGGCATAAGGAAAGTTTGCTTTGATACCACTCAAACTTAATGAAAATTAATTTCAGAACAATTTGCAGAGCATCTAAAGTTCACTTTAGAAATCGAAACCGTGATGAACAACACTTTTGCTCATAACAATTTTACCGATAGACGCCTCGTACCAGTTCTATTTTTCATAAATACTTACCCCCAATAATTACAATAATTACAACTACGCTCTTGCTTTCGAGACATGCATAGCATGTCTATTATCATTTACATAATCACTTTTTACATATCCGTTCATTCATACTTACCTGTATAAAGATAAGTGAACTAACTATATACAATCCATTCAATCATAAAAAAACAATGTGTGAAAAATGAATAACCAATGTATATACACCTATAGGGTGAGTTATTAGAGCGGGCTCGGTTGATAACCACGTTATTGCGCACGGTATCTAAGCAAGCTGAATACAAAAATTGTACGTTGTGTGCACCTGATTTAGAAAATATTGTCGCTTAAGGGTGATTCAGCACCGCTAACGAATGGAAGAACCGTCTCCCGCGCTGCGTGGCTTCAGAAGGAAGTTATTTTGAGAATGACAATATAAAATTGTGATTATACTTAAATCAAAAAAATTAAAAAAAATCAGTTTCATCGCTTAATTATCTGATTTACGAAAGGGATTCCTATAACTCACAAACCAGTCATATAAGCTGCCACAAACCTTATATTAAAGAAAGCTTGTGAAAATGGGAATTAAAGAATGTGAAAATATACCAGGTGCTCCGTTTGAAAATGTCGAGAAATCTTTTTGGAAAAACATTAAAAGTGAGAAGATAAGGAGAGAATATGAAATCACAAAATTTTTCTGACGAAAAATTTTAAACTCTAACAGTTGCGGAGGTGTGAGTTATCAAAGTTGATTATTTTTGGTTCGATAGATTGTCCAATATCTCAACAATTTGATAATAAAACATAAAAATGCTTCGTTTAAAAGACCAACCCAAAGCTGTAATAAAATGTAGGTCTTTCCATTAAAAAAAAATTGTTGGAGGTGACCACATACCTATGAATCACCCAGTAGAGATAAAAATATTATTTGCTGCAATTTTTGAAGTTAACTTTTTTAAATACCAGACGTAATAACGTAACAGCCCACACCAGAAACTCACCCTGTGTATTTCCATTCAGGATAAGTTTCTAGTGAGTCCAAAGTAGTTTCATTATGTCGGTGATCTGTATCTCTATAGTACCCACCCAGCGCATTCCATCTTTGCGGCGCCTGAGGTATTATTGTTTGGTAACGACAATGGTGTTCCTGGGCAATTTAAAATGAACTTATAAGGTAAAAAAGCAGGCGACTTTTCGAGTGATTTAAATCGCAATAGACTATTGAAGCAGAAACAACGCTGAAAGTAGATTAGCAATAAAATCATTTTTCAAAGTGCATCGTTAACAAAAGATATTTGTACATCAGTTTGAGCACCTTATTATAGTTGTTACAACAGAGATCACTTTCATGTTACCTTGGCAAGGGCATTGACCAAAGTTCATTATAAATGATAGTTCACTGTATACCAATTTTCATCATAAAGCATTATAACCATCAAACAAACGCGACACTTACTTATTAAGATAATTGATGGTAAATTTTTCCTGACGTTAAGTGTGGTATATAAAAGGAATGAATAATAACTCCATCTATCTCAATTTTACTACACGAAATATTGTGAAATAGGTTAGAAGCGATGCATCTGAACTTGATTAGACTATGTATGTACACAGTCTAAATGTTCGAGAAAAATCTTGATTCAACTTAAATCCAAAACTTTGGATTCATTCATCCGATGAGAAGTATATGCAATTTTTATCACAGGTCGCAAATCTCCTAATAAACTATCCTGATTAGAACATACCTTTCTATCCTTAACCAATATAAATGAACTGCGCAATAAATTTTGCCCAAAACATGTATATAAATATCGCTTCATACAAATATACCAACCAATCAATTTGAAAAAATATACAACGACTTAAAAATTACATCGAATATTAAATAAAAAACTACTTCCAACACTCGCAACATACGCGCATACCTACCCACGAAAGTGGGAGGGGCCTGTCGAAATGCTCAGTCTATAACTCATTCTGATGATCTGTCACCTCAAACAAGCTCCATTTTTATATCAGCTTTATTTGAAAGATAATCGGCAAAACGTCCTGCCTGTATGTTTAACTGTCAAATTAATGTTAATTAGAAACTTAAGAATAGGACACAAACATCACGTGTACATTATCCATTTTTTTGTTGATTGTTTATTCCAATTTCTCGGAACTTGATTTTCTATTACATCTTTGGTCTAATGATGTGAATTCTTGAAGCAAGAAATTTTCTCCTCGATTAGCTAAATAGAACGTCCAGCTGGCGATTAAACCGCAATAGCCGTAAATCTAACCACAAAACTTACTAATCAATACAGCAATGGTGAAGTCAGTATAAAAATCTAAGTATTCAAGTCAAAAACTATCCGATCAGCTATAACAGACCTTTAATATTTACTCATGCGGTATCCTGGGTACAGTTTAATGAAAAGTGCTCAGAAAGGTTATATTGGTAAGATATTCGTTTAAACTGATTACTATTCTTACTATGCTTGGTACAAAACTTTTCGATTAGCCATTGTGGAAAAGTTTTATTTTTGAACAAATTGGCAATTCTACGTACATATGCAACATCTTTTTGCTAATCAATCATTACACATTATATTTCTTCATTTGCGGCTAGGTTTGGAGGCTATCAGAAACAATGCATCTGCCTTTGGCCTTTGATTTGTTTCATTTAATAACTACTGTACTAAGCTTCAATATCGTAAAAATATCACGTATGATCAATTCATATCAGAATATAAGGTATATTCATAAATACATTTCATTTTGACCCATGTTGTCTATTTCATATTGGAGGATGAACGAATATCAACTGTACCATAAACAGGTTTCACCTGCAAAACTGAAGATCGGTATAATGTTACATAAGGTGTCGATAATAGATGTCAAGTATTTTCTCATATCTGTGATAAATACACACCTTATGCATTTCAGCTACAACTATAGGTGTCTCAGACCTTATATGTATTGGCATGTATGTCAAAAGATGTAAATGAGAGCTTATTTCCCATGACAGACCCAGAAAACCAATAATCTCAGCCAAGAGATAGAAACGCACTATTGTTTGGCATCGACAAACTCCTCCAGTTTCCGACTTTCTAGACGATACTCACGATGCGCGATAAATCAGCGAGTAGTAGGTGGGTTGTTGGTGTTGTGATGGCGGTGGAGGCGGCGGCGGCAGCTGCTGCAGTTGGCGCGTTCTGATTGGCTGGTGGTAAGTGAGACCGGCGGCGGCCGCACGTCGACGCTGCTCCGCCGCCTAACAAAAACGAAAACATTTGGTTAGATACATAATTTCAGTTCATTCACTTCATTGCATAAAATTTTGCAAATCAGATGACAGCAATCCTTGCTGACAAACGCAAAATTGGTACTACATATTAACATATATAAGACGTTCCACCAGTGGATACCAAACCCATTTGAAAGCTGTGCCTACGCGAAAATAAGCATACGCACCCTGGCATTGGGCATTGCCAACCACTTATAATTAAAGCTATATTATATACACAGAGTATTCGTAAAGTCCATATTTCCATAACAGAGTCGGATTTCGATTGCTGATCTAGCCCTAATAATCCCCATTATAAATATCCAAATGTATTCTTCCTTACTGTCGGCAGTTGCAGATCTGTTGGCTCTCGGTGTCAAACCTATAACGCAGGTACAGATTGTTTCTAATCGTGAACAGATTATTCGTCGGATTTTCGTCACTTAAATTTCCTGTAATTCCTTCAGAAGCTTCTGAATAATGGAATAATAGAACGTGTTATCAAAGGTGCAACATTTAATATCACCTTCCCATAATCCCCACTTTTTGGGTACTACATTTTTTTATGACAATGATTAGGAACCCCTGAAAAGTCAGAAACGGAGTTTCAGTGATTGTTATTTTCCTTTTTCTTTTTTTTTTCTTTTTGGCCTATAGCGCCGCCGCAATTGGACTGAAACTACAAAGCTTTGTTTGGCATAGTAGTAACCTTGTGGGTTAAAGTCATAAAAATCCGAGGGGTAATTTCCAAGTTATAGACAGGCAAAGGATTAGCAAACAGACCGACGGAAATGTGTGATATAGATTTTCGTGATGTAGATGTCATATTACCTAAAAACATAACATTTCATTTTCGAAATTTTGCGAGCCACGGCTTCAAGATGGAGGAATAAAAATTTTTAATTTGCCGTAGCAGCCTAAACGTCAGGAAATCAGTATATTCACCATCTTATGTTTCATTTACTGACCAGTGTAAGATGGATAGATCAGACAAACAACCGGAGGATATAAGTTCAGAAGTTACATTTACGTAACTAGTTACGAACATTTACTTCGCATCAGCCATCGCGATTATACGAGTAAACACCTATTTGCAGAATGACATATATACGATATTATATGAAATAGGGCCACCGAATGATCTGAATACGTCCTTTCTTAGTGCGTACATACCGACGCGTCGCTTGGGCTGGCAGCACGAAACAGTAGACAAAATTCGTCCGATGTGTAGGAATTTGTGCGCTTCGAAACTGACTCATCATTTTTAAGTATTTTTTCCACTAGGTTCTTTTTAAAAAATCTCGAAGTCTAACAAAAAAAAAGGTAAGCATTTCAACCCACCATAAATCTTGTGCAAAAACAAAATTTCAAAAAGTACTCCGGCAGCACCCTGGGCAATTGTCTTCTAAACATACTGAATGAATTTCATTCAAAAATATTGAAAAATGGAGCGTCAGTTTCGAAGCAGCTGAATCCTTGTTCGTGGCTTGAAACTCCATGCGTCGGAGCTGCCTTAAGAGCTGATGCTATTCACCATTTGTAACACATTGAGTAGCTCATATCTAATACAAAGTCGTATATGAGATACGCGCAATTTTGTAAAATCCTAGAAAAAAGCCAAAAACATTCGATAAACCATCGCTTTTTAAATAACGCCGTGCTACTCTCGTCTCTCATTCTTATAATTTATCTTAAAGTATAGTCGCCCTATAGAGTTCGCAAGTTATAGAATGATCGCTTACAATTTATAAAAAGTAATGTTTATTGAGTGGTTTGACCTTCCAGTGCTTCGTGGCTTTTCGAACGAATTTATAGCAAAATTTTGCAACAGTGTATATTTAATCAAGTCAGTCAAACAGACCCATACAATTAGTCCATGGACACTCTTTCCCAGAAATAGTATTTACTGTCCAACTGGCAACATTGACCCTTCGCATATTGCCAGAGATTGCAACGCCCACCGAAACACCGGCGCAATACGAGCAGAAAAATCAAGCAGATCGTTACGCCGGGCGCCGAGCACAGATTGCAGAAGACGGATATCGGAAACATTTCTCTATCATTCAAGTTTTAAAGAAACGTACGGAGAAGTCTGTGATGGTAATAGGTGCGTAGAATTACCGGGGTTGGGCGAGTATAAATAAACTCCCTAATTGACTCCTTAATTTTTTTTTTTTCAAAAATGATCAGGATCCTCGTTGAAAGCGACATTTGAGCGATTTCATTTTTTTTTTTCGTTTTTGGCCTTTTTCTCCGACGCCATTGGACCGATTTCCAAAAACTACAAACTTGTTCGTCCTTGATGAAGAAGCAACATTGTGACAGAATATCATCCAAGCCCGAGCATTCCTTTCCAAGTTTTAGATGGGCCAACAAACAGACAGACCGACGGAAATGAGTGACATAGTTTTAACATCCAACATTTTCGAAATGTTTCGCGATTACAATACCTCCCCGCCCGGTGACGTAGCAAGTAAAAACATAAAAATTCATTTTTCGTGAACAAACCACCTTAGATTGTCAAAATTATTCATTAACCCAACAGCAAATTGCAAATTGTGATTTGTCATTATTTTCGGGCATTCGTTTCGCATTCCTGTAGCAGTAGCAGTAGTCACCTTAGTAAGAGTGAGTCGGATGCACAGTACACGGTACTTTTCTGAATATTCACTGGAAAGATATGGAAACTGCGCAAATTCAAAACATCGCAAAAAGACGAAATTTATCATACAGAAGTATTAACAACGTTTTTTTAACACAGGATAAATGCATGCTTGCAATTAAATTTTGTTCTAACCTCAAACGGCTTATATGTCCAATCGTCGGTGTATTTGTCATGGTTGCTAATTACCTAGACAGCTTCCCCTTAACGGGGAATTTTCAGAAGGCGGATGAAAACAACATCTATTGACTACTTAATGTAACAGCTGTGTTAAAGATCTATATATACCTAAAGCAACTCCACTACAAACATTTCCAATTTCCTCCTACCTAGCGCTAAGGGTTGCCCTGTTGCGGATGTGGAGCTCCGGCGCCGGATCCGGGATGCATGAGGACCGCCCCAGCTTGCATGGGGTGCTGGGGATGGCCTGGAGGTCCAGGCTGACCTGGCTGCATCGATCCTGCTCCCGCAGCTGCGGCCGCCTGCAGGTACTGCACTCCCGCAGCCTGCATCATGTGAGGTTGGGCGGGGATCAGAGGGTACATTAGAGGAAACTGGTGATGACCCTGAAACAATATATGGATACATTAGAAAGACTATAAGGGAAACTACACAAGAAATTTGCCCACAAAAGGTGATCAAATCTGGATCAATCCAAATTAAGGTACAAGACAACACTCTCAGAAATGGAGAAGTATCTTCAGACATCTCCGTCAGGCACGGGAACTCATTGTAGGGCCAAGCGCTAAGGATGGACGTTTCTGCTTGTCTCTGGATAGAGCCAACCTAAGGATGCTGGTGGGACTGTTGTCTGGCCACAACACGTTACGGTGCCAACTGCACGTGATGGTTTGAGGACCTCTTGTGTGAGCGCTATGGGGTAGAGGAAGAGACCTCGGCGCACGTTCTGTGTCGCTGTGAAACTCTGAGCTTCTACAGGCAGATTATACTGGGGTCCATTACTTTGGACCCTCAGGATGTCAAGGAGCTTGGACTCAAGGCCATACTGAACTTCGCTAAAAAGGCGAGGCTTGAGGTCTAAGGAATGTACTCGTAGAGGTGCATAAGGGCCCGTTTAAGCGGCCTATGCGCTGTCTCCATATGGTGACCGGAATGCCTCTAATTTCAAGATTTATTCATTCAAGGTACATTGGGTCAAATCCCATAGGCCAAATTTTCGGATTGATAGGTCTAGGGGGCCCCTAACCTCAAAAACATGTTTTTCTCAAAACATTTTGAAAACATCCATCACATTCCTATGTGCTAAATAACCGTGATTTTTTATAGATTAGACTTAACTTTCAACGAAAAATTAATTTATGTCTGAGAAAAAACTTATCATTTTTGTAACTTACATAGCTGCAATTCATGCTTTTAATTATTCGGATGTGTTAAAAAATTCAATCACATGTTCAACCCTTTAATAAAACGTTTCAGTTGAACTTTAATTATAACTGTCGATGTTGTTCTTACGATACACTGCAAGTTTTCTTTTCTAAGTTAGAAGAATAACTAAGATATTTTTTACGAAATTGAAACACCGCTTTTGAGGCATATAACTTCTCAGGGGTACAATTTAACCTATAGGTAAGTTGCGTTAAATTACAATATTTTGGGTTCCCCTACATACCCCTGCTCTGTGTCAGTTCTTATGCAATAAAAAAAATAATTCAATTCTGTATTGCTATGAGCACCAAACTAACCTCTCAGGAGATCAATTCTAGAAAGTCGGTAGAATAACGAATGGAAAGTGGGCGCGGTGTATTTCTCGAAGTACTGCATAATTCAATACATAGTAGAAGAAAGACTAAGGAAGTATCAGCATGATAAAATTTTGATATCAATGATTATGTTGATGTACATAAAATTTGTGCGTCTATACAGGGTGTCCGCAAAGTTCGGGTTTTCCTTTACACGACGTGTAGATCTTGAAAACATAAGCAATTTTTCTTAGTACCATATACACCAATGTCTTAAGGGAACCGAGATAAAGGGCTTTGCAACATCAAAAATATCTGAATACCGCCCTGTAGCCGCGACTCGCGACATCCCCGACTGGTACTAGGACACTAGCTCAACCCAACGACAGAACTGGGTCGGGGGTCGGGGTCAGTGTGTCAGGTCAGTATGCAACCTTCAACCGACGGTTACGGTCACGCGTGTAGAGGTAAACGAACCCGTATAATCGATTGCGTTTCAAAAAACAACAAGCACTAGAGACGTGGCTAGAGAAGTGCAAGTATCAAAAACTAAAGTGTGGCAAACGCTGCGTGAAGAGGGGCTGTATCCGTTTCACGTCCAACGTATACAAGCCCCTCAACCTGACGATTTTCCAGCAAAAGTGCAGTTTTGTGAGTGGTTGTTGCATCAACATGACAATAATCCGGACTTTTTGAAGTGCATATTGGTGACAGACGAATCTACGTTCACGCGTAATGGGATGAATAACATTCGCAATACTCATGTTTGGTCAGTAGAAAATCCGCACGCTGTCCGTCGGGCACATTTTCAACAAACATTTTCGGTGAATCTTTGGGCTGGCATGGTGAACGGTATGCTCATTGAACCATTTATTCTCCCAAATCGATTGGACGGGATGCAATACCTAGACTTTTTACGCAACATTTTGCCTTCCTTGTTAGAAGATGTGCCATTAAGTGTAAGACAATCAATGTGGTTTCTGCACGATGGTCATATTTGTTACCTCTGTTCGTGGTCTACCGGTCTGCACCACCGCCGGCGTCTGCTCGGTAGCTCATCAGCTGATTTCATTTTCTGTTGGAGCGGTATGATTTCGGGCAGAGAAGTACTTAGCCCTTCTCGTCAACTGGAGAGTGAGTCCTTTTTTCTTTATTTTTTTTACTTGGTCGCCCTCGTTTCACAACACATTACCTTTGTTATTTCAAGGGTAGTTGTTTCTGAAAAGGAAAACCCCAACTTTGCGGACACCCTGTATTAAACTGTTTTCCTAAAAAATGGACGCATTCGCAAACAATTCTCATAAACGTTAAACGCTGTAAAAAGTTATATTCTAAATGGATTGCAATTATGGCAAGGTCATTCCCATAATTTGACCCACAAGAATCGCGATAAGCAAGGCAGATAAAACCTCACACTATAAACTGACCTCCCGACCAGTAATCATTAAAGCTTCTTCACCTATCATCATATTGGATCGTTAGAGGTAATTACCTGAGGTGGGGGTGCCTGACATTGCTGAGGTTGAGGCGGTCCTCCTTGCGCTGCTTGCTGAGCGGCAGCTGCGGCCGCCGCAGCTGCAGCTGCCGCGTGGTTATACTGAGGTGGTGGCGGTGGTGGTTGTGCGGGCGAAGGCGTCTGCGATTGGTGGGGTCCGGGGGGGCCAGGTGGTCCGGGAGGGCCAGGCGGGCCGGGAGGACCTGGCTGAGGCTGCGGAGGCAGGTACTGGAACAAGCGTATGTGCTGGTGGTTATGTTCCTCCTAGTGGACGAAACAAAAAGGAAATTATGAGAAATTGTAATCAACGAATGTTGCACCAGTTTAAAATAGATGTACAGATCAATCCCAATTTGCAACTTGTTAGGATTTTGGTACTTACTAAAAATAATATTGGTTATGTTCAGTTGCACGAGCTAGCGCAGCGTGATGTATGGCTTAACTTATTCTGCAACATGTCTGAATGGACTGCCTTGTAAAATTTTAAAATCTTGAGACTGATTGACAGATGTCACGGATGTGAAACTTCATGCTGCAGAACACGTGATATACAGCAACAAAACGTAACCATTGTTACTGAGGAAATACGACAGTAATCCAGTTTATGTTAATTTTGATGTGAACGTTCAAGTTAGATAAAATACGTTTGTTTTCAGTAATGTAACCACAAAGCATTAATAGTAGAAGATCCGAATTAGAATCGACCATCACTGACCTGCTTAATGTATGAAAGTATTTTAAATCAGATTGGTATGATAAAAATATATCGCGAGTGGATTGGCTAAAAAATTCCTGGTTAGACTGCGAAAAATCCGTTTCTTTCGTATATCTCGAGAAATACTCGGAATTGCGACACTTTCCAAGTACCATTTTATGTATATCATGTATTTACTGTATTCTCAGTACAAGAAATTATAACTTCTTCATTGCATCTATTTCCAAAACAGTCAGTTTTTTATAACACGTGGTATGGTAACTAACAAAATTGAGTGATGCTTTAGTTAGCTCAACCTGATTGCACTCAAAGTTATTTTCTTTATGAAGAGCTAACTTCAAGCAACATTTCATCAATCATTAAAATCAATTAAGAAATCGCCCGAGTCACGCAAAAATACTTTTTCGCTATTCTTTATAACATGATCATAGACATTTAAGCATAAGAGTTGAAATGTGTGCCTACTATTTGACAAGACATGATAGAACTAAAAGATCTCAAACTGAGACCTACGACACTATACAGGCTGTTACAATATTATTTTGTTTAATAAAAAGTCATTTTTCAATTTTTAATTAGACATAGTCTCGCGCGGAATGTTTTGCCAACCCACTCGCAATATGTTTTCAGCATGGTAAATTTGATATATATAGCTTTTCATCCATTACAGCCCAACTAGCAAAGTAGTGGAATACACTTTTGGTAAAAGAACCGTTCAGCCATAAAAGCTCTCTATTGTTGTTGCCTGAACACCAAAATGCTGGCTTAATGTTGTGTGGAATGCAAATTTGCTTTCTGCAACATATTTGCTCTAAAATGAGGTGTTTAAAATATTCTTATAGCATACAACACCTTATAGGGCAAATTTTTAAATGTTGCATAAACGTTTATACAACTATTTTATACGGCATATTTGCAAGGTAGTCAAAATGGTTGTGCTGTGGCACCCATGCTAACGTTTACATATATAAAACAAACCCGAGCCTTGTTACTTTGCTGTGCAATTTACTACATTAGCCAACAAATTGCTCCCAAAGGAAGCACTTATACAACTGTTACATATCCTAAATATGTTGGTAAACAACTTCACCATAACCTAACTTTCTGTCATATTTTTGTTAAAATGCCATAACCAATGTTTTAAGACAAACAACGCATGCATATCGGTTCAAAAGGTTTTATCAACTATTCAAACAGAAGATATAGATCTGGTACAAATTCTGGGTAAATCATGCGATTCTGTCGGTATTTCATTTCAGACATTTGTCAAATTGTTGTATAACACCTGCAGGCAACACCAAAATATTCTAGTAACCTAAAGACAACATGGACGATGCCATGATTGTACTCAACCACCCGCCATATTGGGCAAACATTTATTCCTCTATTTAATATTAAATAATTATGTTTCAGTTAGAAATTACAGATATAAAGTGATAAACATTAGTATAACTGTGTCTAAATATAGGATTTGTGGAAGATTTAACGCAGATCAGTTTTCCATCTTAAAAATCTGGACATACTTTTGATCATTGTCAAAATATGAAGCCCGTAGAAATTGGGTAACTAATTTGCACGATAATCACAATAAGATTTGCTGCGCAAGTAATTCAATAGCCCTATATCAAAGTGTAGAAGTTTATCATATACCTGTGTATGAAATTCACAATGGCCGATATGTAAGTAAACAAGATGACTGTAATGTGTTAGTTATATATTCTTCACTTCGTCTATATAATACATAAGAAATAGTTTGGTTGCAATAAAGTAGAAATACGTAACAGAATAGTTGTATAGTTGACAAAAACTGAATCTTGCACTGACGCAAATGTCCTTTAGCGGCTGCAAGAGGCTTACACTTTTGTTTTATAACTGTTACCTGCAGCCCTTATACAACCTCTTAAATGAATTAGGTGTGCCCATTCCGCTTGTATAGCTGCTCTAAGAGGGTTTTGCTAACGTTCTTACAGTATACAATGCTGTTTAAGGAATACTGTATAATCATTCTTGCAACTCTAATAGGAGTGATAATTGTTAGTTGGGAGGTAGGTGGAGATCGTGCCTAATTCAGATCTTAAACTATAAGTCTATCTGTTCATACGCCAACATAAATCAGTAGTTCATTTATACCTTATTTACTTTTTAGATATGAAGAAACAAATTGTGCAAGCAAAAGATAAAGACTTTTTCCAAAATAAATGCGACTTTAAAAAAATATAAAAAGTTGTATGGAAAAAATTGCAGTGTTAAGTAACTTTTGTTTTTTGAGATAATAAATTCGGAAATACCATAGAGAAGTGGTTAATGAAAAGGTCAATTGTTTTAATATTCTAACAAAATGTTTTTGTGAAAAATATTCAATTTGCTGTAAACCAAGATAATACAACATGAAATTTGGGCATCTCGAATGCCCACGTGTCACCTAGTCGATAAGAATAACATAACAGTCTTGCAGCATCAAACCAAATAGAAATCTTGAAGTTAGTCCTGCTGAAGGCTACAAGTAGCAACATGTTGAAACAAAATACTTATCAACTTTTAACCAGAATTGGCCGGTTGCTTCCAGCTACTTGATCCCCTCAAATAATTTGAATACATGCCTGTATCTGGGCGGCGGCTGCCGCGGCGGCGACGGCCGCAGCTGCAGGTCCCTGTGCTTCGTACATGCGAACAGCCGCGTGCATCGGCTGGTATGCCGCAGGGTTCATTGCTGCGGCCGCAGCGGCAGCAGACGGCGGATAGATGAACTGCTGGATGGGAGCCGGCGCCAGCAATGGCTGGCCAGTCGCGGCAGCCACTTGCATCTGTGAAGCCATGTCGGTGCGCATCTGGCCCATCGGCATCGAGAATGACGAGAAGTCTGGAAGGAAAACATACGTGAATAGGTTGGTTCGTAATAAATGCGCAAAAAAAAACAATCCTAGATTAAATTTGTGGGAATAACCATATTTATCCAAAAATAACCTAGTAAAATGTCGTTCATTGCAGAAATCCAGGGTGTCGATATTTAATTTTCTACAACACAAGCTTGCTTTTTGCACTATCAACATGAATGACAGTTTCTGGGGATGATACATACGACTATATTCTATTTTAAATCTGCCTGTTTTATGACACAGCTTTTATCATCCCATTATTTTTAACAGAAATAATGATGCGACACGTGCGGTTGGCGAAACGTCAAATAAAAATATTTTACGACGGCCTTACTACCGAAAAACCGACCGAATAACATTCGATGATGGCCGGGAAAGCCTTTCTCATTCAAGACTGATGATTTTTAAGTACTTGTCATTTAACAGACACAGTAAAACGACAGGCTCAAACACATTTCCTCAATAATAATGGAATAGGAATAAAACGTCCTTATGGATATTTTGTAACGACAATATGCCTGTGAGGCAATGCAAGATATCCACCATTAGGAAGAATTTCTCGTCCAGAACGTATTCCACTATTAACGGGCTGTGTGAGCCAGCCATTTTACTGTATTATGGAATGTTTGAAAAACCATCAAACATAAATAAAGTGTATTTAACAAAGGAATGGAACCTGGAAAAGTTTAATTTATAAATCAGCGACATTATATTCTCTAACTCGTGCCCTGTACACAATACGTTGAAAAAACGAATATGATCATATTTATCATCCTCAGAGACCCCCAATTCCCAATTAAACGATTAATCATTTAAACGGGTTTATCCCAAAAAATGTACAATACGATTAAACATTTAAACGTTTTCCTACAGAAAGATTCGAAAGTCTCTTTAAAAAACTTTTTGTTTTTAAATTTGACTGTTTAAATACCACATATATTTGTTTTATGATAAGATTACAGTTTTAATAATACAACAATTGCAATAGTTGAGGTGCAGCTCAGAAGGGTCATTACGTTTCAGAATTTAGAATGTAGTTTCAGAATTGTCGACGTTAGAACCCAAAGATCTTGCATTTGGAGCTTCTGCGTTGCGGAAATTGCAAATGCAATTCTTAATAAGTGTAGTCATACTTTTTGCATCATTATTATTTTAATTGAATGTTTTTTTTAATGTTGTGCACTTCTGTGTCTAAGGCCCGTATCGTCAGTCGTCCCTACAATTGTAGGGCGCCTTTATGGCCTCCTTGATTGTCATAGTTTTCTACTTCTCCGTGTCAGAACTCTATTTTGAGGTTATGTCACAAACATCTATTTGCATCAAATTGTGCTTGCTTTTGAGTTATATCATGTTTTATCAGCCTGAAATTTCCTACAATTTAAAAAGAAAACATATATTCACAGTAGGAGAGCACTGACGCTGACACGGGACAAGTGTAATCTAGAAATTTTTGAAGGAGAGAAAGGAGTGTGACAATCAAGGAGGCCATAAAGGCGCCCTACAATTGTAGGGATGACTGACGATACGGGCCTAAGGCATTTATATTCTGCTGTGCTAAGCAAACTGCTCGACGCGGCGGCTCGTTGGCGACATCAGTAGTTCTGGGTACTAGGCAATAAAGGTGCCATCTATTATTCAAATTTTAACAAATACGCGAAATTAAGTCAAACTGATCCAAAGCCTTTTCTGTAGAGCCTTTACGAACTCAATCATTATCACAATCATTTGTAAATCGTACAAAACTGTCAAACGTTTAGTGCTAAAAAATTCAACAGTTTTCCACTGAATGTACGATTAAACGTTGAAACCGTTTAAACGGGAATCGATGCCAGATGCCAAGCCCTAGTAATTAGTTCTCCCTTGGTTGGATTAAAATGTGACAATACTTACTCCTCTTCATTCGATTGCCTTGCGGAGGCGGTTGATACTGCGGCTGACTGGTCATCACGTGATATACGGGCATCATAACCGGCATTTGGGGTTGAACTCCTGGTCCACTCACCGTAGCAGGGATGTACGGACTGTGACTTGGCGTCTGCGGAGTATGAGGCCTACTTGCCGACGGAGTACTTGGAGACCTAAATAGAGATATGTTCATTTTCAAGATAAATATAATTTTCTATATTTTACAAATAGCTGTAGCATTCTCCAGGCAGTAGTTCTGTAAATACTTCACTACACTGTTACGAGATTTGACCTCTATGCTCCGTCCTGATCCTTTTAGTAAATTTTGTAGGCCATGTTAATTAGATATTAAGTATATATGTTTTGACGTTATGTACTTTTTCATTCATGTGTGACAAGGATTTTAATAAAGAAAGGCAAGTAGTCTTGCGGGAATTTAGAGCGGCGTACGTTTCTGCTTAATGGCTTTATCAGGCCCAAATAGATATGCATCGAAAACACCGAAAACATATGCACGTCACATCTTGATATGGATGTAAGCTGAAGGAAAACATGGATGTGAAGGAAAATACACCCAGAAGCCACCAACAAGAGGCAACAGGCACATTTGTGGCTTCGGTTAGGAGATCTCGCATTACGAGGTATCAACCAACGTCGCCACGAAGGCCAGCTCTTGTCGGTGGTTTTTTGTTGTATTTCCCCTTCCATCCTTGTTTTGCTTCACTTTACACCCATATCTAGATGTGATCGGCATATGTTTTCACTTCGATGTACATCCATTTAGACCTGATGAAGCCAATAAGCAGAAATGTACGTCGGTCGGGTTACCAATCCTTCTATTTCTACTCCTGTTCCTTTATTGCGGATATGCCCACGATTATCCTGCGATTTTAAGGATTTTCATAGGAACGGAAATCGTTGAGCAAGGATATTGACTGATTTCAAAGAGAAACGTTCGGCGAAGTTAACGACCGGCAGATTGCTTCATCAGGATACCCTTTTGCATTGCAATGATCGCCCTACCCTAAGAATTTTTTGAGTCGGTAGCGTACCCGCTGTATTTGCCAAATACAGTCTCCAGTAATTTCAGACTATTTCCAAAATTTCATGAACATGTACGAGAAAAAAATTGATTATCAAGAGACATCTCCCATAAAAAAACTGATCTCCAGCAGTCTGACAAAAATTTCTCCGAAAGGGTATTAAAATGCTGGAGCACCAATTGAAAAGATGTGTGTCAGTAGGTATTAGCTATACAGAAAAACAAGATATAAATTTAGGAATCAATCCTCGATAAAATGCATACAACAATTTCGCAATTTCTGCACAATACCATTTTCTGTAAGATTCTCACCAAGTGCTTTTTGGTAATACATTAAAATTGACAAGCACCTTCCAAAGCTTAAGCTATTTTAATTTTTCATTCCATTCATTTATTCAGTCCTGAGAAACGTGAGTAACCCCAAAACAAAACAGGGAATGAAAAAACTCAAATAAGCACGTTGGTTGCTCCTTGGAAATTATAACAAAAAAAATACGCTCGACAATATCGGTGAATTGGAAACCCCAAAATCATTAATAAAAATGTTTTGATTGCAGTACGCTAAATATTGTGAAGAAGGGAAGCTGATACAAATTACTGAGTAGCCGACAGATGATGAAAATATTTAGCTCAGATGGCTTAGATGCACTCTTAAGGAACGTGATAAAAATGAGTGAAGAATTTTAAGAACTTTGCCTAAAGAGCACTTTATTAGATGTTAAATAAATATGTCGGGAAGTACAGAATGAATCTTAGATCAAATAATAGTTGATACTCGTAGTTTATGCTGTTCATATATTTGCCATGCATTCCAAATCTAATATACAATGAAATGCTATAGGTCTTACCATACCATATAGCTATGGTAAATACTAATACTTGCCCCATCATAGTTCTGCGCTGTGTCTGTATCTATATTTTAGTGCAGAATCTGGCAGAGTAAAAAGGCTGCAATTGTAAACTAAAATAATGATTCTATCTATACGTATAATATGCACCATAGGACAACATTCGGTTAAAAAATAATAAACCATTCTGCGCTTTGTACTAAAGAAAACATTAAAATCCAGAAGAGCTTAACACATCTAGTGGTCCAAATTTTCCAATTTTTTTCAAATACTTCGTAGATGATTTTAAATTCCTTGTAATTTTACAACACAACGCACATAATTAGAAAATATTCCATAATTTTTTTTTTCACTTTTGTTAATTTTTAGTAGACAATGGTGAACGTCCAGATGCCGCTCGGTGACGGAAATGTAACTACATGCTAAGTTAGTATAGAATTATATAGAAAATCCTAATAGACAAAAAATACCTACAAATCACTCAACATACTAAAAAAAAAGGGTCGCTTAATTTCTTTCTTCTTTTTTTTTTCGAGTGAAATCATATAAAACTACGCGAACGTAAAATTACATATGATAAAAAAGCATGATGTCACCTTAATTAGAAAACTGTATGGCATATTTTATGTGTAACAAAATGTAGCTAACGCTTCTTAATGAGAGATTTAGCTTTTATGACTTCTCCAGTGAAATGTCCTGGGCGAATGGCACGAGTGAAGAGTTTGTAAATTTTTAAAGTGAGGTTAAGCTGGCTAATGAATGCATTTAGGGAATGGCATCACCATAACACTTTATCATAGCGGCTATTTAAAACAAATTCAGACAATAGTGAGCTCCATCAGCTCTGAGAATGTGCTGGATATAAACAGGTTCAAAGTCAACGTTGCATTGAACAAGTTGGCATATAAAGACCTGGGAATATGTCGAGAAAGGAATTGAGGTTTGTAGCAGGCTCCAACAAACGTTCGAGCGCTCTGGCTACTGGATAACGGTAAAGAATCGCTCAACCTTGGTGGGTGCTTTGTCCACGCGGGTCATTGCAAGCTGAACAATCACCTGTCCCTCTTAACAGTGAAAAGAAATTTGCTTCATATGCTGGGAGGATGAAACAGCGTTCCACTTGCTTGGCTTTTGCGCTGCTTATCGCTTCCTTAAGACTCGAAATTCTAGTCATGGAGATTGATACTTGGAAATAATGACCTCGGTTAGAAGATCAGGAAGGTTCGGCCAAACTAGCAGATAATGTGAGATAAAGGATTAGGTCACACGGAGGTCAAAGGTGGTCTAGATGTCAGGGTTCCCCTCCCTACCACCACTACTACTACTAATAGTACTAATCGTGGTACGAGAGAAACCAGAGAAACGACGAAATGATAAGATTTCCCTCTGAGGTACAAAAATTTATCTGCATTCAAGCTTAGCATCTTCTATAGAGAACAATCCAAAATACTATTATCCGGCAATTTGTTATTACGTTACATAACAAAACTGAAATGATCCGCCACGGTCAAATGTACATTCTAAAAGCTACTCTGATAAGAAACGTATCCTCCAAATAAAATGACAAAATGCTTTGTTGTTCGTTACCTCTGTTCACGTACCGTCTATTAACGTACCTTGGCTGGAACGGCTTAGCAGCTGGATTGAGCACAAACTCTTTAGCATTCGGATTCAGCTTCGAGTTCTTGAAATTAGTAGTCACCTTGTCTATGTTATCCTGTTGTGGTGATACGGACTGCTGAGGCTGCTGTGGTGGAGAAGCTTGTTGAGGCGGCTTTGTAGGCTGCGAAACAGGAATGCTCGGAGGCTGAAAATTGATAAGAAACGTATTTTGAAACGGACATCACCAAATTTGGATTGTTCGCATTGACACGCCCAAAAAATTTTATACATATCAGAGATTTTGGTGCGTACGCAATATTTTCGTTCCTTAAGGCTCGCCAGTACCCCATCTATTCCTCCTTAAAACATACATCCGTAGTTCCGTCGCGAGTCAATTGTTTTTTAAGGTACAGGGAGGCCAATATATAACTGACTGATTTGAATTGCGCGTCATTTCCTATATACGCATTTAGTAGTAGTTGATTAAAGCACATGTGTCCAATTCATCATGGAGTGCTACACGATCCCACAACGCGTCCGTATTGTTAAAACGTTTTACCTAAATAAGGAAACGATTGTTGCAACGATTCGGAAGCTACGAGAAGATTTCGGTCGAATTAATGTGACCAGTGTCAACACCATTCGTCAGTTGGTGCGGAAATTTGAACAAACAGGTGAAGTTAAAGACTTGCCAATGTCGGGCCGTGTTCGAACTGTTCGTACTCCGGAAAATATCGAGAGAGTTCGTAAAAGTGTAATGGAGCGCCTTGAGACGTCTCTACCAGACATCGTTTCTCAAGAACTGGGTATTCGTCGCACGTCATTATGCACTATTTTAAAAAAAGACTTGCATTTGCGGCCATACAAAATTCAGTTAACCCAAGAACTACAGCCTAGTGACTATGAAAGTCGCTGACAATACAGTCATGCAATATTGCAGCTTAATACCTAAAACAACGATTTCTAACGACAACTAATAATGATCAATGATGCTCACTTCGATATGAACGGATTTGTTCATATCAGAATCGTCGTATCTGGGCATTAGAGAGCCCTCGTGGCATCCATCAACGACCACTACATTTGATCTTACTTCTTTGAAGACGCTGCAGATAATTCTCTTACTGTCGCTGGCGAGCGCTACCGTGATATGGTGCAAGACTTTCTAGCTCCTCAAATCCAACAATTTAACCTGCAAAACATGTGGTTCCAGCAGGACGGAGCAACTTGTCACACAACTAGGGAAACAATGAATCTTTTGCGAACAATACTTCCGGGACCTTCAATTTCTTGGACGTATTTTATTTAATTTCACAAATATAAACAAGAAAAGAGACAGGTTAATTTTGCCATTATTTCTTAAACTCGCGGCCAATATTAAACTGTGTTTCTCTTATTAGTGTTGTCAGAGACATAATAGTTTGTGAAAATGGTGCGAAGTAATAAAATTTCTGAGATATTGGATCGTAAAATTTAAAAAAAAAATGATTTTAATTCTATTCTGTAAAGGTTTTAGCAAATGATGTAATGTTCGACTTTCTATAATAATATTTAGGACTATGATAATTGGGTCACCACTGGTTCAAATCGAGAATCTGTTTTTTATATGAAAGATGTCAAAAACGTTAGTTTCCAATCAGCCTTTTTTTAACACTTTTTTATGCATTTTAATGGGTAAAAAAGCAAAGCCAGTGCCACACACCTGAACTAAATAATCTGAAACCGCTTATGCCAATGGCTCACAACGACGAGCAAACACAACCATCTAAAGAGGACAAGGAATTATATAATGTCTAACTGATACATCTAGAATTATAGTTAAAGCTACTTGGCGAGTAATAAATAATGAATGTGTTAGTTTTTAAGGATTTTTTCGGCAATACCGCATGAGAAATGACTTTAGAACTTCTGAACTTTGTGCACAGTACATTAGACCGGAATGCGAAAAATTTATGTTTTATGTAAGGCTGTTACGACTGAAGCTGTTACAAAATATATTATGAAATAAAAAAACTCCCATCATCGAGGATATTAGTACTTCTTAAGCTTTTATTTGCTGTCATTTTAGAGCGCTTAGCAGACATGTTTCCCTGCTGGATGTTTTCCTGACATGTTCAAGAAAACTAAAGCCTATCTATAAAAATTGTGAGATACTTCCTGAAAACTTTAGACAAATCCCCGTAATACACAAGTTTTTTAAGATACTATACGCTGTTTTAGATCCTTTTCATTTTATTCACAAATTATATACTTCTAGATAATATGCAAAACGTTTCAAACCTATCGATAAGTGGGAGTACTGGCGAGCCTTAAGCACGAGAGTAAATGGTACTAGTTAAAGTAGTTAAAACTTACTTGTTGCGATTGTTCCACATTCTGCGACACTTGTGGTGGCGGCTGATGGTGATGCTGCGGAGGAGGCACTTGCTGTTGGGGAGGACTCGGTTGCTGCTGTGGAGGCGGCACCTGCGGAGGATGCTGCTGAGTGTGAGGCGGCGAAGGCGTTTGCGGGTCTGCCTGCGGAGGCAGTTGCCCGCTAGAAGTCAGTTTGAAGTCCTGCGCGAAGGCGTGCAAATCTTTCATCGTATCATCTCTATGATGTTGATGTTGTTGATGGTGACGCACGTTTTGAGGCGGAGCCTGAGGTGCTTGCTGTTGCTGTGCAGATGGATGATTGTCCTATATGGGAAAATAGTAGATTATATATCTTGGTGGAGAAGTGTGCCATTATTGACCGAGCACTGAGGCGCATAGCGCAGAGGGATATAATGTACGATGACAACAACGGGGTCCACTAAGGTATACATAGTATTTTTTTTAACTAGAAACTAATATATTACCTCATAATTTGATTGTTTTGAAATAAAGCATATCTAATCATTTCCTTAACGTAGCCGAAAGCAACGGTATGGTGGAGATGGACGCTGCCACTATATGACAGTGTATGATAATGTCCACCTTTGGTGTCTCAACCATTTTCAAATATTCCAAATTATCAAGCTGACAAAACAATGAGATGCATGAATGCAGTCAACAACAATAGTTTCCGCCATAAAATAGACTCCATATTTTTTTGGACAAATGAAATGATAGTAATTTCTATATATGTGGTCCTATCAGCTTGAAAACCACATAATAAGATTCAGATGTTATATATTCTAATTTAATATTTGAAAATGGATGAAGGGTTTACAAGAATGCATACATTCTGTATTTGCCTAGATTTTTTATTAACTTTATTTACCTTGGGAAATAAATGTAACTCCTTAGAGGAATGCGAATAATGGCGAATTCTCTAGTAGTGGAAAAAATGTATTTACCTCGGCGTAATAAATATTCGTGTCCCTTTGTATGTTAGACATCGCGTCGCCGCGGTTCAGTTAACGCTCTTTTTACCTTCTAGACGCATAAGTTACTTTCACATGTTAACACACAGATTGACTGTATCAGGACACGGGATGCCAGCGCAAATTAATATTACAGCTGTCTCAACAATCAATATCATACCTGTTGCGGTGGAAGTTGTGGCTGAGGCGATTGATGTTGATGCTTATTCTCATGCTGCTGTTGCTGATACGACGGCGGAGCTTGATTGATGTGACTGCCTCCAGTACCTTGATAACGCTGTTGTCGCGGAGGCATCGGCTTGTTCTCTCCATTCATCTGATGACAAAAAACACGGTTCTAAGACTATGAGATAATATAAATCTACACCAAAAAAATATATCAATATACTGAATCCAACATGCTACACGTTATACAATATATTACCACGAGTGCTACACTGGATGGAGCATCACAGGGAGTGTAAATAAAAACAAGGGCTTGAATTGAGCTAATAGAATAATAAAAAGAATAAACACATAGCACACAACAAAGATGAGTCTGAAAAATAATTTTTCAGTTTTCCTCACAACAAAATTGGGTCTAGCCCCAAAAACTGTTAGGACAATGAGCGTACAAAATACTGTAAAAAAGTATCAAACAGTATAAAAGGGTTTAATCCTCAGCAAATGGTCAAACCAGTCGATGACAAACAATAGATCTTTACGATTTTAACAAGTATTTTAAGTGGCCTTGCCCAATATGAATGTCTCATTTTGTAGCTCCTGCTTTTGTTACTTTTGACAAAAACAACGCCATCAATTTATAAAGGATTATGTTCAGCACAAGTTAGACCCTATCAAAATAAGACAGTGTTATAGACCTTATATCCTGGATAGAGTACAATTGCTATGCTTTCATTCGTTGTCCCACAGCCTAGATCGTGCTGATGAGTTGGCAAAAAAGCACGGAACAGCTGTCTTTGGTTCGACGGACGAAAGGAGCATCTTTAAGTTAGGCCCTCTGAGAAAATAGTTGCGAACATGTGTAAGAGAGAAATTATTTTTTTTTATACTCCAACTACCACGAAGGCCTAAGGCCTAAACACCCATTGGGTACCGTGGGGCTATAGGGGGATACAGGGGAAAGGGGAACGCCACACGGACTCTGGCGAGGGAACACGTGTGCATGCAACATGCACACATTCTGGCTCCGCCTACGAGATCCGCCGGGTGGTACCTCCACGTTCGACAGTCAGAGACCGTCTACCACCTACGGATAATCACTACATCCATAGCCAAGAGAAAAATTTCTCCTGGGACGGGACTCGAACCCGCACAGCGCACGGCGACTGATCAGGAGACCGAGGAGTCTACTACTGCGGTCACCGCTGCTGCCTTATAGATGTGTAAGAGAGAAATTAAGCGGATCAAATCCCTCAAACAGGTCCGTACAATTAGTCAATATCATTTTCCTGCACGACAAGAAGTACCATCTGGCACAGTCTCCTCAATATCTGAAAGCATCATCCGTCACACACGTTAGAACGCCTACAGAGCACCAGTTATGCAGGACACATACAAACACCAGCACGCCGGGCACTGCCGTTGAAGACAGCAGACGCAGGGACGCTTGTCGAAAACATTTACGTTTTTCATTCAAAGTTTGAACGGCAAATATATGGGGGCAATCATGATGTATGAAATATGTCTAATAGGCGTGTAGAATTATCAGGGTTGTAAGTGTATTAATATACTATATATACACCCTCCTCCACAAAGCCCCCACCCCTATTTTTACCCATATTTTTTTTTCAAAAATGATCAGAATGCTTTGAAACGTCAAAAAAAATTAAGTGATTTTTTCGTTTTTGACCTTTTTCTCCTCCGCCAGTGGATCTATTTTCAAAAACTACAAGGCTTTTTCGTCTTTGGTACAGTAGTAGTAAAGGATGTTCTATCTATTGCTTCTTTTTTCAACTACCATTTTTTGACATGTTAAATGTGTCAACTGCCATTTGTTTAGCACATATGAACTGTCAAAGGTCTGCCATTTGTTATTATGGATTCTATAACAACGCAAGAACGCATTTTGGTCGTCCAAAAATATTACGAAAACGGACGATCTTTAAAAAGTACTTTTCGAAAACTTCGTGATGAATTTTGTCGACATAATGACCGTCCGGTGCCTACAGGTGAATCAGTGCCTGGTGTGAGAGAAAGTGTTCATGAAAGCCATCAACTTCGATAAGACACCGTTCGCAAAACTTAGACATCAGTCCAACAACATTATGGAGGATTTTGCATGTTGATCTCCAGCTACACCCATACAAGATCCAACTAACTCAACAATTGAAGCCAGCGAACCATCAGCAACGGCGTATTTTTGTTAACTGATTGCTTGAAAAAGGGGGGAGATTTTCGGCTAAAATCATCTCAGGCGAGGCACATTTTTACCTCAGTGGCCACATAAAAAAGCAAAACTGTAGGATTTGGGGATCGGAAAATCTACACCAGATCCATAAACAACCCCTCCATGATCAAAAAGTAACTGTTTGGTGGGGGTATTATAGGCTGGTGGCATCATTGGACCGTTCTTTTTCGATGATGAAGAAAAAGCCGTTACGGTCACCGCCGAACGTTATCGGATGATCACATGCCAACGGAGTCGCGGTGGACATACATATGTATGTGCGATGTTATATTCCATACATAAATGGCAAAGACCAACCTACAATTTTTAATAAGAGTTCGATTTCTCACTCATACAATGTGTTTTTTTATTAAAAAAGAAGGAACACCCTATAGTAGTATAGTATAGCAAATCAAATGAATACCTATCTCATAGAAAGTATCAAGGAAATTGTACGGTCATTACTGACGGACATCGCAGCCAATTTCTGATTATATTTCGGATAAAAAGTCAGTGAGCTTAGAACAATAAACAGTCACCTGAAGAAAAATATATCAGAACTGAAATTAAATCAAAGGGTGGGATTTTGCCACAAAGGGTGCTTAATGCTAATATTATTGGAGCAAGAATATTAATTCTGATAAATAACTGTTTAAAATATTATGAACTTCCAACAAAATTGAATCTCCTGTTTTAATAGGAAACATAATATAGTGACAGTCAAAAAAAAATTGGATCTGTATTATCAAGCTCTAGAAATATTTCTGTTGGTGCACCGCAAGCTAGTAAACTAGGTCCACTACTATTTCTTTTCTACATTAATGAATTTGCAATATTTTAGAATAATGTGAAATTCAGATATTTGACTTGACAAAATCATAAATTGGTTAAATGTAAATAAACTAAACTCGGATGCTTTTGAAACAAAATGTTATACTATTAGGGAAATGATTAAATGAAAATACTATCATAGGGTAAAAATGGTGAAATAATTGAAAAAGTTGAATCAATCGAATACTTAGGAATATATGTTAATTGTAAACTAAATTTTATAGATCACTATGAAATACGATATTTCAAAAGTTTCCAAAAACATAAATTAGTTTTATAACGTTTGTCATAGTCTTAGTTCATTATTCCAAAAAAAAAGACTATAATACAATTATTCTACAGCATTTACTATATTGTTCTCTGCCAATGCAGCTCTATCTCAAAATTACAAGTCAAAATAAAGCTAGGAGAATAATATTGAACAAAAATAAGTACAGCAAAAGTAAATCTATGTTACAAAAGTTGCAGAGGTTTAATGTAAAAAAAATCATATAATATTCGGTTCTTATTTTCATATTTAAAATAAAAAATCATCTTTTAACCATTACCACAATTATTATATCTGAGGAAATATAGTCATTTAGAAAATTGCAATAGTAATATAACTGGCAAATCAATATTTCAGAAGGCATCACTTGAATTTAATAAACTGAAAAATGATTTAAGATCCGCTTGTAATTTAAAGATGTTTAAAAGAAAACTAAAGAAACATTTCATTTATGTAAGTGTTGTAATTTTTAAAATAATGTAATTATGCCATCATGCTAAGTAAATCTGAAGCAAACATATAAATCAGTGTAATCCACTGTGAGGAATTCTAGTCATTCTGATGTTACATTACCTTTCTGGAAAGCTGAAAATACGGGTTTTTTCATTGTATTGGCAAGAAAAACAAAACGATTATTTTTTTATGTTTTCGGAATAGCAAGGTTTTTATTTTCATTGTGTGTGGTATTTTAAAATCTTATCAGCTTAATTTAAATACAAGTACGTAGTTTTTTATTGTTTAGATTCAAAAACTCAATTTCGGATGGATATTAAAGATCTCAAACATTGAAAAATCTCCAAAACTACTGATTTTCGGCCATACATATATAGGATAAAATCACTGGCATTTCAAGTCCCCTAACACATTTTATAATAAATACTGCTAATTGCCTGTAGCCCTGTATATGAGGAAAAATAAAACAACATAACAAAACACCAACCTCAGCTTTCACTACCAACATCTCAAGCACACCGCCGCGATAATCTAGAAAACGCGTGCTGTCAAAACTAACCGACATTCGCTACTGAAACGAGCCTAAGAGACCAGTAAATCGTTTAAGGGGGGGGGGGTTATTCTGAGTAGGACCCGGGAGTAATCTTTTTCTGTGAAGAATGATTTGTTTTGACCATTAGGTGCTGCCAAATGCCTTATTACCTGGCAACTGTCACACCGCACGGAAGGCTTTCAATAAAAGCATGCAGATTATTTTCTGAATTATTTAAATTAAAACTGTGCAAAATTCAAAAATTACCGTAGTTGGTCCAAAAAGTAGTAAGATCCTGAGTATTTGATGTCGCATTTTGCTCAATATTGACCATGAAACTTTTTTTTTATTTTCGCTGTATATGACTGAAGCAACTGCCTGAATCGAAAAACCATACACATCAACTAGGAATGTTTATTCTACCTTGAAGTGGAGGGTTAAAAATATGCGAGTTATCATAGAAAAAAAACTCTACAAGAAAATTATTACTTTTAGACGCATGACAGAGGCTTTTTTGAAAGCGGATGATCAATGAGAAAAAAAAATGGGCCTACATTCTCTATAACGTAAGACTAAAGTATTTCAAGTAACAAGTCTTATTTTTCTGTAATTGCTTTGAAAACCAAGGGAAAATATACGGAAAAACAGAATGGTATAAGAATAATTTTACTGTTTCATGAGCTCTTCAGAACAGCAAATATTTTATCAACTTCTACTAAAAAAACAGCACAAATCTGAAAAGGCCTGAAATACAGTTTGAATTGTACGGTAAATTAGCTTCATAAGGTTAACTGACAGGGTTCAGATTTATTTAGACCATGATTTAAATAAATCATTTATGTCAAGCAATTTTTTTGATAAAAAGCAGGATTTAAATCACACAATTTTTTCATTAATTTTCATGGATAACTCAATCAAATCATCTACATGAAAGAAAAGTACTTATCCAAATGCACAGTTTTCATTTATTAATGCTTTTATAGCAAACTATTAATGAATAAGGAAGCCAATCAACAACTATTTATCATAATATTTAAAACCGAACACCAATTTCGTCACCACCAAACGAAGAAAAATTCTGTCGATAGATGCAGAGGAAGCCAAAGGTGTAAACAATTTGTAGAAGATAGGCGTTAAACGACCATGCTTAATTATGATTTCCACCATTGCAATGGTTTTACAATTTTTCTTATTTCGTCTACAAAAGGTACTTATTTAAATTGAACACTCTTGGCCTTAAATTTAATTATTAAAGGCAGTAGCTCTGCACCCGCCTACTCATTTTGAGTTCCGGAAATGCTCACTGATGTCGCAAATGACACCTTTATTGTTTTTATTTGACATTCCACGTCACAACGTTTACGTTCCGCTGAGAACACATTGCATCGAGCGACAGCTATATATAAATATAATTAAAATAAAATAGCAAACAAGGAAATTTAGTGAATTAAATCGGCCCATACAATTAGTCCCTGCCAGTAGGCGACGGGTTCGTATTCTTCATTGCGCTTATTCGGTTGATATCACCGAAACACAATGTCGCCTCAGAACGGTTAACGGAAGGATTTCTATCATTCTATCTGGAGTGCAAATGTGCGGGGGATCTCTATGTGTGAAATATATCTAATTGTTAGTAGTGGAATTACCGGGGTTTGGAGCGTATACATATACTAACGACAAACAATTGAGATATACATTCCCTTACTCCCTGCACCTCACATTTGTTTTATTAAATTATTCCTTGTCAAATATTACTAAGGTAGAGGATCTCCAGGGTCAAAAGCAATAATCTAATTATTTACCTGAAGCCAGACCTTCAAGGCGGATTACACCTTTTCTCTGTGTAAATGTGATCTATTTACATTTATATAAGCTGAGGGTGACTTCTTTCTAGGGGATTCCCTAAATCGGATCTGATTCTGATATCTATCTTAAGCTGCTAAAAATTAATGCATGCATATCCAAACATCAGTTTGATGCCTTGCCTTCTTCAGTAGGAAGATACTTGATACCATTTTTTGAGCTAAGTTAACTAGACTATTACTCCCCACCCTTCACCATTAACCAGTAACGGCAACCCTTTGTGATCCATACCGGCATAAACACATACATTCTCCGTATCGGAAGAAATATTTCTATGATTCGACACGTAAATAATAATAATAATAATAATAATAATAATAATAATATTAATAATAATAATAATAATAATAATAAATGGCCTTTATTCGTCACACGATTACAAAATAAATGGTTTAAAAGGAACAGTGACGAAAAGGTGGAGTGTCAGCTTATGCTGTTTTTCGACCCGACCTACATTTAATTGGCACAGTTTCACAACATTGACCACCAAAAAAAGAAAAAACTTAGAATATAAGTATCAGAGAAAGGAAACAATCAATTACCTGTGGATATGCATAAAGTAAAATGTTAGCCATCCGACTGCTTTAAACTCATCTTTAACCTTTTTTTAAAATTGCTTAGGCTATATTCTTTATACTCACTTGATAAGCAGTTATATAGTTTGGGTGCCCAGTACGAGAAACTGCGTGTGAACAATGCTGTCGAATGCCGCGGGATAAGTAAGATGAGTTTATTCCTAGAGGATCTTTGATCGTACTGGCAGAGGAGGCTTAGTTTTGTATAAAGATAATATGGCGCTTTAAGGATAAGGGTCTTATGTACCAGAGATAGTAGGGGAAAATTTATTTGTGGAGTATGTGTAAGAATTAGAAGCGTATACGAGGTCTGTAAATTAAGTGATCAGACTGGCAACGTAGCGTTCGATCTGGCAACACTGGAGGCGTCGGGCTTGGAGGGGGGGGCATTTTTTTTGTGAAACCGTTTTTTCTATTCAAATGAATGACACCAATTTCGAGCAACGGTGTGCTATCCGGTTTTGCTTCAGGCTTGGGCACAGTGCAACAGAAACTCTTGCTAAGCTTCAGCAGGCCTACGAGGGATGTCTTTTAAGTTTTGCATATGGAAATAAAACAACATGGTAGGTAGTTTTAAATGACTTTATTGTTTTTGGAAGTAATCTCCACGAAGATTAATACACATCTGCATGCGCTCGAACCAATTTTCGAAGCACTTATTCCACTCGTTTGCTGGCAGATCCAAAAGGGCATTTTTGAATGCGTCATCTGCTTCTTCTGGTGACTGGAACCTTTGACTTCGCAGTCTGTTTTTAATTTTCGCGAAAGTAAAGAAATCGTTAGGACTTAGATCGGGACTATGTGTAGGATGGTCCAATAATTCCACGTTTTCTTCCGTTAAATACTGCCTTGTTTTTTGGGCTGTGTGCGAGCTTGCATTATCTTGGTGGAGGATGATTATTCTTTCGGAGGTGATTTTTCGAAGCTCGGTGATGACTTTTGGCAAACAAATGGTGGTATACCAATCCGCAGTAACAGTTCTTTGCTCATTAAGAGGAATTGTTGCAATATGACCTGCTTTTGACACAAATATCGCGGCCATCTTTTTCGAAACACTTCGAGAACGGAAACTAATTTTCTTACTCCTAATTCCTCGTGTAAAATTTTTTGAATTGAGGTCGGTGAGATCTTCAAGGACGCCTCAATCTCGTGATATGTCACATGTCTATCTTCAATGATGAGTTTGCGCGTAGCATCGACATTTTCCTGGGTGACTGCCGTTTTTGGTGCACCCACCCTGGGATCGTCGCTAAGACTCACCCGTCCACGTTTGAATTCTTCATACCAACGGGAAATTGTCGACTGATGTGGCGCTTTGTTGCCGAAAACAGACAGTAACTCAGCAAGGCATTCTTGTTGCGATAATTGTCTCTGAAAGTTGTAATAAATTATGGCGCGAAAATGTTCTCGATTGAGTTCCATTTTTCTAATGACTTAGTGACACTTAAATATTCACTGTAGTGAGAACACTGCACGTATTGGTGTGAAACTTTGAATTTAAGTTTACTAAAGGGTGATGTTAAGATTCAGTACTGACGTTCGATCCGCGCGGCCTACTATGTTTCTATATGCAAAACTTAAAAGACATCCCTCGTACAGAGATAGTATTTTGTCGAGAGCCCAGGTTTTTCGATGGTTTATTTTCAGAATAGAGAGTCGATTGAAGATGAACCACGACGCGATGGCCTACATCTTCAAGAAACGATGAAAATATCATCGGAATCTGGGATCATTTGCGTTCAGATCGTCGGTTGACAATCAGAATGATCGGGGAAGAGTAAAATTTGTCTCACACTACCGTTCATCAGATCAATAAACGAATTTTTGGCCAGTAAAAACAGTTCTATGGCTTCTCAGCCTCCTGATTCGCCGGACTTGGGTGCTTGTGACTTTTTTCTATTCCCGAAGTTGAAAAATCACCTCAAGGTAACTCATTTAGGGACAGTGAAGGCTATTCCAGCACTGTGTGGCTTCAGAAAAATGTTATTTTGTTATTATAATTAAAAAAAAAATAAAAAAATCAGACTCATCACTTGATTTACAGACCTCATACATACACAGACAAACGAGATAAAATGGACATGAAAAAGAGACTAACCTGCATCTTCCCAGGGTGCTGCCTCTGCGGAGGCGGCTGTTGTTGCTGAGGCTGAGGTGGCGGCGTATGCTGTATCGGGGGCGGCGGTTGCTGATACTGATGCGGAGGCGTATGCGAATGCGGCCTGGTGACATGACCGGGCGGCGGTCCGCCCACGCCTTGATGGGGCGGCTGCGAAGGCTGTTGGTGATGCGGGGGCGGGCCGGTATGCGGGATCTGCTGGGGCGGGTGGCCAGTATGGTGGTGCTGCGGGGGCGGTGGTTGTTGGTGTTGTGGAGGTGGATGAGGTTGCTGCTGTTGCGGATGGCCAGGGTGGTGATGCATCTGCTGCGGATGCGGAGCTACGGAAAAGAGATATAACGGGTAATGATGACGTAAAGACAAGGAGAAAACCTGACATTCGTGGGAAACATTTTCCGACGTTTTCTCTTCTTCCGTAATCACAATTATTTGATGCCATATGAATTAAAAGATCGCCAAGTGGTAACACGATGCAACTCGGTTTGATCAAATTTTTTGACATTATAAAAGACATGATTTTTCCGCTCCAAACGGAATTCTTTAGATTATTTTGAGCAATAAAGTTCCCAGTAGGTTTTTTCTAGGCCGTTTCGAGTTATAAGCGGTATACAAGTACAGTTGGAAAAGTTTTAAAAAACGCCATTTTTAATTATTATTTTATTTTTGAGGTTGACAAGCATCTATTGAAGTAAAAATCTGGGCTGAATATGATATGTTTGCATTCCGTCTGTTTTCATGACCAAATGCAAATTCACCTATGCTTTGAAAACATTCTGTATATCACAGGATGACAGACATTAAGTTTCGAAAAACGTGGCCTGGCAAATGATGTATTCATCTCGTTGTGTAGGCAAAACGAACTGTTCCTTCATAAATCAGATTTAGAAAAATTGGAAATGAGACGCTAGTATAGCATATACCACTCCAAGCTAATTTAAATGGCGGCGCTTGCATTTTTCTATCAAATAAACAGTAAGAATTTTTTGTTACTTTTTCGTTATTGGTATGTAAAAGAGAAAGCCCGGAGAAATAGGATGTAAATATCATTCTCAAAAGACACGGTGATTTGACACATAAAAGGTAATTAATTACCCTGTTGCACGTGCACAACGCTGCTATTCTGATGTGGCTGCTGTTGTACAGGGTGCACCACCTGCGGGGATGGTGCGTAATTTCCTAGAGGTGGCCGAGTATCTTTAGGCGATGGAGTATTCTGATTGCTGCTGCCTCCACTGCTCGTACTTTGGCTGGATGGTACTGATGATGGAGGTGGGGTGCTCCGTACAAGTTTGCCGCTGTTCTGATTCTTCCGTTTCGCGGGAGGAATATATTTACCTGGAGAACAACATAATACTCACAATATTCACAAAAGTTTGTGAGTAATGTACAAAATATTGTACATTTTAGCTTTCATGCATTCGATTTTTTACACCTACCTACAATGAATTAACAAACAAGCATTGCCCTTACCATTACTACTAGATTCATGTGTTGGCCTAACAACAGCTGCAAAAGCTTGTTCCTCATCACCATTTTCAAGTTCCAACCTAGCTTTGTGCTGAGGTTGACTTTCAATTTCATTAGCTATCATATTTGCTTTGGCTTCTGCTTCTTTGTAGTCGGCTGAATCACTTTGCTTCAGTGGTACCTAATTTTATAAAAATGATGTTGTGAGTAATAGCAAAAGCTATCCAATACAACCAAGCATCGTTTTTAATAGTTTTATCAATAATACACTCACTTCCAGATTTACTATTGACCTGTGAATAAACATTTGCAACTAGGCCACAAATTCGACCAATGGAATGCGTTTTTGCAGAAATCGATCTAATGGATATGGTCGATTTTTTATAAAATATCTCTCAAACCAGAAAAAAATACACGATTTGTGTAAGATGGGTCCATAATGCTTATATTGAATCAAGAAATACTTCATAAATCACCTAGTTTAGCTGCAAAAAAAACCTATTTTTTATATGATCCCGGGCACAAAATTTGCGACTTGGGCACACATTCGCCCAATCAAAAAAAAAGGGTTTGCTGCCAAGGCACCATTTTGGCCAATCGGAAACAAGTATATCTACTCTGTAAATAATATAATCAAATTAAAAACAAACAACACAACAAGTACCTAGGAAAATTGAAAAAATAAGCGATATATCTGTTACTAATTTTGTAGCTAAACCACGTAATATACGAAATATTTCTTGATTTAACATGAGAATAGGGGCCCATTTACACAAACCGTATAATGTTTCTCTAGTTAGACGTATTGTAGAAGAAATCGACTATGTATATTCATTAGGTCCACTACTTCAAAAACCCCTCCTAATTTTGTGCCCCGGATAGTAAAATCAAGCAGATGTTCGTTGGGTTAACTGCAAATCACATCCTCTAAAGCTAGAGCATAACACGTAAAACGTAATTACAGGAGGACCCAAAATTATTCAAGTTAATCGATATGTAAATTATTACTAAAAGCAATTTAACTGCAATTGCACTGAAAAACAGTCAAACAGCTTGACGCAGTATCCCTCCTCACGTATTTACATAATTGCTTTCGAATTGGGCGCGTATACGAATTCTGAACCTCTTAGTATTTTAGATGCAGCATTTAATTCAACACTCAAACAAATTTGTGTATCTAAAGTGATTAAAAATAGAAAACCTAAAGATCCCAGTTTTTTGGCCCCACTACAAAAATACTTTACGACATGAAATTTGAATAAAACTTCGAGGCGTTCTGGAATTTTTGTTTCTCGCGCATAACTCCACCGCTACTCGACCGATTTTTAAAGCTCCAAAGAATGTTCGTTCTGTTTTAAACATTCAAATGACAGCACACAAGTATTTTAAAGAACCTTAACTATGCATTTTATTATGTCACGCGGCAATAGGTGAGGGTAATATAACAGTGAAAATTACAAATTTGTATATCATGAAAAATCATTTTACTAATTTCATTATAGATCATCAAAGCCTTAAACAAAACTCCATTGAAGATTTAAGCATAGTAAAACTTTTGGGCTTAAATATTTTGTATCCAGGCAGGCCTCATTTTTCAACTTGCAGACATTACTAATGATACCATGGACCTTAATAACGCTAACATTCAAATTTTTTTTCGACAAATGTTCTAATACGTATGTGTGCCTAACTTGAAAATAAATGTATATTAATGGAAGGAGAATACTGAGTCATATAGTTTGGTGTCATACCGTATATCCCCTAAGTGACTGGTCGTATGTAGTCTGCACCCCATATTCCTGTTCATTTTTCCGAAACATGTCGTTAGCGTCCCAACCATTAGCTTGCTCCAACTCGAGGGATGTATCAACACCATTAACGGCTCCCGAAGGATCCCATGGTTCCAATTCCCTTTCTTCTAACTTAGAATTACCTGCAACAGAGAGATACCATTTGCTGAGAATATTTTGCAGTGCTTCCATACTGGCGGTTATTTCGTAAATAATCTCTTTCCTGCATGTGACATTCTTCCTCAGCATAATCTTGTCAGTTTGAAAACAAATATATATATATATCCATATCAGGTGTTCACCAGAATTGTTTTTATTGTATTTTTTTAATCATACACAGTGAGCCAAAATGTTATAATCATGACTAAAGCTCGCATATGATCAAATGGCCCCAAAGAATCTTTACAGCAAACGAACTTTGGCTACACTTAAAAACTTATTACATAATTATGTGTGTATATCTCAACAATTACAAAGATACCTCCAGGTGGATCTGTGCGCACTCTGCTGTAGTGTAAGACGGTTAGGGTAAGTTGCACTGCTTGTAACAGCTGTATGACGTCATTTTAGGGTCTGAACTTCCATCCATGAACACCTGTTGATCAACATTGATATCACATATAGTGTTGTTTGCCCCTACTTGACCAGAGTATTATTTCTAGATGTGTAAGACCCTGCCCTGAATAGTCTTAAAGATTCCATGAAATATTACAATGTTGGTTAGCCAGTGTCGAAGAGCTTAAGAACGTAAATAGACAACAAATAGCTGTTGAAAACTAAAGTGGGTGAACCATGGAAAACCATGATTCTTATAAAGCCAATTATTAAAGTCGTAATTATTGAAATGCGATGACAAATTCCTTCTATCCAAATTTACATCCATCGAACTCAAGACCCCGCATCGTTATTTTGTCAATCCGATCCTTCGCTTTGTTGTCGATGTTAAAATTATAGTCCTAGCTCACAACTTAGTAATACTTGTAGGAACATTTTTGGTCTTACATACAATCATAGAGATTATTGACAACTTATTTGATATCGATATTAATAAAATTATTTTGAAAATATTTTTTATGAAAACATCCTTGGTTTTACGATAGCGTTTAAGTAGAAGATCATTTAGTATCTTTCATGTGAACATGTAAGTATTTAATATTCCATTTTAATGCAAGACCTTTTATATAGTTTAAGTAATACAAGCAGATGTTTTGATGAGTTTTAACTTGACAGACTGACATATTGGAAGATGCTGATTTTACATTCTAGGATTATAAAGTAATCAGAAGGAACTTGTAAACAAGGTACCACTCCAGCCACCATTCCTTTTAAAAAATGTTCCAAACTGGCGCCCAGCCATCATATTAAATTTTAAACTGACACTATTACGCTAAAATATAGTATTAATTTCACAACACCGAATTTTACCTTACTAACTTGACCCGTTCAAAGAATAAATACGGGTATTTTTTTTAAAAACACTGCTTATCATTCGGGTATACTACTTCGGTTTTTCCAATTCATTGTCCGATTGGAGCATTGTCATCTCGAAATTTATGGATTTTTGGGATATATCGCTATGAAGTATTGACACTTGTGCGTTTACAAAGAAATCCAAATATGACTGAGAGAAGCGTGTAATACGTTTTTTTTTATACTCCGATTACCAGGAAGGCCTAACGCCTAAACACCCATTGGGAACCGTGAGGCTATAGGGGGATACAGGGGAAAGGGGGAACGCCACACGGACTCTGGCGAGGGAAAACGTGTACATGCAACATGCACACGCGTTCGACAGTTAGGGATCGTCTACCACCTACGGACAATCACAACATCCATAGCCAAGAGAAAAATTTCTCCTGGGACGGGATTCGAACAGTGCACGGCGACTGATCAGGAGACCGAAGAGTCTTCTACTGCGGCCACCGCTGCTGCCTATGTTAGAAAGAGTGCGTCGATGGCACCGCGGCAAGCTGCTCGTCACTCGGGTTACTAGGCAACGTGGAGCTTCTATCTCTTTCTAACATATGTTATGCACGCTTCTCGCGATTGTCTCTCGTACAAATTACGACGTCGGTCGTATATGGATTTCTCTGTCTGTTGACATTTATTTTATTTATTTATTTTCAGCGTTTAACTTGAATAGGTTCTATGTCGCCATACAGGGGACACAAGAGAACTACCTACAACCCTGATCTCTTGGATTTTTCTAAGCAGGTCACTGATTTTTCATGAATTGGACACATTGATTTCATCAAACGACACAAAATACACATTTTATATCGCTTATGCGAGCTGTGGTTATTTTTCAAAAAGCTCCATTTTCTATAAGGCAACCTCTAATAAAGTTTTTCATTGAAAAAATGACAATTGTCCAAAACTAACCTAGATATGCAAAAAGTGAAAAATGCACAAAAAGTGTATTCTTAAATAGTGTAGTCAAATGAGAGCCTCATCATGAAAGGCTACTGGTCAAAAATTAATAGTACCCTCTAGAAACATTAATTCAAATCAAACTAACTTCAGTTGAGTCCTTTTACCGAGCACTAGTTATTGACACACCCTCGTTAAAACTAGAATAGCAATTTTCAAGATATTTGATAAAAATCAAATTGTATGATTATTTTGGACACGCTGTATCGTGAACAACGAATCGAGATAAGAGAAAATGAGAAAATAAGTTCAATGACATCGGGAACTTTTTATACGCTGGAATGAACAAATTCGGATTATCAAGCTCTGATATATTTTCTTGTGATATTCTTTGACAAAATGCTATATTAGTGTTTTGTATACGCAATTTCCCGCAACATCTGTTCTAATACATGCCCCGTATCGGGCTAAAAATAAATTATAAATATATAAATTTGAAAATACCTATCCAGAGGTATATCACTTTTTGCTACTGGTCTGGTTACCAAGATGCCCACGTCCCTTTTGCGATAAATTTGTTGTGAAGACTGGGACAAAACAAATAGGCATTTAAGTTCACACACAGGTAGTAGTAGTTCAGGGAAAGGGATTAACCTCTAATACCAAAGCATTTTCGTGATTACTGCATCTATATAATAGTGTTCAAAATTCGGAAATCCTTAACAATAGTCATGTTGACCATCATGGTACCTGTAAATCTGTTTTCTTGGTAGGTAAGCGTCTGGATATTAATCATTCCTGAGTAACTTTTAGGACTATAAAATAATGTTATTGGGGAATATAACCATCAGTCATAGCCACCTATATTTAGTTGTAGGTGGCTGTAGCATTGTTCAAACTATTCAAGCCCTTATACTTTGTTCAGAGGTACACATTCAAATTCTAGCATTTAGGGTGGGGCATAACCGGTGGATGGAACTTTACTCATAAACAAAAGGTTATCTCAGCCATTTTTCATCAATGGCGTCAAGTAAGTTGACTCTGCACTTCACACGCAACGCAGTCATCGTTTCATAAAGTATTGTGTTCAGTACAAATTAGACCGTCTGAGAAAAAAGTTAGTTATGAACATGTATAACAAAGAAATTAAACGGATCGAGTCAGTCAAACACTTCCAGACAATTAGTCCATATACATCCATTCTCTGCCCCACCGGCAACATCGCCTCCATCGTTATCTGACCGCGAAACTGGTCAGACGTGACAGTAGGGCCAGAACACCGGCAGGACCGGCACCCTCGCCGGCGATCCCAGTTAGCAGACGGCGCATCGAAATCATTTCTCTATCATTCTGATAGATACTGATGAAGGACATGAAAAAACTGAATCCGACAATAGAATAATGAGTTCCGAAAATGTCTTCAAGTTTTAAGTATTATTTTGCAAAAAGTTGATGAAACCAAGTTGAAAACACTTAAAATTTCGAGTTCTGTGTCACACACCTTGCAAAAAATAAGGTATTTGAATAAATAAAAATGTTTAAAAAGACCAAAAAGGCACAATTAATCTATTTCGCTAATTAATATTGGCTTTTTTGTACATAGTCAAACAATTCAAAATTCAGCTTAAAAAATGCGAGAAACTTCTGGATCACTTACGCGATCACTAATTCAAATTACGTATCTCATGTCAAGAGTTAGAAGTATGATGACAGATATCTTCTATCAATGGTCATAGTTGACAACGGAAACAGCATGGTCGTGATGTTTTTTCATCAATATTTTAGTACTGTTTGATGTGGGGTAAGAACTCTTGCGTTCGCAAAACAATGGCATTCAGGTAAAAACCGTACAAACGTGTCTCGTGACAATATCCCATGGTAAGTTTTCGAAAATGCCTATTGACTCCTGGCTTTCTGTGAGAGACTCAATGTAGGGAGTAATTCCCCTATGATGATCTGGTAATATACTGTACACCTTCCATCGTGATAACTCAAAAATTATTAATTTGAGGTCCCTTTGATGAATATTATTTTCAAATTGCAGCAAAAGTAAAAAAAATCAGTGATTTACTTACTCTTACCGTTTAGTCGTGCAGAAATGGCAGTATCCGTCTGAAAAGTGTCTCTGGTGGGATATTCTAGATCTACGTCCCTCGCCACCATAGTCAATATATCACATGCTTTGAATATGAGCTTGTCAACGTAACTGGCCGCCTGGATCTGAGCGTTAGGGCCGTCTGCATCGTCTATTTTCGCAGCTACTTCTAGCACTACTTCAAAACTGCTTGAAAATGTCTTAAACACACCTACATCAAACAATAATCATTATAATAAACTGAAACAGTTCTACATCAATTGTATAAATTGACATATTAAATTTGTAATTAAAAAGCAACAAGTAGAATGACTCTGAAATTTCCACTCGATCACGTCATCAGTTCATAAATGGATCCAACCAAGCCCTTTCACAGAAAATTTAAATAGGGAAATATTATGTCTTGTCAAAAGACTCGTTTGGCCGAAACTGACTGAAAATGGGAATAGGTGTAAAAATATATGGACATCAAAAGTGCAAAATTTACAACCACCACACACTAGATAACCAAACTTTTATAGGAGATGAGTTAGAAAAAATTTTAAAAACGGTGTACGAGATTTTGCGAAGAAGATTGGTGAGTTGCATCTAAGACTACGGTAGGGGCGTTTAACAAAATTATTGGTGCATTTAAAAGCGCAATGGAACCGTACTAAAAAAAAATTTAGTATTGCAAAAATATGGTAGTATTACAGAAAAATGACGGATGGATTTCAAAAGATAAACCAGGAATATCGAAAAAGAGTGCATTCAAAAATATGGTGAAGACGATTCAAGCAGGGTTGATATGAGATAAATAAACTAACTGAGTTACTATATCTGATCAAGTATTAAGCGTCACCGATGTTGATTATGCTAATGAGTATTTGAACATAAGGGCTACATATGATTATACGAGTACATCACTTCTTAACGCATATACAGGGGTCAGTAACCAATCAGAAACATTCATAGACGACATTTTTGTCAGGTCAAAGAAATAGCTGTTATGTGGCGGAAATTTTGGATATTCTAATGTTGTCTGACATCTGGACAAAAACACGATGCAAGTGTTAAATACGAGTATAAATACTTCTTGGATCATTGTAAACATAATATAGAAGAAGCAACGAAAAAATTCATTAATTTAATTACCGAAAAGGTCGAAATTGGCGCAGCTTACGTAAAATTTAAACACAACAAAATTCAAAGATCACCTTGGATGTCGTATGCGTTCATTACATCAGTAAATAGGAAAAATGAATTGTACACGAAAGTATATAAGGTTCCAAATAACACTAACATACTAAAAGAATACAATGACTATGTAAATCAATTAATAGACATTTTAACAACGGCAAAATCCAAAAACATACCAATTTACTTTCACAAGAAATGTCTGAACAAAAGCGTTAAGTGTATAAATAGTAGTTTATGGATACTCGTATCAAAGAAATCGAATAGGATGGAACTAGTATATCAAGTGCTCAAGAGACAGTTACGGAGATTTTTATCTTACAATTCACGTAAATTGGATCGATGTCAGCTCGGAAAATTCCTTCTTTAAGAAGACACCGCCCGCAAAAAAGGCTTTGTAACTCAATTTATAGAGCAGGGACCACAGAACCTGGGATAGCAAACATAATACAAAGCATAAAATGTAACAAGTCACTACGAGTAGATCAAATTACAGCAGAAACTTTCAAACAATATTGCCAGTATATTATCATACCACTAACTTATTTATTGAATCGGACTATTCTCCTTGGTATATTTCCAAAATGTTTGAAGGTTTCTGTAATTAAGCCACTTCATAAATCCGGTAGTAAAAGGGAAGTTAATAACTATAGGCCTGTTTCTTTACTCTCAGTTTTAGCTAAAGTATTTGAGAAAATTCTATTCAAGAATATTTTCTTTTCTAAATAAGTATAGCCGTCCTTCAGAAAAACAGTATGAGTTTCAAAAGTGCATGTCAACACAGGATGCAATTTCTTATCTTCTATCACAAATAAATGCGGCAATTGGTACATCAACTCCAAATCTTTATATTTTTATTTAATTAGTAGACACGTTAGAACGCTTCAGAGGTATATCCTACATCAGGATATCTAATTTATTTGTCTGACCGAAAGCAGTGTCTCACAAGAGGAAGCACTAAAAGTAAATATTTGAGCACAAGCTAAGGCGTGCCTCAGGGGTCGGTACTGGGACCGTTATTATTCTTGCTCAATATTATGTTCGAAATCAAAACTGCCAAAAATATTGGTTTCGCGGATGAAATGACGGTATTATATAGACATAATTCGTGACACAGTCTAAAAGTTTTAGCTGAAACAGATTTTACGAAAATAGTCGATTATTTTAATAACAAGAAGCTATCAGTAAATTGAACCAAAACCCCTAAGGAGTCTCAGGTACTTACGTCCCATAGCGTTTAATGTATTTCAGGAGAATATTAACAGGATAAGTCAAAATGTTCTGTTCAAGAAAAAACTTATGCAATGGATCTCAAGTACTCCTAGGAAAAACATACGTACCATAATATCTGTGACGAGTGTACAGGTCTCATAAATTTAATAAAACGGTTAATGTGATGTTTTTTATCCATTTTCTCTCTCTTTTCATCGATACCGAATTTCAATAATACTATATGAAGACAGTTTTTATCATAAATCTTTACATTAACCGACTGTGGACCGAATTTGTATGCTTGTTTCTACCATACATTTTCTAATTACCGATTATGTATCTGACCGATATTATGACCAATATTGTGAACCGATTTTTGTCCAATTGTATATAAGTGTGTGAACTATTTTATAATGGAACCTGAGAATGTTATTTTACTAAAATTAGTGAAGGACTGGAAATTATCATATTCAATCCATAGCAGATTGAGTTTTTTGTAAATTGTATGAGCCTGCTTCTGTGGGTTTTCTGTTTACCATTCTTGATCTATACACGCTTTCATGTTCTTATTAACATATTTTCCTTAATTTTTGGTAAATAAACCTTAAAAAGTCAGCAAGCACTTCATTTTGAACGAGTCTTCAGAAATTGCAGTAAAAATTCAAAGATCTACATTGCATACAATCAGGAGCGGCTATAAAAGTTTTTGCCATTTTTGTCAAGAGATGACTCATACTGCACTTGCCATGAACACTTTTTCTCATGAAATTAAAGATAATTGTAACTTTGCTTTTATGTATGATAAAACTCACCTTCCCAAACTGACCCTGATGCAGTTTTTATACGTACAATATTCCCAACCTGACTTGTGGCTGCATGCATGAAATGTGCATTATTATACACTCCTTCAGGCGCTACAGACCTTGTCCGTTGGGTCCTGAAATAGGTAATAATATTGTAAATAATATTACTCCAGAGATGAGTACATAGGTATCATATTTCACTGCCATATCTATCTTGAATAACATCAATGAGTAATGTGTTGAGGAAGTTACTTGAATACCATCCATTAGTCTAATTCATTCACAGTGTTTTTGGTATAAGAAAAAACAGATAAGGTTTCACCTGATCCAAAAATGACTAGTAATATGTTGTTATATGAAACATACAGTTTCCGAGTTCCCCGCTCCCTCTTCCTACAGAAAAATCGATAAGCTCACACTGAAATGAATATGTAAGAACTAAGTAACTAACTGATAATACCGCCTACACTGACAATAAGAAAGGGGCCTATATCTTATCTTTATTAACCACTTAGATACAGAATAGTACATGTGGTGAAAAAAAAAAATATGTCAAAGTTGAGTTACTTTGTTATCAAAAAGAATAATCGCGTCCATGAGATGGAGCTCTTACAGCTCGCTAATTATTGCTAGATGTCAAAATTGTGAAAGTGAACAACCTCATCCTAAAGTATAATTCACCAGTCTAAAAATATTATGAACACTATTGTGACGTTATGAACGCCATCTGTTAGCGGCAGTAATAAGAACAGTCGCATTGTCGTAAGCGCCATCTATTGTAGGTCACCGGCAGTACGGCGTCTAGAACAACCTTGGATACAGTTGTATTTCAAAAAAAAGGCCACAGAGGCAGGGATTGAAGAGCAGTCGACGCAACGCGACCGCAACTTTATCATAAATATGTTATAAATAAGTGCTGTTAAGCAGAAATAATTTAGTGTGTTCAATGAATACGTGTTTTCGTTACACTATAATAAATCTGACAATGAGACAAATAGTTGGGAGTTCACATCTAAAACCAATCGCAGTCATTAGGGCTCATCAGTACGATCTAAATATCTGACGAACAATGACTCATGCTAGTACCGATCTGGCTTTGAACACTATCAATATCTTCAGTCTTACTGCCACATTTATCCCATGCATTGAAGCCCAAAGAGCTAGCGCTATGTGTAGTAACGGCCACAGTCTAAGCTCAAGTCACACGATGTTACCTCACAGAACAACACAATTCTGATGTTCTGAGGCGAACTCAGCATGATGTTAACATGGCCACCGTTGTTAAACAAAGATAGGGTGACAGCCCAAATGAATAAAATTTTATCCGTAACCGAATCCGATACAAACGTTTTGTATGATTTCGGATCTGGACGGACTTTGAATAAGACACCTAATGTTTTATTCTGCCTGAATGACCAGACATGCTAGCCGCGCGCCACTCAAACTTACCATACACCAGCTATTATTTATAATGTTTGGACAAAGTCAAGTCAATCATTTACTATCGTGAGTTTACATTCCCAATTTTATAATACTTACACAAAAATAAGTGTTTTGTGAATTGTATACTATATATATATATATATATTATTTAGATATTTTTTGATTCGCAAAATGTAAATAATTTGGTAATACACTTTTTTTCTAAAACTTCATCTTAAATCAAAACACAGTGGAAGGTGTGAGATTCCAATTTAACGAATCAGCGGCATTTGACTAAATTATTCACTTTGTACTGAAATCTACGACAAAATTAAAAGTATTGTGGGATTACTGAAGCAATTTGAAAATATATCATTTACTCCAAGAATTGCAAATAGGTTCGGAAAAGTGATTAGTATAGGGTACTGATAAGGCACCACTGCAACATCTTGATGATTAATTTGCATGTAAATCAAATTTACTAACTGAATAGACAGACTGCGGGCCCATATCCAAAACTCATAAATCATTAAAAGTCTCTAAACCCTCTTTACAAACGTCCATGGTCAGCCAGACGTAGGTACCAAACTCGGTACCATCTGGAAATTACGAATCCATATACCTGGTAAACCTTTTGCACATCTGTTGGTCAGTTCCACGCTGCATTTCTTTGCCATACTGGTATTCAAAATTCTTCATTTTCAGGGATGAATATATTTTACATAGAAAAAACTTAGTAAAAGATATACTACATTTTTTTAATACGATAAATGCCACAATAAAACGTATATTTCGCACAGTAACATTAATAAAAAAAAGTGTGAGTAATCGTAGGGAATCAGGTGGTTTTTTTTTGTATATATAATTTGTTTAAATTTTCCATGTCAGCTTATGGTCCAGTTTCACTCATAAGAAATCTATTCATTGTTTTTTTTTTGTCATAAAACTTCAGAACACTTTGATTTAGGTTAACATGTTTAGGTGAAAATTGTATTAATTAAGTTTTCCTGTATTCAATGGCAGGTAATTTTCATTTGCCCAATTAATTATACCCATCACAACAATTTTTTTACATCGTTAGAGGCTTCACTTTCAGATGTTTCAAGTATGAAATCTGAGTCGTACGCGTAAAAAACTGGAAGAACGCTTGGCCCACGAATGGATGGTAAATCTTGTTCTAAGTACAAACAATAATCCCTTCCAAGCAGCAACTGTACTACGTAACTTAAAAAGTGATATCGATTTTTTACGACATTATGTAGGTTTTTTGACATTATGTAGCTTCTTTTGACATTATGTTGGTTTGTCCTATAGTCACCTTTGAACTAGCTGACATTCACTTCATGCTCACTTGTAGTATGCGCGGAATGAACTAAGGCACACTAGCGGCTACCTAGAGCATAAGTTGACATTTTACCGATTTTTATTTGACATTAAATAGTTTTTTTTACGTATTAACCTTGTCATGCCAGACCGCAGCGAATTCTTATTCCGGAAATTGTTGCAAAACGTCTTCCAGTTAAAATAATTGCACACGCGCTAAGGCATACCTCAGTACCGACGGCGGTATAGGTTCGCTAACGGGCCACTTTAGGAATATTAAACTTAGAGACCGTCAAATAGTCGTTCAAGCATTTCTATGATATGAAGTTGTCGCGCTACATACTGAACCGATTTAGACTACTCAAAATGACCGCTCCAGGTACTGTCAGCAATTCATTATAGGAAAGAAGTGTTTGTGTGCTAGATTGTAAGCAATAACAGATATACTTTTACTTCCTACGCCACTATATCGCAAAAAAATTCGAATACGAAACATTGTTTTTTTGGATGTTGTATGACAACTACATCACGAAAAACGATGTCACTCATTGTCGTCAGTCAGTCCGCTATTCCTTGGCACGTCTATAACTAAATACTGCTCCAAGAAATATTATAATCAGTTATCAAACATTGTTGACAAATAGTTTTACACCAAAGCTCCAAGGACATAAGACTGCCATGTACGAAAACGCTCAATGCTACAATCTGAGATTTTATTTTCATGAAAGCTCAAACAGAGCATCTTAATGGTTATAATACCTACGTGTTGTTGGTGGCACTGTGTTTGTAGATTAAATTACACCACATAGAAAATTTATTAGAAACCATTTTAAAGGCATGGGAAGTACAGAGTCACTCTACTTGACGCCATTTCTTTAGTCAGTTATAGAAACGGTTTATATATGTGAATCTCTGTAGGTATATCAACTATCTGACAAGCATCAAGCGCAAACTAAGGATAAGGATTGTTGTCACCACCCAATGTCAGGAAGATATTGAGGTTCTTCCAATGGAAAACAGATTGGTTCTGCCTAATGGAAGGCTAATGGGTACATTATACGTCACGGGGTTTCATTTTCCATAAATACATCCTATATGTCAGAAAAAATTAAATAGTAGTGGGCAGTTCTATCCGCTTCAAAAAACAAAGAAATCACAAATTCATAAAAATAAAGTAACACATGAATTTAAGTTAATGTGATGAAGTTGGAAAACATGTTAATAATTGTTTAATACTTCTCAAATCTGAACTGGTTCTGTCACAACATTAAGCTGTTTTAATTTGTGATCCATCATTAAGGTCATGACATGATAGCGATTTTTTTTTTTTAAATTTAGGCAGGATGAGGCTTGACATTGCCTACCTTGACCTTTTGGAAGTTGAACTTGTATTTACGACCAAAATTCCATATATTTAAAATACTTTAATATCATGTTAAAATCGTCTTACAAATGTGCTTTCCTTGAAATAGGAAAAATTGGAAAATATAGCAATAACAAAATGCTCCAAAATGTACTATCAAAATAAAATACAATTTTACTCGGCTTCGTACCAGGTACATTTATTCTCCTTAAAGACAAATACAAGTGCGCGATGTTCAAATTCGCGAGCTCCTATTGGCCAGTGGACTATAAGTACCTGGGCATGGCAGGGACAAGCGAATAGAAGCGACGGTCGAATGCTCATGTTGATATTGATGTTGAGTAAATGAGGTTTGAATAGATTACCAAATGCAGCACTTGGCTTTTTTTTAAGTAGTAATGCATCACTAGTAAACATGTATGTACTTGTTTGCAAAGTACAAGGCATCTCTCATTTGGAATATTATTTTTAAGTAAAATCGTTTATTATTTGCTAAATAACTGCCAGTTAGTACTTCAGGCTGTAATCATATGAAATGTAAAAAATACATTCTTCTCAATAAAAGTCAACCTGTTAAATTTTGAATTTGTCTTTGTATTATAATGAGAAGATGAAGTTGAACTCTAGAAATGACAAGAATCATGTGTGATTTCCTTATTTTAAAATTATCAAATGAACTCACATCTTGACCATTGTCCATGCTCAAATGCTGATGCAAAACATTTTATTAGCTATTAGGATGATTTATCTCAAATATTCTTCCATTTTCCAAGAGATCTTTAGATTTTGTCCAAATACTGAACAAACCTAGAAATTCATTTCAATGAAAGAGGATACAAGGTAGGTGGAAAGAGGATGGATATAGCCATGGAACTTTGGCAAGGTCTTGGAATTAAATAGGTTGTCATTATCTTGGAGAGGTTAAAAAATTGACTGCATTTATTATTATCTTAAACTGATGACAATATGCCAAAAAAATAATATACAGTAATGGACAAAAGTATATAGACAAATATGAATAATTATCTAAATAGCTTTAGAAAACGAATTTATACTTCATTGCTCCACAAACAAATGCGTTATTAATAGAAAAACCAAATTCCTTGTTTTTACATTATCTGCAATGAACATAATACAGGTCTGAATATAAGCACTTTTTTATGAGGGACAAAAATATGTAGACAAATTCTTCAACATTAGTTCAGTATAGTTTTGTGTCAGAAAAGGATTAGTTTGTGTTCATCAAGTATTGTGGAATAAGTTGAGTGATTTTAAGACCATGCCGGTGGTCCAGAAATTTCTTTCAATGTGAAAACTAAGATCATTGAGTTATACAAAGATGGTCAACGTCAAGTCGACATTGCCAAAAATTTGAAGCTGAAGTGTAAAGCAGTTTGGGAAATATTGAACAAATCTAAACAAAAAGGTATCTTGAAAGCTTCTGAGAGAAGTGGTCAGCCTAGAAAACTACATGCTATATCAGTTAGATTAATAAAAGTAATTTTGTCCAAAGATCTGTTTAAAACCCCAAGACAAATAAAAGCCGAAATCGAGACAAAAGGAATTGTCAGTGTTTCTACGAAAACTATAAGTAGAAGATTAAATGATTTGAAGTTATTTGCACGTCGCCAGAAATTCTTTCTGGATGAAAAAATACCAGTTCTCAAATGGCCTTCACAGTCTCCTGATATAAACCCCATTGAAAATCTATGGGAATACTTGGATAAGCAAATACAGATAAAAATTACTCAAACAAGGATGAACTTTTTGCCACTTTAGAGCAAAAGTGGAGACAGATTGATGAATCTTATATCAAGAAACTACTACAATCTATGCTGAGATGATGCCAGGTGGTGATTGATAATAATGGTTGTGCTACAAAATATTAACACAAACATGGTTGGTTTTCTATAATTCAATGAACTTTGCTTCTTTTTTCTATAATTGTTTTTGCTTTGTCTATATATCTTTCTCCTACATAGTTCCACTTTTTCCAATTAATTTTTTATTGAAGGGAGTCTAATGAATTTATTTATGTATAAGTGAGTATTATGCTATAACGAATTATGTATACAGGTTGGTGTATTAATAAAACAAGTTAAAAAAGAAATACAGCACAATATTAATTTGTCTATATGCTTTTGTCCATTACTGTATATCAAACAACTAAGAGGTACTTAGTTGATACACATTTGTTCTCATTATAAGGCATTAGAAATTGCTTGGAAAATATTTGGCAACAATTTGCAGCAGATGTGAAAGTTCCGAAAGTCTCAAAGAAATAAATCAGGCAACTTCAGATCTGACAATCTGCAGCAACAATACATATTACTGTAAAACGACCACAAATGTGTGTCAACACAGGAAGTGAGCATTTGAAGAATATTATTTCATGATACAATCAACAATGTTAACCATTTAGATAAACTGTTTGTGAAACAGAACCCATTTTTTACTTCTAAAATCATGGTAATGAATTTAATACTACTTTTCTCTATCTCCCTGTTCATACTGATACCCACATATTGAGTATTTAATCAGGACCCTTCAAGATGGTAAAATGTGACAACAAACATGTGCAAGATGAACAAGAAAGGGTACTGAAACAGAAGTGGTAGGGTCCTGAACAGTGACAAACAGTTTATTATGCACAGTCTCAGATTTGGTTTCAGTAACATTGCTGAATTACATGGGTTTTGATCCACAGTCCATTCCAGGGAAGATATATTAACCCTACTGGACAGATGTACAGAATCACTTAATATTTTGGTGGGATTCTCACTGACCACTGTAGACTGAACTAACACTTGTCTCTTCTAAGGGTCAAAAGAGAATATCTGGTTCATGTGCTGGAAGGAGGATGACACAGCATTCCACTTACTAAATATTTGCCCAATATATTACAATCTAAAGGCTGAGATATTTAGAGCCATGGGGTTTGATAATGAACTTGCATACTCAGGGGAGTGGTTACTACTAAAAGGCAAAAGATGGCCTGCTTGTAAGGATTTGCCTCAACACCACTACTTCTACTACCAACCCTAAAACTAAATAAAATCTTGATCCAAATATTCTAGTGTTTACATGTTGCATTAACATATTAAATACCAAGCAAAATGTTAGAAAAATGTCCATCAGACCAAAGTCATGTTTCCAACAAATAATGTGTCTAATCTACCATCTACATCAAAAGCTAACACAAGACAGAAATGACATGTACTGAAAAAAATAAGTAAAATCACATCAAGTCAAATGGTAATGTAAAAGTTGTTATAATAAAAAAATAAGGGGTGAAATACCAAAAAATAAAATTACAAAAGTTACTACATATTGTGACAGTTGTGAATTAAATCCCTACTTTTGCCTTAACTATTTTGAAACAAGTCATAAATAAATGAAATTATCTTATATTTTGTATCCCTATATCATACCTTATTATATATATATCATACCTTATTTTATATATATATATATATATATATATATATGTATATAACTTGAGACGTGGTCATTGTCGTCTAGACCAGTTAGGTGAAAAATTAAAGCTTCCGCCTTTTGTTGGGTACTTCGACAAATTTTTCACCTATATATATATATATATGCGTTTTCATTGGAATCTTGTTTGTTTTTATCAAATTTGCTGTGTAGATTTAGTAGGAAATAAATGGGAATAAAAAAAATTGAATAACTGTTTCAAACAAAAATACACCAAAAAGTTGGCATATAGGATTCATCCAGACAAGCCACAGTGGTCCATATCTAATGTTAAAATGAATTTAAATATGGACCTCTGGCTGGAGTCACTGTGGAAATAAATTAAATACAAAGTAGTCCATGCAGTATTGTGATAGGCCCATTGTCATGTGTGGATATGGAAGGACCATCTGAGTGTGTAGGATATGATGATGGGAAGTCTGAAGGAACTGTTCTAAAATGGGAAGGAAGTGACCATGGAAGTGATAGAGAATTATCAGATGATAAAGAAAAAAAATAGAGATGATTTACCAGCTCATAATTATTTCAATGGAAAAAATCATTATAAGTCAAATGTTTTGGATATCCTACCACTGTATGTACAATGTAGGAAGCCAGTAACCATAGGCAATGTTCAATGCTCTAATTTTTGTTTCTGTTTATTAATCAGAAGCTATTTTGTTCATTCATTACTTTATTTGAAGATTTAAAAAAATTGAGACTTTAGTTTCTGTTTGGTGTCAAATACAGTTAATGAATATTTGTTTAAGCATATGTGTGTTTCTTTGATGAGCATTTTAAATTTTAAACACAGAAAATAAGCATATAATATTAATCATAGCAGAGTTATTCATTGCTTTTTCTCTTATTCTGATATTTGGAATTTCTTGAAGATCACAGCCTGAGAGAGAGCACATTTCATATGTGTATGATAAATTGACATTTACTATTAAGGGTTAAACTGGAGTAGTTGCCATGGAGGGACTTTGGATCTCCATGGGGTTTCAGAATTTGTGTTTTGGGTACCATGGGCTCATTCCCCTCTCCACATAGATTTGAAACAAAGTTTTCATATATTATTTTTAAACAAAACTGAGAATCAAACTCACCACTTTCTACTGAACAATTGTGTAGAAAGATGAAAATATATTGATGTTTAGTTCCTTATATTCCCATATATCTGCAATTCTTGAATATGTTTGCTCTTTAAATTATAATTCCTGTTATGAATTAGCTTGTTTCCTGTTAATTCAGAAGATATATCTATTGGGGCAATACATTTTACATAATAAATAACTAATGAAATATTTACGACTAAAATTTGATTCAATGCAATAATTCTAATAGATTTTGATTGTTACTGAGGGTAGAATTATTACCAATCCTGCCGGAGAATTGATCTTTGTACTTTGGCATGTAATAAGATAAAAGCTTGTAACTGGTTATGAAAATGCAACATAAATCCAATAATAGAGATAGAAAAAAGCAAATATTGAAAAATCTAGGTACTTTTTCTTAAACCTGGGGTACCTGCATGTTACCAAGTACATTGACATCTTGAAAATATTGACAGTTCAGTGACACAGGGATCAAGTTTGCATGACTCAAATTCACTGATAGTCCTTTGTGGAGCTTTTGCTTTTGTTTTTCATAATGTTACTAACCTTACAGGGCCTCCCCGATTTTTCCTCTTGTTGTTCTGCATACTATCACCGCTACCGTAATGGCCGGGATCCCTATTTCTCGTGGGCACCGGAATTTTGATGGATTTTTATATAAACACCGTATAAAAAAGAAAACGAGGTTTTCGAAAAACCTATGAAAAATCCGTCAACGATCGCGAACAAAGATTTCACTGAATACAAAATGGCCTAGTGACGTAACCGTGGGACGCTATTTCTTCTGTTTTCACCACATCATCCCGGTGATTTTCCTTCTATTGCCTTGGGTAGAAGCTCTGGCGACAATTTGCACCAGTTTTTGCGGTTGAAACGTTTACAAAATTGAGTTATTTTGGATAACAAACAAACGTGTAACCAGCATTTGCGGGTAAAACTGTCTGTCAAAACCACTGTCAAGACTGACAACACACTGACAAGACAAGGCTTTTCGGTGTTGCCGGAGTACCGCTTATGGATTACAGATAGAAAAGTGGTGGGGGAAAGCATTTAAGCCACAGTTTAAACATCAAGAAATGCTATTTGGAGGCGGTGGAAGGATAGTTTGCGATAGAAAAACAGATATACCTAGGTATCTTTGTCCAACCACATCAACAGGCAGCATTTAATTTTTACAGCCAGGTGTCAAATCAAAAATCCATGTATAGGCATTATGCCAAATAATTTAGTACTGTGATTTAGCATAAAGACCACGCTAAATAGTTTCCGTCAGTTCTCAGATAATGTTCATGCCTTGAGATCTGTGACCATTGTGAGGCAGTAGTAATCCATAGTAATCAATCAGCTAATCACAATATGATAATTAGATAATATACTAATATATTTATGTACAACGCGAATCTTCTTTTTTGTACGTTCACCGTATTTTGCATCTTTACACCATTAAATTTTTATACACGATATAAATATAATGTTTAACTAAGTAGCATTATATCAAAAATATCATAAGATCTGGCAGTTACATGGATTTTTCATTGCGCAGCCGTAGCTTATCGCTATTGCACTCTTGTTGTATTTGTTTTGTGGCGGCAAATCCTATGGCATTTGAATAATCGATAATACCAGGCGTGCGCGATAAAATCCAATCCTTTGTATAGACATAATTGATAATTTCCAACCTGTTGGAGGTGACACATTCAAACAATAATACTAGATACTGCTCTTCATAAGGTAAATAACTGTTTTTTTTGTTAGACTCTTACAAGAAATAAAGAATGATAAAATAACTATTCTCTCTGGAGACATACTATATATTGATCGACCAGCCAAAGATTGCTAGGGACGAAAGGGGGAAATGCGATGAAAAAACCTTACCATTAGACGATTTTATATGGAGTCATAGGCGGAGATCGGAGAGACTTGAATTATTAATTGAATTTATATTTTATTACAACTGGTAGTATTAATATTTTTTTGCGATTCATAATGACGTGATACCAAACATACATTATAAGAAATAAATATACACAAACACTGAATATTGAGAACAAAATAAATATATTTTTTAGGCAACAAGTAATATTCCTATGTACGCATTATGATTGAACAGCAAAACAAATTATGCATTCTTCTAAAATAGAATACAACAAGTCAAAAATATCTGACTGAATAGAAAAATATAGGAAAACAAAAAGTAATTTCTTGATGAAATAACCCATAAACAACACATAGAATTAGACTTTCTACTGAGATACTAAAAGCCACAAACCAATAGTATAATAAATGAATATCTAAAAATTCTAAAAGGTAGCCAATCTAGTATAGTTTCAATCCTGATTAGAGTCATGATCACTGTCTGAGGAACTGTCATTGCTATCACTTTCACCTCCTATGTTGATTATTATTTCTTCCTGTATTTCTTGAATGAGACTGTCTTTTTCCCAATATTCATCTTCAATTTTTATAACATGTCCAATAACCTTTTGCCAGTCACTGGCACTTACTGAAGCGATGGCCTTATTAGAAATTTCATCTAGTTTTTTTATAGTAAATTCGCCGCTTGTATTATGGCTTCTAATGAAAAATTTTACTTGTGCCCAAATCATCTCTATGGGATTAAACTGACACATATAGGGTGGCGTTCGAAGTGGGGTGTGTCCGAAACTTCTTATTAAATTATCTATCTTATAATTTTTCTCATCAGATGGTGGCCTATGTAGACAAGCTATTTCATAAAGCTCCATTTTTTTAGCATTAGGATCATGCTCTATACCTTTTTTGCTCAACCACGTGATGATGTCTCTTTTTAGAGAAGATCTAGTTGGAGGCTTGTCTTCCAAAGCTGAATGGTAAGGTGCATTATCCATTATTATAATACTATTAGGAGGAATGTTAGGAAATAGTTTTTCAGTAAGCCACTTCGTGAAATTTTCTTGGTTCATTTGACGGTGATAATCACCAGTGGCACAGCCAGCCTTGAAAATGAGACAGGCTCCAGGAACAAAACCATCTTGCGAACCCGCATGAACAATTATAAGTCGTCCTGGAAATGAATAAATAGCCTCATTTTAGTGTTATTTTAAGTTTGCCAACACCTTTTTGAATCACTATGTATAAAAAACATATTTTTGAGAAAAAAATACTTGCAAGGGATTATGTATTCAATTAGACAAATTAAATGAGCACTTATTAAGAATATTCCAAAATTGAGAAAAATGTATAATAAGCAAAATCGAGGTGAAAGAAACTTTATTACCTGTAGAACTTATATTGCTCAGGACACCCATAATTTCTTCGCTTTGCCAGCATTTCTTGAAAGTGAGGTCATTATCAACCCAAGTTTCGTCCAAATAAATAATATGCCTTCCTTCTTCCCGGAACTTTTTAATAGACCTAAGATACTTGTATCGCCAATGTAAAATACTGGGTCTTTCCATTAGTAATTTCCTTTTGTTGTGGCATTTACGCCAGTAAAATCCTTTTCTTTTACCAAATGGAAATTCCATTTCTTCCTTCAGTTTGATTAGAAGTTTACTACAAGTAGGTACCACTTTAAAATCACAGTAAAATTTTTCTATCATTCTCCGAATAATGGAAAAATCGACTCCATCAATTTTTTGGATCACAGAAGGGCGTGATCTCTTTTTTCCGGGAGAAGCTAAAGGCTGTGTGGAGGTTGCATTTTGCCTGTCTTTATCTTCTTTTCTAATTTTACTTATAGTTCGTTCACTAACACCCGTATAATATGCCGCCCTTGCATTTCTAGCTACCAGTGGATAAACGAAAGTATTGTTAGCCGCTTCTGCATCGCAAGCACGTATCACGTTTGCTATTATTTCCCTTGCCTGGCTGTGAATAACTTTCCCATGCTTGAATTCCATTATCACCACTAAACAGTAAATTATATTTTCAAAGTATTTGCCAACTGCCTACGCCTATGGGAGTAGGTTTATAAATGACCGTGCCATCGGCACGTTATTCTAGTTTCAGATAAGATAAGAGTTTTGGACCAATCAGCGACCGGATGTTTACCTGCGGCCTGGGTTTTCCAGCTACATTGCCAAATTCAGCGGAACAATTCTATATCTTAAATATGTTAATATGTATGGACCGCATTTTATGTAGAACATCTGACAACTTCGCAATTTTTTGTCCGCATTCTTTCGGCTTGCAATCTTTCGCTGGTCCAACTATACTCAAACACGCTGACTATAGGTGGCAAAAGATTTTGTTGTCCTGTAACAATATGTTTGACAAAATATACATACTTCTTCAAAAGTTATTGTTAACAAAGAGAGATTGACTAGATTTATCCATTGGGGGCTAGTCACTCGTTCTCGCCACTTCAAGCGATTTCTCAGTGTTAATCAAGATCAACCATAGCACAACATTGGGCGAATATAGAAAATGAAAAGGAGAAAAAGATCATAAACTCTTAAGATATTCACACAATTTATGTTCGGAAGGATAATGAATTTAACCCTATTGAAAAATTTGGTTTCTAGTGCTCAATTGACAAAGTTTCGTGAGTACTACTTTTATCTTAGCTAATTATTCTGGCGCCAAGGAAATGTTTAGCTAGCTAAAAATACGAGTTTTTGCATTTTCTGGAATTATAACATTTTTTAATTCAGAGGCGGTGAAACCAACTGAGTAGTTTCTAATGGTTATAAAAAACCTGGGTATAAGTACAATAAAAGAAGCTTTTAATTTCGGAGGGAAGCTTTGATACCATTTCACATTTATCCAGTTTTGAAAATAATTCGTGCGGCGCCAGGTGTTTCGTAAACGATTCCAGGAGGCATGGATTCTAATTATTATTATTATTATTATTATTATTACTATTATTATTATTATTATTATTATTATTGATATTATTATTATCTACACTTGTTTCGTCTAAAAAAAAATGGGCAAAGTTACGTCTGTTTTGGCAACCTTGAGGATTAAATCCAATGACCCGAACGTAAATTTGTCTGCATAAACAGCCGCCAGCCCAGGTATTTTTCTCGCAAACCCAAATAATATGGAATAGTCCTTGTCTCCGTGAAAGCGTCTGTAGTGGCTATCGGTAAATATACTGCGCGTCAAAATTAGCGCCTCACCGATTTGAAAATTCCTCCTGACTTTTCGTTTAGAGCTACAAATCTTTCAAATCCATTAATTAGCATTTCTAATCAGCATCCTGCCAGATACCTCAGATCTAAATAATTGCGGGGTAATTTTTCAACTACCTGATACTGTCCTCTTTTCTACAGCACCCAGATATGCTCCACATTTTTAGCAACGGCACTATGCTCCTACGAGCTTTAAGAGGTAATGTTTAAAAAAACATAACAGGGGAGACAAATAAATAACCATATACATCGTTGAGTCCCAACACATATCTTAAGGGATTAAGACAAAAATGTTTCAATTCCTCTTCTACCCATATCAAGATCTTAGTCATTTGTTTTTCGTCTTATTATTACTGGCTTTTGCACTCTTTATTTTCTGGTTGTTTTAAAATCTTACTGCTCAAAGCCTATTGTGACGTTTGTAAATCACGTGATAATGTAATACCGTACACAGTAATGGAATGTAGATTGACAGATGAAATTTTACTCTGGAATACCGTGAAACTTTATTTTTAGAACGCCTGAATTATCACAGACTCATGAAATGTCACTTGATGACAGCCGACTAACTACGTTTTCCGCGACCGTTATATTATTATGAGAAACGCAGCTATGGAGACGAAGTAATCGATTTATCGATAAAAATATTTAGTATTTTTTTAACTTGGAGTACTTTTTGATAAGGAAATAAGGTAAACGAACAGTGAGTCATGAGAATGACAAGTGACAACACTCTTATTCCCAAGGTTTTGAGCACGGGAAGAAAAGCGCACATTTGACGTTCCAGAAGGATTACTTTGTCCTATTTCCGAACCTATGGAACAGATACGTCAAACAATTTCGAACGCTAAAATTGTTACAGAGTAGTACAAAGTACAGTCAGCTATTTAAAAAAGTAACCCGATTGAACAAGCCATTTTTTATGTTTGTGTCATGTTTTAAAAAGGAGGCTTCGGCGGAGGTGCGTTTGTAAATCACGTGATAATGTAATACCGTACACAGTAATGGAATGTAGATTGACAGATGAAATTTTACTCTGGAATACCGTGAAACTTTATTTTTAGAATGCCTGAATTATTACAGACTCATGAAATGTCACTTGATGACAGCCGACTAACGCAGCTATGGAGACGAAGTAGTCGATTTATCGATAAAAATATGTATTATTTTTTTAACTCGGAGCGCTTTTTGATAAGGAAATAAGGTAAACGAACACTGAGTCATGAGTATGACAAGTGACAACACTCCCAAGGTTTTGAGCACGGGAAGAAAAGCGCACATTTGACGTTTCAGAAGGATTCTATTTCCGAACGTATGGAACAGATACGTCAAACAATTTCGAACGCTAAAATTGTTACAGAGTAGTACAAAGTACAGTCAACTATTTACGAACGTAACCCGATTGAACAAGCCATTTTTTATGTTTGTGATGGTTGCTTCAATAAATCGTGTCCAAAACAAACTTGTTCAAGTTAATGGTCTCCGGTAGAGGAGAAAAATGATTTTACCTGAAATTAAAATCACTTATGCCTCCGGACAAAACGCGCATTCGTTGCTCAAAAAGTAAAGCCAGAAGGGCTTTCAAATTAGGAACCCCCTTTTTTTGTCGCGCAGTGTAGTAAACGGCACTTTTAACCTTAACTATATTGCCCATCAGGTACCTACTTTCTTTGGGACATGATTTCAAGATAAGAAAAACCAAGCATACAAAATTGGTATTTCCGGGAATAATAAAAGTTGAGGTACCTGGTATGTCTTGGTCCCTTGAAAAGCCCATTTAGGATAGTTGACTGTCTACAAGGGCGGTTTGTAAAGTATTGCTTTATGAAAATCGAAAAATCAACAATCTCATAGTTTAATATAGTACATTATAGTTTAATACGTTGCATTTGGTCTATTTTTGACATCAAATAACATCAGCCACACAGATTGGTTAGATTTAAAGACAATAAGTAAACAATATTTTACTAAACTGCTTCAATACCTACCACTTTGCTATTTTCAAGGATCACTTTTAACTCATCACAGTATCACAGTTGACTAAGAATTTAATTAATCCAATTAAAATTTTATAATCCAGACAACTAAAGCGTTTATTTAACTTGAACACTTGAATCTCTAAAACTAGCTCAATTTAATCAAAACGCAATCGTTTAATTAATTTTGTTAGAATTAATAAACTATCAAGATGAATTTACGTGCTCTAATAAATAGATTTCAATCATGTTTGTTAAACTTGTTTAATTAGTACCTATAGGTAAAAATATTTAATGAATTACTTTATTTAGATTTAAAAGTATATTTAATATTTGGAATTCAAAAGAACAAATTGCATTTCACTGAATGATGAGTATTGTAACTGCTCTGACAAATCGTAGATATCAAAAATCCTGAAAACGTGGTATTGATAATTGGTGATAAACTAGGATATTTTCAAATACTACAAGGTCTGCATCAACAGGAAGCTCCACATCCTATACATACAATATCAAAGAAAAAACATCATGCCTATGCTAAGCACATGTTTGGTATGGAAACGGATTATGTCATTTATATCATTCTGAGGAAAATATAAAAAAATGGGCATTATACTTATTTTAACGAATTTGAGGAACTATTTTATGCACCTTTGCTACCTGTTATCTGCCAAAGTAGGCACTATCCAAATTTCATTCATACCTATGTTGGGAACATGCACAAAGAAACTTTTAGGATTTATAATATAAGGAAGGTCTAGCCGTCACGGGCTCTTGCTCTATTACAACCTGCCCATACAGTTCATCTGAAACTATCATTGTTGCAAAATAAAATTTATTTCTCAATATAGGGCGGGAAAGAACTAAATAATATTTACGTCACAGCTGTAATGCAAAAATAAGATGCTTTTGAACCTTGGAAGGACGATTTTATCGCTTTTTGGTTATAGGAAAAGGTGAAAACATTCAGAATACCGATACTTCCACAAAATAATAATTTTAAAAAATACTACATTTGAGTAAACATGAACTTGTATTTTCCAGATGCCGAAAAAGGTTATCCGCATCTGTAGCGAGGAAAACTTTAAAAAGGAACTCGAAAAAATCTACGACGAAATGCGAAGACAAAATGTTCCAGAGGAAGACATTAAAAAATATTTTTTCATTGTAACTAAGAACATGAGGTTCTTTAACATTTTCGATTACATCATCATATTTTCCTCAGTCATTATGATATTTTTGTGCATGCTGAGCTACTTTGAAAGTGTTTCTTGGTACTCCTCTGCATTAGGAAGAATATATTTGATCAAACTATTACCTATATACGATTGGACGCATTTAAAGAATAAACCCTGTCTGATAGAGAGGACCGAAATGTCACCAATTGCATCTGATTTTGAATGTGGTAGCTGCGAAAATATTCAAAGATTAGATGTCTACGATTATTTGGACGAAGATGACTTGGAAGAACGTTATATCAATTTGGACATTCCGGTCATCATTACCAAGAGCTTAGAACACTGGCCTAAGGATTCCGATTTTCTGGATATAGCTATCAGGGAAAATTCATTCTTCTTTTCTTATCCGTGTAGATTTTCAGGAAATGTTCACAAAGGTCATGGTAATGTAGGAGAGATATTGGACAAGGTCAAACATTTCAATCAGTTTTACATTCATTTTCAAAATTGCAATCTTGAAGCTATGCGGATCTTCAGGAAATATACGTTCAGACCAGCTGTAATACCTAGAACTTACTCACCAACGACATACAACTGGCTTCTATGGAACAAAGATTACAATACAACTAATTACAAACCCATACAGTTAATAGAGAAGCTGACAGCCTTTGGACAGGTGTTTGGATCAACTCATGTGAAGTTGGTACCTAGGAAGAATTGTAAGACTCTGTGTCCTACTTTAAATATAAAATTATTCGCGCACGAGTTGTTAGTATTTACAAGCTTATGGGACTTGGAATATAAGCCGACGGAAAGTGGAGAAAATATGGCGATAGTGATGGAAATTAAGTCTTAATTTACAGTACGTGTATTACGACTTTGGGAACATATGCCTATAACCTATGTTTCAATCATATCCTGAAACACCCAGAGTATGTGGCCAATTTTCTCGTTGGTCATGTTTTAACACACAAATAATGTGACAAACTGCAAAAGTTGTAAGTGGCTCTCCTACGAAAATACACGTTTCGAAATACGCTAGGATGTCGATTTCTCTAAACGACATTGAACGACATTGTATAATTCAGCAAAATATTTACAACAAAATAACTATTGAGGCTGGCACATGATGATGGCGCCTATAAAACACAATCCACCAATTTAGAACGTCTGCTAATGTTTTATATCAATACGGATCAATAGTGACATTATCTGGAGAGCTGAAAAAAGTACTTTTGATTATAGAATGGGCCGTTTGGAGGAAATCAACATTCGAAACATGATGAGTATCTTGAAGGTCGTTCAAAAGTCTAAGACTTGGCAAATTTATCGAATAATTAATTTCCTTATCGTTTACCGGGTCACTCAGTGCCAATCTCAACTATTACATTGTCAAAATGGTGAAGCCAACATTTTCGATTCAGTATTAAAATTCCAGGATATGGAAAAAGGACTGCTTTTCTACAAACTGGTCTACATTCAATCGATGCTGAACAATGGTATATTTTTCAGCTGAAGGATCAATCTTTCCAAAATTATCATTTTTGAGCCGTTATTTATACGTGGTGTAAGAATATTAGCAGTGTTGTGTTACTTAAGTGTAAAATATCGACCTCTATCTCCATTTTCAGTGGAACATGTCACACTATTTTTTTGTGTTCAACATGGACCGAGGTGATAGGCTACATTCACCTTACATTACCGTAGATTATTAATTATGGACGTTCTACTTCCATTGTTATCGTGTTTATGTGATTTTAATTGAAAATATTCGGAACGCAAAAAAACTAAAAAATATCTAGTTGTTGAGCTTTCAGTGTAACGAAGAGGACCATATCGAATCTAAGTTATAAAGCAAATGAAACTTAAAATAACACATAACGTGATACACTCAAGGAAATAGAATCAAGAGTTGTCGCTTCTTAACCGTATATCTGGTATGTTGACCTCAAGCAGCTTGCTCCTTTCTGGTTGTAATTGGTGTTAATGCTTCATAACGCTTTCCTATTTAAACTTATATAAATTCTTGTTTTGCTGCCTATATGATTATATAAATATACATGTTGCCCACAAGCATCACTGCCTACAGCAGGACTCTTTGGTTTCATATTGGATCTATGTGTGGTTAATGGTTGATTGCTGTATCATCGGTAGACTACTGACAAAATGATGTCTCTGAAAGCGTCTCAGCTGAACTTTACAAACTGCCTGGCAGCAGTGAAGAGAGAGGTTGGAACACCTTCACTAGATGGAGCTACACCATCCAAGAACAAAAAAGTTACTGGTCCTGTTCAGGATATGGGTTATGATGGCCTTAACCATTGGCTCAACCATGGACTCAAAGGATGATGCAGATATTACCCTAGTGGTTATCCAACAATAAGGTGCACTGAATTCAATTCAATTATCTGTTTTGTACAAATTGTTTTAAAATATTTCATACAAAACAATAAACTTGAGTATTATGTTCTTATATCGGTAATCATGCTTACGAGCAACATGCCATACTTTGCATAAATTATACTAATAAAGTTAGCCCTTCACACTCTTAGAAAGAGCGATATACTGAACATGGATAACTGCCAAATTTATTCATTTCAAATTGCAATGCTTGCCAGGTAAAGGGTTAAGTTAATGCATTTTCAACAACTTGGCTTAAACTGATTTAGGAATGTGATGGACAAGTATACCTTATTTAATTATATCATTGTAGTTAACAAAATGTATTTCGCACTTATCCTGTAAAATTATATTTCAGTATGTGTTACAAAACTTCATTGTTTTATCTAGATATTAAATTGTTAATCATTGCCATAGTCTATACATATAGGAGACTTCAGGAATTAAACTTATACTACTTTCCTATTGAAGCCCTACGGGTTCGATTTTGAAGATTCTCCATCTATACAGGTATATACTATAGTAATAGATATTATCTACTTTGTCTGAGTGTTCATGCTTTAATGTTGTGACTGATTATACCTATACAGGGTTTCCCAACCGCGCGAGGACAGAGTATTGCTGCTAAACAAAAACAATATTACACAGGATGTCCCATTTTGACACACATATCAAAGTTGATTTTATTAAATTAAATGAAACCGCTTTTTGTTGGGTTATTGGGATATTATTGGGATAGACCCTTCCAAAAGAAGGAGATTGGTATTACATACTTATGAGTTTTGTACATTTTTACATTATCGCATTCTCATTTTCATGAGCTTTTTTTGATATGAGGTTGCTGCCAGTTTGTTCAAACGGTTTCTGCGCTATAGATATCTTTCCATTCAGACGAGTTAGACAATCCATGGAAACAAAATACAAGTAAAGGATTTTTGACAATCTGTCTATAAAATCAGGCTTTCATCAATAAACCATGTAATTCAATGTTTTGGTATTGTAATTCATTATTACAGATTGATATTGTAACATACAATTCATTTTTTAGATGTCTGAAAATGACGCACATAACTAAAATTTTATATATTTGTACTACTACAGAAAATGTCCCTTTGGCGTTGAACGCACAATCGAAGACTTCTGATGAGGAGGATATGAAGCAGAGAATACCAGAAGCTTTCTAAATATCAGTGAACACCCGCTAGAAAGTATCAAACAAACACTCATTCGAAGACTTCGATTGTGTTCAACATCATTCAACATTTTCTATAATAGTACAAATAGTTTAGATTTTAGTTATCTTTGCTTATAAGCGTCATTTTCAGACAACTCAAAAAATTAATTTTACATTATATCAATATGTAATAATGAATTACAATACAAAAGCATTGAATTGTTTGGTTTCCTGATAGAAGTCTGATTTTGTGGAGAGATTGTCAATAATCCTTCACTTATTTTTTGTTTCCGTGGATGACGTGACTTTATGTTTTTTAGATAAAATACTCAATAGCTCAACAACTACTTATCAAAACCGATAAGTATGTTATATCAATATCCTTCTATTAAGGTCTATCTGAATATGTAATAAAAAGTGGGGCAATCGATTAAAAAAAATCAACTTTGATAAGTGCGTCAAAATTGGGACACCCTGTACAATCGTAAATATTGCATAAACATGCCTCCAGATATCATATATAATAATCCATAAATACTTTTCTTGAAATAATTTTTGCTTATGAGCAATAATCCGTCCTCGCACGGTTGGAACACTCTGTATCGAAATGTAAGTGTTATTAATGTATCTAAAAGTACAAATCTTTGATGGACTTTGAATATATATTTATTATTGATTTGAAGTATCGTTGTGCATTCCTAAGAAAATAAGAAGCATCCCCACCATACGCTACATGCAATTTCCATCGGCACAGTCATGTTGCCAAGTAGACTCGCGGTAATTCCCCTTGGAATAGTAACAGACTCCATTCTCCTTTTAAAGAAAATGTTTTTTTCTTAAAATGACATCAACCTTCTAAGTAGTCTCTCTTAATCTCCCTCGAAATTATTTCTAAGATTTTGTATTCTTAGAATTTCTCGACGACGGAACAGGAAATCTCATAATCTGCGGCAACAGTCCGAGAAGCGGCAACGTTGACGCTTGAAGACGGTGGTATAAGTAGTTGTGGCTCCACAGTACCTACGTACGTAAGTATTTTTACACAGGCATAACTAATGATCGACCAACCTCACCCCATTTTACTTTCCACGGCATACCGGCGAGGAAGTATCGTAACCGCGAAAGAAATTGAAAATAAGATGTTTTTTGAATGCTGTATGACATGTACACCTCGAAACAACATGTCAGTCATTTCCGTCGGTCTGTTTGTCTGCCGGTCTGTTTATCGGTCTGTCCGCTAATCCTTGGACCGCCTAAAACTTGGAAAATATTAATAGGATTTGGGTGAAATTCTCATACAAGGTTACTACTATGTCAAGGACGAAAACAAAAAAAGTAAATATCGCTCAAACTTCGTGTTTTGAGGATTCAGGGGATCCTGATAATTTTGGAAAACAATTTTATGGGTAAAGGATTTGAGAGTGGCGGGTTGTAAGGGATTGTGGAGGATATCTTAATTTTTTGATGTCAGTATATTTATACGCTTCCAACCTGGGTAATTCTACGCACCTGTGTGACCCATTACATATTTCCCTATAAGTTTTCCCTTAAAACTCGGCAGACTGATGACGTATCTATTGACCGCATCTGCTTCTGCTCCCAATGGCGTGGCGGTCTTGGTAAGTGTTCTGGCATTACTGCCGCGTCTGACTGGTGACCGGGTTAGGTATCAGGGAGAGGCGACGTTGCCGAATGGCCTACCGGTTGGGCAGGGAGAGAATGTCTATAGACTAAGTGTACATACCTCTTTGACTGCCTTTTTCTCAGTTGATCTAGCTTGAGCTAAACATAATCCTTCATAAACTGACGACGGCGTTATGTGAGAAGTGCAGAGTCAATACATGGTTTAACCAGTACTCACTTTACTTGAATCCTTCCAAAACAACGCTTATTCGTTTTCATCACGCTCAAAAAACTGTAGAAGGGTTTCAAGTTAGATTGGGTGACGATCAACTCGATTTTAGAGGAGAAGTGAAATTTCTTGGAGTTCATTTTGATTCGAACTTAAATTGGAAGGCCCACTGCGAATTTCTCACATCAAAAATGTACTCTCAAAGCTATGTGTTGAGGCAATTAAAAACCATCTTAACAGCTGAACAATTGATACAAGTTTATTTTGCTAATGTGGATTCGAGATTAAGATATGGAGTATGTTTCTGGGGTTGGTCAACGCGCTCTGAAGATGTATTTGTGTCTCAAAAAAGATGCATCCGATCATTAGCAGGCATCTCACCAACAGAAAGTTGCAAGAAATATTTTATAACTTTCAACATTTTAACTGTCCCTTCGTTGTATATATATGAATTGTGCTTACATGTTTTTAAAAATAATGAAAAATTCAAGCGAAATTGTGATATGCATAATTATGATACAAGGACTTGTAATAATTTATATGTAAACTTTAGCAAATCAAAAGCGGCATTTCGATCACCTAATAAAATTGGTCCGCTTCTTTTTAATAATTTACCATGCCACATTACCTCGGTTAAAAATATTAACGCCTTTAAGTTCCTTTTGAAGGAATTTTTGATAAACAAGTGCTTTTATCGTGTTGATGAATTTTTGAACATAGCAATTTGAGATTAGTTGTAGGTTCGTAGCGAACGAAAAATTGACAATTCCAATACAATTATATATTGTCTGTATGGAAATAAAGGTTATTGATTGATATTGATATTGATTGATATTGAACCTACTTGATGCCATGTTTTAGTTACATTAATTGTGAACTTGAGTGTATTCATAAGAATCACTTCAAGTTGATATCTATTTGTCCTGCTATTCTGAAGATAGAACAACAATTATCTTTAGTCTTCTTGAAAAATTGTTATAACTATGTGAATATGACATTATAAGAGTAATGTTGTCCAATATTATGCATAATGCGATCATTTGACAGTGGACATTTATGAATTTCATTGGGAGCTTTAACGGTGGAAATATCGTCTCTGTCAATAACCAAAGATATAATAAAGTCACAAAGTTAGAAAGCATCTACTTAATTATTTATTTTACATATTATAAATTATATTAAGTTCGTTGTTATTTCTGGCACTCCTTCCTGATGGATTCTTCAATTTCCCAAAATTTTTGTCGATCCTTCAGTTGATCCATTGTAAAGTCATGGAGGTCTCTTTCTGAAGGCAGGTCTCCGCCATAGTCTCTCGGCCAGCATTTCTTTGGAACCAATTCATGGAGTTTTTCATTTGGCATATCAGCGGGGTATATTTTCAGCTAAAACAAATTAGTTCATAATATCAGATGATCAGTGATCCTATGTGACAATCTAATGCTGGTAAAATCTTTCTGCAGCTATGCAAAAGAATACGATAGATTACCCGAGTGCTCTAGACAGACCCGCAGTAAGCGTCACCTTTGATTCTTGAACTTTTTGGACAAACACTGAAGGATTTGGGTATGGAAAGTTGGCGTTTTTAAAAAATTTCATTTATTTCATTATTATTATTAATTGAAAGGTAAGATACACTAACCATACAGTAAAATGCAATATCTTCTTTAAATTCTATATTGAAACGTTTTTAAATTTAAACAAAATATTCTACTCGAACCAGGATAATAGTTTACCTGCACTAACTAAACTTGTTGAATAGATACAAGTAAGCAGTCTACTAAAAGTATTTTGATAGATAGAGATAGATATAGATTGATCATTATTTTCAAATACATTTGTTTAATCAAACTGAGTAAATGTTCAATATATTTACTTCAACAATTTTTTTTTGATTTAATTGCACTGTTTTGGAAGCCGAAGTAAAAAAACTAATTAAACTAGTTATACCTGTTAAATTGGTTAAGGCTTTCGCGGCCAGATGATAAACTGCTGTCTTGATTCGGGTCTAAAGGCCGTCGTCAGTTGGAATTTCTTCCTAACGTTTCGCTAGCAGGAGTGGCAAGCTTCTTCAGAGGTCCTTCCATTTCCGAAGCTGGATGCAGGCAGTCTGGGAGGAGGACCTCTGAAGAAGCTTGCCACTCGTGCTAGCGAAACGTTAGGAAGAAATTCCAACCGACGACGGCCTTTAGACCCGAATCAAGACAGTTACCTTTTACTTAATAAATTTAATTAGTTGCATTTAAACTCTTTTTCTTAGTCTTAAGGAAATCTCAATCAAATCTCAAGATGACTTATCGCTTTCGGCTTGATTCATTTTTTTACTCTTCAACTCTTGACCTTTTGAAAATATATTTTAGAAAAATTTTTGGAACTACCTTATATCTGAGCCTAGCTTGACTAGTGTTTTGAAGCCTTTGCCAATCACTGATATACACCTGTTGGGGGTAGGCTCTATGTTTATAAGTCAACAGCTCAAATTACATGAGGTGGGTGTCCCTTAACATAAACTCAGAAGGTGTCGGTTGGTAGCTCGTGCAATCTTTAAAGATTGTTTCAAAGCAAATTACAAAATATATTATACGGAATATCAGAACGCCAGTGGAACGTACGCGTCATCAACAATCAAATAACAATGATTTTCAATAAAGTAATTTCAAAATATTCTTCTGCGTCTTGCAGGAAAAGGTTTGAGCATTAATTTAGACACTTGACAATCTCAATGAATTTCTAACTGAGGTTAGGAAAATCAGACGATATGTCAAATTTCTGAAAAAATCACTGACGATGACGTATGGAATCTGTTTGAAACATCATTTGTTTCAACCTTTAATACCTCCGTCTCGTACGAATATCATATTCTATACTTGCCATATCTACAAGTTCACTTTTCATGAAAACTCTTATTATCGACATAATTTTGTCCATAAAATAAACTGCGTTTATCACATAGATGACTCTCAGTTTCATTGGAAAGCCTTCTTGAAGAAACTGGAAATACTTCTTTATAGCCCCCACTTTCAGCTTTGTCATGTGCATCAACCCCATCTGCAAAGAAGAAAGGTCATGATCGAAGTTTGAACAAAAAATAAAGAACACTGAAAAACGTACAATAATACATTTTGTAGGAACTTCAGCTTCTGAAACAAACCATGCGATTACCTGACCCAAAATTATAACCACATAAATTTATAGATTTGCTTTACTCATTTCTTGGTCGTCTCGTAAACTTTATTTAAGAAATCAACTATATGCAGAAAGGCGATAGATATTTAAAGTTAACTTGAATAAATGAGCCACTATTTTGGCGGTATTATAAATTTCCCTACGCTATGGCGAATATCCCTCATAAGTAAAACGTCGTTCACTGATACCAAAGATGCCACATCTACAACTCCCTCCCCGCAGAACCTCCAGCACCCAGGAGTCTCTAAATCTAGAACATCTAAAAAAGAAGTTTGACAATCTTTATTTTTTCGTTTTTTTTCCCTCGCAACTTCAAACTACTTGAGCGAATTGCAAAACCTCTATGTCAAGCATTGTCAGCAAGACCAACAGAAATCAGTGACATGGTCTTTCCAGATGAACATGTTATGTAACAACCAAAAAATATATTTCATTTTATCCTGCGATTACATTCTTCATCAGTTAGCATGGGGATTGTAATACGTGTACCTCTGAATGAAACTGTAAAATGTACCTTCATGAAACCTACAAACCCTGTATAGATAGGTATTTAAATATTAACATAAGCGTCCTTTCTGGAAAATCTACGCACTACTTACTCCTTTCATGTCGATGATGACTATCAGTCCATCAGGTGGATTGTTTTTCAGCGTAACGTCCACTAACATGTAACTGATCTTCATGATTGCATATAAATCGAAGTTGTGGTAGCTGGTATCATGCAACTTGAAGTAATGAATAGAACAATTATCATCTGTCCTTTCAGGTATGCTGGACATGTGTCTAAAATAATTAATTACAAATAGCACATAAGCATCTATTAACGTATTCTCTAAGAAGATGCTCAAACCTATGCTGTATTCAGACGTTTATATGAAATTTCCATCGCAACATATATTTTGCCAAGTAGGATCGCAGTCATTTGCTTAAGTAATAAAAACAGGTGCCGCTTTCCTCATTCTTAAATATGACTTCAATCAATAAGGAACGACCACCCCTCAACCTCCCAACACTGACACCAAAAGACGGTGGTCGAAACGTATACAGAGCTTTTCCAAAAGGTCCGTCTCTCTCCTACTTGCCTAGTTTTTGTACGGATTAAGTTAGCAAGCTGAAATTTTGATTGATGAGATTTATTCATATATACTATATTGATTTTAGTATAAATGTGGGAGTTGACAATTTCAAGTTGATGGTTGGGCCCCATCCTGGATTTTTTTTCAAATGGAATGAGTGGTCACGCAGTCATGTGATACCTCATTTTAAAACCCCTTATGAAGACTTTACATTGCTCAACACCCAACTACCGAAACACATGTTTGTTATAATCTTATCTTGGGAGAGTCAATTTGAATATTTAATGAAATATGGACATATATTAACAATTCCGAGTTTAAAAGGGCTCTTTTTGATGGCCTACCAGTCCACCATTTTAAAAGATAGCGATTTTAAATTTTAGTGTTCGTACTCATATCTCGCTCATGTTTCACAGTCTGCTATTTTGAAATATAGCAATTTTATATTGTAAGGTTATAAAATACTCATAAGTAGCTTTAAAATAGGGTAACACATAACTACCATTCCATTTAATGAAATATTCCAGCTGCCATACTGAAAATTGCTGCTGCCTGTCTGGCTAGTTTGATCCGCTCAAAAAATTAATAGGGACGGAACTTTTCGAAACGCACTGTATGGCTGTAAGCACAAGGAGTTGTCGGTGCCATGCTTATTTTTCCAAAGACACAGCTTTCAACTGGATTGAGTATTTTCTAGGGGAATACGTTAATTAATGACATAACGTTTTTATGTCGTAGATGAAATATGAAAAATTGGTGAAGGATAGAGGAGGTAGTAGCATAAAGAAAATGGCAGTGACTGGCGTCTTTTTTATCCGAACACCAACCAAACAAGGGCGGATTAAGGCTCGTGGGCGGGCATCCTGCCTCATGACACCCAGGCATGTCATTGTTTGCAATAAAAGGTACACATTCTGTATATCGATGCTATAATTACCCTCCCCTCCAAGATCAACAGCGTCTTCAAAATGAATTGTGCGAGCACCAATGCACCTCCCCTAGTCCCAATCCTAAGTCCGCCCTCATAAAGAAATACTTATTGAATGTTGCTGGGACATGCATACTGCAAGCTCAGTCCGAACAGAGCTGGTGTTAATCAATGAATCCGGATACATAGGTGGAAGGAGTCAGTCAAGGATTTGTTTATCTCCTTATTCTCATAGGCTGTAGTGAGGATCAAACTGCACTTGACATAAGTTGATTTGTTGACAGAATTTGTATTTTTTGTTTTATTTTTTAAAGGTGTTCACAGATAATTGAGGTAAGAGATTATTCCATTCATTACGGTACCTCTCAATAATTTGTAAAAAGCAGCCCAAGCCTAATGGAGGTAGATGTTTCCACCGATAAGTATTATTATTGTGTTGAACAACGCTGTCACTTTGGTAGGCAAATGAGTCAAAGGTGTGCATCGAAAAATTTGGCGACAGGCAATGCAATGTAAACATATAGGCTTGGCTCCTCCTAACTTATAAGAAGTCGTTGGTGCTGATCAACGAATTCAGACTGGATAGAAGGAGCTGGTTAAAGATTTGTTTATCCTCCCATTGTCTGTAGTGAGGATCAACGTGCACTTGACAGTTCTGTCATTATAATGCGTATTATAGTGTTATTTTTTAAAAGTGTTAGTATTTGCACATACGGTTCTTCTTACATGATTTGCAAAGAGCGTCAAAAGCTTAATCTTTCAACCGGAAAGTATTATTATTATGTTGATACAACTACGTAATTTTGGCGACAAACAATACAGCAATATAGGTTTGGCTCCTTTTAATCTATTTATATTCATTGGTGCTAATAGACAGTTTTTTATTAGTCTTATTCATGGATTCTATTTAGCAATGGAAACATGTTGACGACAAAAGAGAAACTCAAATCATCTTCCAGGCTTTCGACTTCAACATCTGCATCGGACTAAGTTTGGAGATGTCATAGCAAGTTTAGCTACATTATTTATAAAATTCGGTTTGGTACATGGTTCTGAAGAAAAAAGACTCCAACTTCCATACTAAAAGGTGTTTTTCTTCATGCTAAATACACTTACATTGTATTCAATGCTAACTTCACATCTAGTCGCTTCAGGTCCCTGTTATCATGAATTTCAGGCGCATTCTTTTTGCATCTGTAGAACGCCAAAATGGTTTTCTTAGTAAACTCTACATCATTTTTGCACGATAACAAGAACAGAATTACCATCTGTTCTTCAAGAGCCGGTGGAACTAGTTTATCTCCTGAATTTGGAAGCCATTCCTTTATTTCGTCTATGTACTCCCTTTTGGTACGGCCCTGATCTATAACATCCTGGGCTGTAAAGTTGAACTCCAGCCTCCGATCTTCTTCCATTTTTGTTTGGCTTCAAAGAATAACATACTTGAATATGACCTGTTTACATTCCATCTCTGTGTTCATGACCATCCAATATTGTTTCGTGCTGGCTAGCGATTATTAGGACTGTATAGGTCTAGTCTCAATGACAGACAAGGAAAAGCAAACTAGCGGATATGGTCTACTGAAAAACTCTATACAACTAATGCAGATTTTTACCACTCGCCAAACATCTTCAGGTGGATACTAAACCTGTTTTGATCTTCCCCTGAAGATGATAATATAGCGAAATACTCGTTTGGTGAGTGCTAAAACTCTATATTAGTCATTGTCGCTTCGCCAAAAGATCCAACACTTACTAGGTATACGAGTAGATCCATATTGTATAGTAGTATATATACTAAGTGACATATAAATCCGAACACCCAGTTTAAATGGTTTTATTTTAATAAAAGTTGGTGAATGTATTTATCTTTTTCAGCGTTATCAGTTGGACATTCCGGTTTTTATACAGATTTTTTTTAATTCACTAACCCTCTAAAAATGAATATTTCAGCCGCAGTAAAAAATCAACGTTGGCGGATTTTGGTTCTTGACATCCTTTACGATCGGTTACGATGCCTAGAGTACAGAGACCTATACGATTTCGTCAACTTAGTGAGTTTGATAGGGGCCGTATAGTGGGACTTCGGGAAGCTGGACTTTCTTTTCGGGCAATTGCAGTTAGAGTGCAAAGAAGTGTAGACACTGTGGTTAGGTGTTGTCAGGCATGGCTTCGAGAAGGCCGTATGCAAAGAGCAAGGGGCACTGGACGCCGCCGTAGAACAACAGACCGTGAAGATCGCCGCCTAAGGTTATTGGCCTTAAGGGACCGTTTCTCCACTACCAGATCCATTGCAAATGAATGGTTTGCAGAACACGGAAGACCTATTGGCATGCGAAGTGTTTACCGACGAATGAGAAATTTTGCCTTGTTTTCATACCGGCCACACTGGGTCCTCCCTTTAACTCGAGAACACTGACGTAATCGCCTTGAGTGGTGCAGACAACGGTCACTCTGGGATCCGGAATGGAACAGTATTGTCTTTAGTGACGAGTCTCGATTTTGTTTAGGCATGCACGATGGTCGTGCCAGGGTTAGAAGGCGACGTGGTGAAAGGAGGAATCCACAGTTTTTTGTTGAAAGACATGTTCATCACACTGTTGGAGTTATGGTTTGGGGTGCTATAGCTTATGGTTCCAGGTCGCCTTTAATCTTCATCAGAGGTAACATGAACGCGCAGCGTTATATCCACGAAGTTCTAGAACCCCATCTTTTACCCTATCTTGACACCCTGGCAGATCCAACTTTCCAACAAGATAATGCCCGACCACATGTTGCAAGAGTCACAATAGACTTCTTTCAACATAATGATGTCACATTGTTACCATGGCCACCAAGATCTCCCGACTTATCCCCAATTGAGCACGTGTGGGATATGATGGGTAGGAGATTGCTCAATTTGCAACGTCCTTCTCAGACTATAGAAGCACTTCGAGAGGAGTTGGTGGTTGCCTGGAATGAGATACCACAGGAGGACATTGACCACCTGATCAGAAGCATGCCTAGGCGCGTTGTAGAATGCGTAGCACATCAGGGTGCATCCACACATTATTAAAGGTCAAAGGGCTTTAAAGCAGTGCAATCATTTTGAAATTTTTATCATTTACTTATTATGCTTCACTAAATACTTATACAAAATTTTATTAAAATAAAACCATTTAAACTGGGTGTTCGGATTTATATGTCACTTAGTATAAATGTGAGTGTCCATCCTGTCAACATCACACTTGAATTTCAGTACGGAGAGACGAAACATTTGTACCCTCACTAATTGAAACCTGGGGAAGGTTTTATCCGCGAACATATACATGGTGTTCAAGAAGTACGAATAGATCAAAATATCTCAAAAACTACGTTTCCCAGAGAAAAATGTTGTGAAACAAAGTTGTAAGGTATGAAAACTTCATCTAATGGTGACCATGTACGTTATCTTATCTGTGACCTTCAAGCTTATTTGAAGGTCAAGACTGTTTTCTTAAATGGAAGCCCTTATTTGTGGCACCGGAATAAAAAGAGCAAGAAATGTTATATTCATGTATGTCCATGACCTTGAGTAAGACCGCCAGAGTCATTTTGAGATAAAATATTATTTAACAGTTTTGAGAGCCAAATGTCCGGCCAAATACAGTCTGGGTTTTGTATTTTAGGAGATGACAACCGTTTTCGCACTACTCATCGTAATTTACCCGTGTAGGAAATTAGAATGCATGGACATATCTGCTCTACGTGTTAAGAACATACCAAGCTTTTAGGCAAGTTACTCTGTACCTTTTATAAAATATAGTAGTAGTACTCTATAATGACCAGATAAGAAACACCAATATTTATTCGACGAAATTCGGATTGATTTTTTTCATTTCATGATCTTTGTTATTCAATCTATGCTTCATAAAGTGTAGTGTATATCATTATCTCATTAATAGTTTTTGATGCAGGCATGCCTAATATATCTACTTAGAATACTCCTAACTTTCAAACGGATCATATTGGGTAGTTCTGAAATCTCGCAGTCTAGTTATATTTTTTCTCTTTCTATGTGTGATCCAAAATTTTAGAGTTCAGGAGATATTTGCAATTTTGTGAAATTAGGAAAAAACGGGATAATGAACTTTCATTCGCAATTACAACTAAACAATTAGGCTTAGGGCTGTGTTTTTTTTGAGATGAGCTAAAAGGTTAGTTTTAGCAATGGTTATGTCACTTTTTAACAGAGCTTATGAGAAATCAACGCAAAAAATCTTAAATTCATTTTTTGTGCATAATCTCTTCCATCCCTCAACTTTGGAATGCGGTAAAAGGAATTGAGGTTGTATATCATTATTCATTTTATTGTAAAAACTATTTTTATCCATGTAGAACAAACCCTGAAATTTTAGCTTGCTAAGATAAGTTCCTCACCTTAAAAGATATATATGTTTGACGCAAGTGGGTATCTATTTTACGACCTACAGTCCAAATGATTTGATGGATTTTGACCAAATAGAATTTCTTGTTTACATGCATAGATACCCACATACAGATTTTTTAAGGTGGGGCACTTATCGGAGCAAGCTGAAATTTTCAGGGCTTATTCTTCATGAATTGATAGTGTTTAGAATTAAATGAATAATCGAATACAACCTCAATTTTTTTACCGTTCTCCAAAATTGAGCTATGTAAGAGATTTTTCTCATAAAAATGAATTCAAGATTTTTTGCGTTGATTTTTGATTAGCTCTGTTCAAAAGTGACATAACCATTGCTAAAACTAACCATTTAGTTCATCTCCAAAAAAAATCATAGCCCCAAACCTTATGGTTTAGTTGTAATTGCGATTGAAAGTTCATTATCCAGATTTTTCGAAGTTTCACAAAATTTCAAATATCTCCTGCTATAAAATTTCGGACCACACATAAGGGGTTCATTCATTATGTTTTGAAACCCTTTATCACCTGATTTCCGTTGATCTACTACTAACTTTACACCCTGCATATGTGTAATATGCATTTGTTTAGAAACATGGCCACAACTCATAATTATTACGTACTCATAGATGCTGTATAACATATTGAACTTAATAAAACAAGTTGACTTAAGTATTATATATAGTAAATCATACTTACTAGAAAATTGCAACTATACACTTCCACAATATTTGCCGTAGTTATTTTTTATCGCTGATCACTAATACTGACAGACGTAAACGAATTGATTTGAATTAATTAAGAATATTCCTTACTAATCTACATAGAATGAACTATAATGTCAATTTGCAAGGCTTGAAGGTTTCAGTATCTAGTAGATTTCCTTATATGATGAAGGTTGTCAAGTTCAATGAATGCAAGAAGGGAAGAGGCGTTCCGAAAACGCTAGTTGCTGGTAAACATACACCACTACCTATGGGTTGGTTTTCCATACCAGTATTTTTGGCAAATGCCAAGATGGGTCTGGCTCTTATTTATTCCGTACACTCTGATTGTAAAATAATAGACCCCTCTCAGAAGAAGCTAAAATGTATGCAGAAAATTATTCATCTTTCTCAAAGCTAGAACAGAATAGTATCACTCACCACCTCAATTCATGAAATTATTATTTCCGGACAGTAGAATGAGCAGCAGTTGAAGACCATTTGAATCTGATAGATAAGATTGAAGTTTGTTGGGATGTTCGATTACCCATTTGCAGCTAGTTCAAGACTCGGTAGAGAGCCTAAAAGATTCGATCAAACCATCTCCCCTTACAAAACTATCTGAGCATAACAGGCTCCTGCAATAACCTGATCTGTTACGAGTACCCCGTTGCAAGAATATCAAGAGTTTTCCCAAGCCCCAAAATGAATCTTGACGTTATAACTACAATTACTTTCTCGATTGTCACTCAACTTTGGGAGCATGCCAGGCCCAAATCTCGCTTTCTGGAATACTACAGTTACTTAAAAACTTAACACTTTTATTTGCAAAAGAATTCTTAACATAAGAGGATATATATTAGGTGCTCCCAAATAACAGTGCCTGACAGTCCAGAATGGCTGATTTAGTTGCTCGATACCTAGTTTACCAATATCAGATCGTTAATTTATTTAGATGGTTGTATTTGACAATGCCTGAATAATCAGACACTGCTTGTTGGAGCTAACCAATCAAGCACTACACCATCTAAAAAGAATAGTATACTTTTGTTTTCCATTTTTATTTGTTCATCTCTTTTCGCATCATTTCTTCGACTTCCCAAAACTTTTGCATGTTGTTCATCTGTTCTATCGTCATTTTGTGTAGCTCCATCTCTGAAGGCAAATCTCCACCATACTCTTCTGGTAAACACTTTTGTGGGAGCAATGCATGCAGTTTCTCTATGGGCATATCAGATGGATGAATTTTGATCTGAAAACAGAGCAATATATGATCAAACTTAGAAGAAGAATTAAACCCTTCTAATTTCTATTTCAACTGTATTTGAGTCATCAGATTACATATCGAAGGCAATCATTTCAACAAAACACAAAGAAAGTTGATTTATAATTATTTATTAGGTTTCCTGGATATATTGTGTTTAGATAATAATATATAACAAGTACGTCAGTCTGTCTGTCATTGTTTATCTGGGAATATCTGAGCTTTAATTCGTTTGTACTACCATGCCAAGGAAAATATGCATTTGAGGTGTGGTACATGAAAAAATCATCATTATTAAACCAAAAGTATTTCCAAGGCTAACTGATCAATTACTTTCTGCAGATGTCATAGGATGAAGGATATTTTGTACATTTCTCAACAAACAAAACACCAGTAATGCGCAAATTATGCATATTGCATGCGATTATCTTGATCGTCGATGCTGCGGAAAAGAAACCATATGATATTTTCTTCTGTAAAAAGGATGAATTACATAACCGACAGATGTGACCCGATCACCAGATCTTGATCTCGAGAGACCCTACGTTTAATTTAACAAAATACACAATTCGGTGGCCACGAGAACTGTCCTTATTATATTCGTTGCTGGACTATGATGCAACAATCAGTGTTCCAATAGTACGGTCAATTTATCTATTTCTATTTCTACTCAAAAGGAGTAAGTTTTTGATTTTAGCTGAAAGTGACAACATTATGTATGTATCCTGGGCGTAATAAGGTTGGTATGTGGGGCCCATCGCCCTTTTCAATTAATATTATAACTTCATAAGTAACTGTAGCAGTTCACTTGAAAACATGTGAAATTCTTTTTTCATTTAACTGGAACATCCAATATTTGGATAGACCCCTTCCGGAAAAATAAAATTAAGAAACTATATATAGCCTTTTGTTGATTGTTTGTTGAGTTATATGCAAGTCAATATACAAACTTCTCAGGTTTAACAGCCCGTCAGTCCGCCCTTTTGAAAGATAATATATCTTATATCCTAAGGTTATGATAAATCCATAAGGACATTCAAAGTGATATATCGATTCACTTAAAGAGATTCTAAGATCTCCACTAAGCTTCACTTCGATCTAATACCCGAAACTTATCCTGTGATTTTTTTGCTGAGAGGATCCCATGATTGGCGGGCTGCTAAATGAAGCCACATATATGCATGGATTACTTTTTACTGTCGACGATTCGGCCAACACTTTGTAGGGTGCATTAGTCCCGTTTAAGAAAATAGCTTCAATTAAGTTGAAAAAAGTTAGCTACAAACATGTATCGCAACAAATTAAATCCACCCCCTCTAAGAGGAATTCCTGCAAACCCTAACCCCAATTTTTAACCCCTACAACAAGTTTTTCTAAAAATGATCAGGAACCTCTGAAACGTCAAAAAACGTAGTTTGAACGATTTTTTTCACATTTGGACTGTTTCTCCTCCGCCACTGGACCAACTTGTCATAGTAGTAACCATGTGTAAAAATTTCATCCATATACGTCACTTTCCAAATCATAGACGGGCTAACGATTAGCGGACAGGCAGACAGACCAACGGAACTGAAACATGGTTTTTCGGGATGCACATATCATCCAAAAAACATAATCCGATTTTCGAAATTGCATGCGATTACAGTACGCCAGTAGCGTATACAGTAAAATGATACCAAGATAGTAGAAGCATGTTGATGGAATTCTGAAGTGAATCTATCTCAAAACACAACAAAGCTTGTGCGTCATTGGCGTAGTAGTAACCTTGTGTAAGCATTTCATCCAAATCCGAGCAGTACTTTCCAAGTTATAGATGGCCCACGATTACCGGACAGACCGATAGACAAACAAATAGCCCGACCGACAGACATACCACAGACAGGCCGACAGACAGACTGACAAACCGACAAATAAACCGACAGACAGAGACAGACAGACAGACAGGCAGACCGACAGACAGACAATCCGACAGGAAGACCATCAGACATACAGACCGATGAAAATGAGTGACATAGTTTTTCGTGATGTACATGTCATGTAACACCCGAAAAAACATGTCATTTCCAAAAATTTTCGAAATTAGTATATAAATAGAGAAAAAGGTCTCCATGGTGGTCGAAACGTCGTCAGTAAAAAGTAATTCAGCTTGAAATCCTTTACCCTAAAGTTCACTCACCATATCTAAAACTTCGTTTTTTATAAATACTTTGATCACTGACATAAGCTTTTCCATAACATAAGCTGCATGTATGATGTGTATCATTTTTAGCTTCATTGGAAACCCTTCTTGTAGAAATTGGAAGTACTTCTTAATAGCGCTTATCTTCATCTTTGTAAGGTGCATTAGTCCTATCTAAAATAATTATCACCATACAAAAAATGTGGATAAATGCAGTCGCAAAAATATCTTCATAGTCTAGAATACTGTGTACCACTGAGTATTCATGGTATTTGTTAAAGAACACAAATTCTATACTCGATAAATTCAAGTTTGTGCATTCATGTACGATCAAGTATAACTCGGTGTTTAGTCCAAAACCCTGATGTTCAGTACTTCTTTGTTGGCAAGTATTCTATTCTAAATCTTTTGTTTCAATACATTTCCTCAATAATTCTGGTACCGGATCCAATACTGTTGCGGCCATATCAGAAATACCTACAGTAATTCTGGCAATACAATTATACATTCTTCGACTACTTAGTTAAGTTTTATTTAGGGGTAGTATTGAAACAAGTCTGCTCTTCTCAATAATGGCTGATTATATCTAAATCAAACAACATTACATTTTTCCAGATAAATAATTTTATTATTTCCAAAAATATTAAGGTAAGATTTGTAATACTGCGTTACGGCTAGACCATTCAGGAAATCTAAATTACAACAAACAGCATTCAAAAGTTTATTCAAGAAAGGTCGATATCTAAAAGCGTTCTTTAGGGACCTGTAACTCCGTAGAGGAGTTTGTGGCATTATGTTTTTTTATGTTGTATACGTATTCGAAAGCTCTTATTCTGGGACACTCTATAAAGTTTGCAACCGTTAACACATAGTGAACATACAACGGAGCACAGGTATCAGGCTATGATTACTTTTGGATATACGTGATCTGCTAATAGGATTTAATCTGAAAATATTTAGGGTTGTGACTTTTGGTGATTGATAATTTTAATAACGTAGTAAAGATTGCTCCTTTTGAACCTTCCCTTTACATATAACATACTTACTCCTTTCATATCAAGAAGCACCACCAGACCATCAGGAGGATTGGTATTCAAGGTGATGTCTACCAGCATAAAACTAAGCTTCATTATCGGATAGACATCGTAATTATGATAATCCGTGTCGTTAAGTTTAAAATAGTGAATGGCACAATTGTCATCTGTTCTTACTGGTAACGTTGCCATGTGCCTTCAAAGAAAATAAATTGTTTCAACTGCGAAAAACTTAATCAAATATAAAGATATGTAGTTCACGTAACAAAAAAATGTAAACTAAATTTAGAACACAATTAAGGGCACAAGTACGCATCACCACAGTTATATTGCTCATCGGCTATAAGCTGTTGAATCATGTGACTTAAGTGTTTATGATGTTAACGGCAGGCTCAATGTTTCTGCCTTCGAATCGTAAGTGAAATACGGTTTGTAAAGATTTCAGTCAATCAAAAATAATAAAACCCTGTCATTTTTTAGGATGGTTAGTGAATCTATCATAACAGAAGTAAAAATTTACATTGTATTCAGTGCTTTTATTATATCTGCCCTTCTCATGCCTCTATCATCGTAAAGCTCAGGAGTTGCCTTTTTTAACCTATAAAACGCTGAAATTGTTGTTTTGGTAAGCTCCACATCATTATCACATGACAACAAAAACTGTACGATCATCTGCTCCTCAAGATGTGGAGGAACGAGCTTGTCGTTTGACATAAGTAGCCAATTTTTAATTGACCCTATAAACTCCTGCTTAGTACGATTTTGGTCTATAACATCTTGCGCTGTGTAGTTGAAGTCCAACTTCCGGCTGACTTCCATTTAAGCTTTGAAAATCTGTAAACAAATTACAAGTTTGTAATGGTTTCTATCGTCGTACATTTTTTGCCAGTAATATTCGCTAAGGTGTCCCTTGAGACGCCTAATAATTTAAATCTATTTAGGGATAAATTAGTCTCTTAATACAACAAATAATATTGCCAAATTTCAACAGAATCTAGTAAAGATTTCTCAAGATATTAATGAAAAAAGTTTTTTATCACCCTGTATCTTCAAAACTCATCATTTCCGGATCCACGTTTATAGAAACTTTTTCTATATTTTTTAACAAGTAATTACTCTCTGAAATATCTCCGTCTATTTTTCGAACACCCTGTATAGCGAAAATTGCTATTTTTTGAAGCAACCGCATCGTATAGCTGTTTACTTATTTACTACTACCCTTACTTTGATCTTGAATATTTTTTTGCACATATGGGACCGATAAGTACCTTTTACGTTTCATTTATGATGGTGTTTCCAACATTCATAAAGCTTTTTGGGCTAACTTGACCAGATTATTACTCCCCACTCCTTACCAGTGATGGGCGCATTGTATACATCATGTATAATAATATTGTATACGCGTATACAATGGTGAATATATACGTTTCGATATTCACGTATACAATGTATACAATGTGTTCAATGTATACAATGTATACAAGGTATACAATGTATATAATGTATACAATAGCAAATCATAGTTCAACTACTTGCATACAGTGCTGGCGAAAGTCCCTTTGCCTTTTAGATTTCCAAGTGTACGAGGAAGAGAGAGACGGGGATGAAGGTCACAGAACACAACTTTAACTTGCTGCAACGCCTTGTTTTCTACGCTCAAATACACATTTCTGTCGAATCTGTTTAGGATCAATTCCAGACCTATCCTAATGGTTTTCCGATTTTAGGTGGAACTGACAGTTCCGAATAAATATATATAATATTTATTTATATACGTACACAAAGATACAGTTTCAAATAAATTAGGAACAACAAATGAACCCTAGTTAATCGATATTTTTGTTCTTGGGGCGTCCAACCACATTGTTTTAGTTGTCGGTTCACTGTTCACCAACTTTCTGACGTTTGCGAATAAACCTAACCTCACTTATGCTATTCTATACATTGTCTTCATCATTGTATACATTGTATTCATTGTATACGGAATCTATACATTGTATACGCATTGTATACATCGAGACGTAGACAATTAATGTATACGCGTAAACGCCCATTACTGCTCCTCACCTATTCGACAAGCAACGATAGCGTTACGATTAGTAAACCGCTTGAGGGCAAATATACTGTTCCCAACTCACTGAAACCATTACCACAAGTTTTCTAGCCCCAAAAATTTTTCCATCAGTGGGTAGTAGTAACGAGGTTTTAGCTTTTTTACTTATTTGCATGTACGCCCGCTACTAGTGAATCGATTGTCAATAGCTAGGATTAGAGGGCATACAAATCAGTAGACACTCAAACCTACAGTCAGACCGACGGAAATGATTCACATAGTTCTTCGTGATGTACATGTCATTTAACATACAAAACTGTCCGTGTTTACAATACTTCCTCACCAATTGACATGAGAAGTAATCGGTACTTCAAATGAAGATTTAGTTTCTCACTAAAACTCATTCTTTCATCTCTTCTAGTTTTTAGTAGAGTTCTCAGTTCCCCAGCAAACAACCAGTCTAAAAAAATTTCCTAAGACTCAGCTGCGATTTTTAATTTTTTCGTTTTTTGCCCGTAGCTCGTTCGCAGCTGGATCAATTTTCAAAGCTCACAAAGCTTCTTCGCCACTGGCAAACTAACCATATGCCAAAATTTCATCAATATGTGAGCAATGCTTTCCGAGGATTAGCGGATAGATCGAAAAGCATAATATTCACTTTCGAAATTTTTACGGGATTATTATACTTCGGCATTGTGCGGCGTGATGAGTAAACGATTTTGTTCAGCAGGTATATCTTGAGGTGTGCGTGTCTGTAGAACCACAACGGTATTTTAGAATCATTTGTGTTCAGTGAAATAAAACGGTATACACAGGTATAGGGCTCCAACAGATACCCTTACCCACTAACTTACCTTTCTGCGAATAATCTTACACACACTTTACGCTGACAATATTGTATGTTCCTACTGCATGTTTTTGTCAGACAAATGAACTGCTGTTAAGCACCACCTAGTTCATTTGCAAATAGTAATTTAGGTGGTCTAAGATATTTGTAGTGCTTAGTTACTAATGACTATAACACATGTAATAGTGCAAAAAAGCAATATAATAATTTGATTATATACTTTATTGATAACCTCGGTCCACCAAACGTGATGGACTGGGATATTATAACATGCAAAGTTATAGTGCAGGCGATAGGAGGAATTTGGTATTCTGTCAAATGATAGATTTAAGGATCGTGAAGTGGCTCTTGTCAGCTGACTCTTTAGCCCATTTTTACTCCAACCCTGCCTAACTTGCAAAGACTTCTCAGACAATTCGTAGAGGGAAAAACTTTCACTATTTTTAGACAAAGTAAATGCCTATGAAGTATGACTCTAAACTAAACAGGTGTTACCGGATACCATCTGTAAAAATATGGAATACGTGATATTTTTGTTCGTAAACGCATTATATACGTAGAACAAGCCACAGTGTATGATGGAAAATTGATATGTTTCTTCAGGAAAATCTTGTTTTCTGTCTAAGCGGACCTACGTACAGTTAGGATGACGTCACTCGTGTTATCTCTCATCACTGACATCGAACAGCTGTTATTTCCTTCGCTATATGTTCCTGCTTCCATAGCTAACCATAATCTTCAGTAGGTTATCATGGTAGTAGTTATATTGTTATATTTCGGGTTTTATGAAGTCTAGGTTTTGTCTTTTGCCTGGATTCAAAGAGCCACAAAAATGTATATTTTGTGTAGGATTTTAGGATTGCTTAAACATCAACTATAAAGAGATTCGTAAGCCGAAAGTCATAAAGACAAGATTGTTTTTTCTCAGCACCTGACAAAGCAAGTTTATCTAAAAACTTTAAATTTGACAGTCGTCTGCTATTGCCTCTGGTCCACGTTAAAACTGGGATATTCTGCATCCGAATGGAATAATGTTGTTAGAATAAATTATTTCCTAAGTCAGCAGGCACATAGCAGGTGTCCGTTTCAAAGAAAGGTAATCCGACTTTTGTCCACCTTACTTCAAGTTTTTGCAACCTGTACACCTTGTTGCCAAGTGTTCCGACTTACCCGGAACTTTCCTTGATTGGGAAAATGGCTGTGTCCACTTCTCATATTTTCTCACATACAAAATAAAATTAATTGTTAAGTTTGAGAGCACTTTGTATCAACATGTAGTTAAGCAATGGGGTCGAATATTGAAAAATGACACAAAAAATTGCGATTCATATAGACAGTAACGCTAGCAGCTTCTTGATGAAGAACCTGATTTCTATCACAGCTTCGAATGCATCAATTTCATAATCCCCCAATTTCAGTTTGCTAACTTGATAGTCTAATGCATTGATTCCCAAAGTTGTCTATATCGACCCCTAGAAGTCTATGACAACCTGCAAGGGGTCTACGTCAGCGAAAAAAAAATTTGGGGGTCCATGAAATGAATATGGGGGTCCACGATAGTGGATCTCAACACATACACTGATAGTACCTATTTGCTTACATCATACTATCTTATAATATCAAAACATATACATTATTTATAAAAGTACCTATGAAGCAAAAAATTTATTATATATGTTTATAAAATTGTGTACATTTTGAACTTGTAAAAACCTGAGAGTCGCAGTCTCAGAGCTTCGCTACCTTGCACTGACTTGTTCAATTCGTCACTCTATAAATACGAATGTGGGACAAATACGTTTATTCGTTTCCTGAATCTTGAAAAGGAAAGTGCTAAGAAAATATTTTAAAAAATATAAACAGATAGTATATCACACAAATTATAGTGAGTCAGTGTTATTTTGTTTGAGAGTGCTGGAGAAAAGTAAGTACATTATTTTTTATTAAATTTTAGTTTTGTACTCGTAGTTAGCAAAGATAGATAAATTACGCCAATCATGACTTTAGTTATTAGTAGTTAAATATTCAATCATGCAAAATTACACGAGTACTCCTCAATAGTTTCTTTTTGAAAGTTTTAGCAATCGGTAATATAATTACAGTGCAATCTCCGTAATTTGAGCTAATTGTTGCAAGAAGATGTTCGAATTATGGAATGTTTTCGGAAAAATCAAAAAATATTTTTAATATACAGCTGCTGGATTTTCTGTCTTATTTAAATAATTTAATTTTGCCCACAGATGACTGATGCCATGTCCGAATCTAAAAAGAAATGTAGACAGTACAGTGTTGATTATTTGAAATTTGGCTTCATTCCATCATTGCCGGACAAACAATCGCCTATGTGCCTTTTATGCAACAAAGTTTTGGGCAATGACGCTATGAAACCATCTAAACTGCAAGATCATATGAGAAGATGCCACCCTGATAAAACAGAGAAAGATTTGAAACACTCAAAGATAAATTTCAGAAGAGACCTACACTGGACAGAATGTTCGCTTCGACGTCACAAAGAAATGATGATGGTTTGCGGGCGTCTTACAATATCTCGTTACTTATATCAAAATCCGGAAAACCGAATACTATCGGAGAGAAGTTAATTTTGCCAGCCGTTGAAGAGGTTTTAAAAACTGTTTTACACAAACCTGCATCTGATATCATTAAAAGAATTCCCTTAAGCAACAATACTGTTGAAAGACGTATTGATGAAATGAGTTCTGATATTGAAAGCTTCTTATGTAATTATTTGCAAACGACCCATTTCTCTATACAACTGGACGAGTCAACTTAACCTGATAATGCAGCATTATTATTGGCATAGGTTCGTTTTATTATGAATCAAGAAATCTACGAAGAACTGCTCTTCGCAAGAACTTTGATAACCGACACTAAAGTTGAATCAATATTTCATGTTTTGAAGGATTACTTCATTGAAAAAGTAATTCCTTTATCAAATATAATATCAGTAGCTACAGATGGAGCACCTGCCATGGTTGGACGTTATCGTGGATTTATAAGCTATTTAAAACAAAATGTGTCAGGGGTGTTAGCAATACATTGCGTCATCCATCGACAACATTTAGTTGCTAAAAATTTGAGTGTTAGATTGCATGAATCACTTCATTTAGTCATTGATGCAGTAAACCGAATCCGAAGCAACGCGTTGAATACGCGGTTATTTGCGCAGTTGTGTGAAGAAAATGACGAACACTTTCATCAATTTCTCCTTCACACTGAAGGAAGCTGGCTGTCGAAAGGCTTATGTTTGACAATATTTTTTGCACTTATTGAGACTATTTTAGAATTTCTGGATACTAAAGATAGAATTTTAAAAGAAAATTTAATGAAGAGGAAAACAGACATCGCCTATTTAACAGATTTGTTTACAAAATTTGATATGGTTAATTTGCAATTACAAGGCGACAGTTTAAATTTGATTAAAACAAAGTCCATCTTATCAGCGTTTCTTGCCAGAGTTAAACTAATGAAGCAAAATATTGGACGGGGCGAATTTTCTCAGTTTCCCAATTTGTCACCGACAAGCTGCCAGAAAGACGACGTTTCAACTTACGTTCAACATTTAAATGCCCTCTATTCAGATTTTGAATATAGGTTTGAGGATATTTGGTACTATGGTAATACCACCGTGGATAATTAATCCATATGGTGACATAGAAGAAACGAATGTCATAATACAAGAGGAACTGCCTGAACTAAGTACAAACGAAGAACTTAAGGTTCAGTTTAAAAACGGATATCAGCAATTCTGGCTGCAAAACAACATACCCGTTACTTAACCCGTATTATGGAATATAGCGAGGAAATTTTTAATTTCCTTTCCATCGTCATACCTAGTGGAAAGGGGGTTCAGCGCTGTTACCAATCTCCTAACGAAAAAAAGAAACAGACTGGACATCATTAGCCGAAGAGATTTAAGATTAACCCTTACAAAATTGACGCCAAATGTTGATAATTTATTATTAAAGCATCAGGTTCATCCTTCTCACTAAAAATATTGACTTATTGCTTATGTTATTTTATTTATAGTTTATTTTATGTTTATTAGTGTCTAACCAATAAATGCTCGCATTGGGAATAAGTGCCCGCATTGATTTTTTAAAGAACCCTCCTTTATAGAAAATATTTTTTTTTGTTTTAAATTATTCTGAAAATTCAAGGATAGGTACACACTAAAATTCGTTAATTTTTTGCCTATTTTTAGATAACTTAAACGTATAAGAAGCGGAATTTAATCAAACTAACAGTGAAGTTATTGTAGAACATACGTTTATGTTATAATTAATAAACGAACTCGCTTATTGTGCTATTTTAAGTAAAAAACTTTTTTTTATATTTTTATTTTTTTTTTCAATGCGGGCACTTATTGGTCAGACACCTGTTTATTTAATGTTACGTATATTTTACATAACAGATACAAAATTTTATTTTTAGTAGTTTTAATTTAAATTCAATTAATAAATATATAAATTAACATGTGTTTTTACTTTAAGTTTTTAACACTAAACTTCACTACAGTTATAAATTTACAGGAAATCAATATCAGGTAAGTAGGGGGTCTACCCAACACGGAAAAACATGGCAAGGGGTCTACGACACAAAAAAGTTTGGGGAACTCTGGTCTAATGAATACGTGCAGGAATTCTTTTGAAAAACATCCTATATCGAAAATAAACCGAAATTGTTCTTAGTTTCATTATTTTCTTCGTAGCTATCATTTGAGATATATGATATGATTTAATAAGCCATAATAAGACATGATAAATAAGAACTTGATTTTTATGTGGCTATTCCTACTGAAATTTTGATTATCTATATTTTCTATTTGGGCTTTTGACACCCTGGACCCAGCAACATCACATATAGTCGGACAGAAGTATATGGCGTAGTTATGAATACGAAGCTACAATGTTCTGTTACATAAAGTACAAATAATTGCTTTAAATTTTGCAATCAATCTCCGGGTAATAATAAGTTAATAAGCCACCATCCGGAATGCCACTAATTTTAAGAAGATTGTTGCGATATACAGGATACACTCATAATTATTATGTAACGTTACTTTTTAATTGCGGACATTATTATCTATCTGACTTTCGTTTGGATATAACACGAATGATCAAAAATATGTAACAAAACATACATTTGTCATCATATCTTATTGTCTCATCATTAAAGCTGTGATTTGCTGCAAGTTGAGGTTATTGTTAATAGTTGGATGTTGTTGAACAATTTGTTAGACATCATCAACTGAACTTTCTCTTAACGACAGTTGATCCCTATGCTCTGCCCTTACCCAACGTGTAATAACATATCAATTTATGTGTGTCAGATCAAGTGGACTCTGAACTAGCCGAAATGAACGGATTATTGCGACGCCAAGCAGTGAGTAGTAGTAGTAGTAGCAGTGGTGGGCAGGCCAAGCTTGGCAACTAAGCCACCTTTGACCCTTTTTGCCACCCCCGTAGTACCAACTCTGTACTGCTCCACAAGCCATCCACTGATAACTGATATAATAAGCCAGCTCCAATGATGAGGTATACCTATTAATATTACACACAAGTACGTGATATAGATGACACACTCAACATCCATGCCAAGGAATAGAAGGGTTTATCTCTGCAAGGAATTAACTTCCGAGGCGGAGATTCGAACCTGCGAGCTCCGGGTTGCTAGCTCGACACCCAAAACCACCGAGCTATCCAGGTTCTATAAGCAGTGACAAACCCCAAGTCTCTCGTCAAAGAGAAAATCCCGGCTAGTCTTCCCTTCTCCAGCTCACTGGCAGAGATCAACATGTCACTCCGAATTATTGTATGTAGAGTGCTGTCATCAGCAAGGCTGTGGTTTGGACTAATCGTATAGGAAAGGAGATCGTTGATATGTAAGAGAAATAATGTTGGAGTCAAGACCAGTCCCTAAGAACACCCGCGTTGACATTGTGGGGTGAAAGGGAGAGCCCGTCATTACGACGGGAATCTTGTGACCAGAGAGAAAGTCAGTCATCCATCTGCTAAGCTTCTCTAGAAGGCCTTAGGATGGAAGCTTGCAAAAGAAATCAGAACGCCATAACTTATTGAACGCTTCCGTGATATCAAGCACAACGAAGCGAGCCTAACCATAAGACTATATGAGTTTACTCCACAGTTGCATGAGGAAAGCTAGGAAGCCCCCCGTGAGTCGCCGGAATCTGTACTGCCTGGGCTGATCAAGCCGTGACGTTCAAGATATTCCAAAGGCTCCCAATGTATGCGCCTCTCCATCATCTGACTTATAACAGAAAGCAGAGCTATGGGCCTGTAGATGCAAGGATCGGTCTTGGATTCTTTTTTGTAATAAGCTGGACATGAGCAAACTTTGAGTTTTTTTGGATAAAGTGCCGGATTCATAAGACATCTAGAAGTGACGCAAAAGAGCTTGAGAAGCTCCGTTGCATGTGCCTTCAGTACATCGGTAGGAGTCAAGTCCGAACCAGTAGCTGTCGAACGACAAAAGCACCCGTCTTGCGGTCTTATGCCTGAAGGACACTTCCCGCATGTGTAGGAAGCCCTTTGAATCGACTGCACTCGCGGGTTGTGGAGAACGTTTATGGTGGAGTTAGAACACTAAGTTATATTGGGGAGAAATGACATCAGTGCTGTAAAGGACAGAATGCGAGAAGAGAAAGAGATCCAGCAGCTGGGTCAGTCTTTGGGTAATGGCGAATGCTTCTTGAGAACGACCTGCTGTATTGGTTTTGCTTGAGTCCAACCCGAGCTCATTATTAGCATTTAAATAATCACGGAGAACTACCTCTGCAGCAGGGTGATTGATATTCATAAAAGAGCTTGACAGAGAGGTATTCAAGTAGGAGGTCATCCCAGTTATAAATTTAGGGGATGGTCTTGAGTTCAGCCAAAGCCACAGAATGTCCTTCCGGACTGATTCCAAATAAATTTATCTGGAGCAGGAAAGGCTGCTGCGGACTTTTGTCTTCAACTCCCAGTTCTTACTCAGATTGGAGTCCACCTCGTAGTTTGGTAGTTTGGAAAGCGAAGATGGTTAGTCAAGGCAGCATCGGAGATCTTGGTCTCCACCAAAAAAAGCATGCCAGGGTGATTATACTGCAGATAGTGGTGAACAGTATCAATCTTGGTGATAATATCGCAGATATTTGTGAAGGTGAATTGTTCATTGAAATTGTTCCTTCTTGTCCAACTTCCACATTCTGAGAGTGAAGTGGGCTTACGTCTGGAAAAAGGAGAAAACCGACTTCTTAGCTCAGGTATGGAAACGTGCATACATTTTTAACAGCTTGCGGGTAGTACCGCCTTGGTCGACTAGTCCTTGTCGAACACCTTCTAAATATAAAATTATGAATATGGATGAAGAAAATTCGAAGAATATATAAGTAAATAGAGAAAGAGCTGTGACAAATCCTCATAGACGCCGCTCCAATATCTAATTTTGGTAGATTAAGTCAATCAATGCTTCTGTTCACCAGGAGAGACGCTCATAGTGGTAGTGTAATCGCCGCGAATGCGCAGACGCACAGACATCAGACGGATAGTGGTCCTTATTAGGGCTTCATCTTGGACCAAGACCAAGACTTGACCCGCAAGACCAAGACTGTATTGCAAGGCTCTTTCGGTATTGCAAAAACTACTTACCCAAAATATTAACATGTAACAATTTCTAAATTTGATTTGTAGTATGCTTCTAAAAAGTTTAGATTTACAAAACCAAGAATATTATGGCAAGCTTTACGTAAAATATTGTAATATTCTGCAACCGATAGAAAATTTACTAAAAAAAACTTCGACTTTTCTATAGACATATACAGTGACGTTTTTATGATGGGATTTACATGCTAAAATTTTAACTTTCTGTTAACTTTTGCTACAGAGCAAAATGAGAGCAGAAATTTTCTGTATGCGTATTCTGAAGTTTCAGCATCATGGTAAATACACGTTTTTCCTCATTATAAGCACAGACCTCTATTATAAAAAAAACAAATTTTATAGAGTAATTTATTTTGCATCCTCTTCGTAGCAGAAATTCTGTAGCAGCGACTTTGGTAGTATCGGAATATTTTGAACAGGGCTAACCACAAGTAAGACTTTTGAAAATAATTATTTGGCAAGTAGTCTGAATACATACTGTGTATTAAATTTTGGTGCGAGGTCTAAAAAGCGAGAAGAGCGGCAACGCGCGATATCGAGCACGCTGCTGCAGCTCGGTCAGCTGTGTGGGCGCGTCACCTCAGGAGACAGCGTTGCCGGTCCTTAGCCTAGTGCGTAATCTTTCATAACACAACCTGTATAAGACATTAATGTTAATTGCTCATAAAATGTAGGATGTGTGATATTTATTGAAGCCGAAAGTAGAAATGGAAGCAGAAATGGCTAAAATATCAAGATATGTTTACAACATCTCAAAAATTAAATTTGAAACATATTAGCAGTATTTTACTTGAGCATGTTGGATTAGAATGGTTCCTTTTACCGAATTAGCCAGTTAGCTTCCTTATGTTCTTTATGTATATGAGTATTTTTTTCAACTTGTGTACTAAAATCATATTTATATTGAAGAAAATCTAAAAAATGATGGCTTACTTTCTCGAACCAAAAGCAGTACCTTTTTCATTCAAAATTGCTTAGGCAATCTTAAAACATATTAAAAATATTAATATTAGATTACTTTTTAATTATTATAATCTATATTCTGCCTTACATCCCAAAAAAGCAAAATTTCACATTATTTGTATTTTTTTAACTTATTGCAAAAAATCATGAAAAAAATTGCCAACCTGTAAGGCGAAGATAAGCAATATATTACGTACTCGCAGATGTCACTTATTTGCGTATGCTGAGTCAATTTTGGGGCGCCCTGTGACATTGTAATATTACTATTAATGAAAATACATACAGAAACGCCTATTATAAATGACAAACCTTGAGCTTTATAATATCAATTTAAGGTTACAAGTCAGAAGTAATTATCACTAAATCCCATTAATATCCATGATTATAATCGATTTTCGAAATAATTAACTTAGTAATGTTAAGAAATGTAGACCAAAAAACCGCTAATTGTAACATTCTATCACATCTGTCATTACTATTAAGCATCTTCATCGACAGGCAAACTTTGCATCAGCAAAGCTAAGACTAAGACCTCAATAACTTTGCAGGACCAAGAATATTGCATTGCAAGACGAAGGCTTATGTTGCGTTGCAGGTCTTGATCTTGCGAAACCTCAGTCTTTATGGTGAAATCCCTGTCATGTGGAATCAACAAAGGCCTGGTAAAGATGCAAATATTTCGATGTCTTTATTCTAAACCTCAAATCGACTGAATGTAATTTTCAGATTTCCTGGGCGCCATCTTGGAAAAAAAAATTATATGAAAACGGGGGTCTTGTGGCACATCATTTTGAAGCTCCTGACGAGTACTTTATAACCCTAGAATATAACGTCAATACCTTTACCTACTACAAAATGCAGGTACATTTAATATTACTTGAACACAGACCCACTAACATACATATCTCTACAAATAATTATAATTCCCTGCCGTATCCACAGCAACAGCGATAAAACTTGTTTTGTTATTTTTTGTTGACAGTGACAAGAATATCAGTACGGAAACAAACATCATTGTACAGTTAAAATATTCTTATTTTGTTTTCGGTTTCAGTGCTAGATACTGTTTGAACTAATTTTAAAATTGGTCAATTCTCGTCCATTGGAACAAAAATTCGAAGTGATTTTTATTTATGGTGCGACGCGTAACTTTCACAAGACCGAAAGGATTTTAATGATCGTTTTCCGAATCGTCCTATCTGTAGAAAATATTTAAGGAACTTGTATCTAAATTTACAGCTACTGGTAGTGTAAATAACAAAAAGCCTCCAGGTCATCCGACCATCCCGGAAGAAAAGCAAGTTCAAATAATGGGTGAGATCATAGTAAATCCCCAACAGTCTACTTCCTCCATCACGAATGTATGTGAGGGTTGTCCTTCTACTATGGAGACATTTGAAAAAGAATAAGTATCACCTAAACAAAATTCAAATGGTACATCAGCTAACTGAAGATGACCCTGATCGAAGAACAGAATTCTGCGAGACTATGACGGAAACCATTGCACGGCATCCTACCTATATCCAAAATATTTGTTTTAGTAATGAATGTACATTTTTTCTCAACGATAATGTTCATAAACAAAATTGTCGTTATTAGAGTGAGACCAATCCTCACGTCTTGCGGGAAACTCATACTCAATATCCACAACAAATTAACGTTTGGGCTGGGATATTGGGAAATCATATTGTAGGGCCTCTATTCATCGATCAAACTTTAACCGGAGAACTGTATTTGGATATGCTGGAAAATACTATTGACCCTCTAATCACCGTAATCGTCGAAGCAAATCCTAATGAGTTTGATACTGATATTATACTCCAGCAAGGTGGTGCTCCACCACACTACTCCAGATAAGTTAGGAATTATTTAGATAACAATTTCCCCGGTCGTTGGATTGACCGTCTTGGTCATGTGGGATGGTCAGCTCGCTCGCTTTTTTATGAGGCTATTTGAAGCAAAAGGTGTACGAAACTGAACCTGCTTCAACACTGGATATACGGCTGAGAATAACAAATATTTGTAGAAATATCGATGATACTATGTTTGAAAATGTTCGACGCGAAATTACGGACCGGCTGTTA